GTAAATTCATTATTTTATGCATAATGTAAATAAATAAATTGTAGTGATAAAAGTTGAAAAACTTTTCATCCATGTGACAATAAAAACAATAAATATTTTCATGTTACTAAAGGAGGGAAACAATATTTTACTTAATAGATTCCTCAGATCTTTCAGAAGCCATAGATGTTTACAGTGACTGGATAGATGCTTGTGAAGCGGCTAATCAATAGCACCTGCTAATTAACATTAAATGAAAGATTAATTGGTGAGAATACACACAGCTTTAGGAAGAAGAACCGGTATATAGAAACAATCCAGAGTTGAACTTTCAGCGTTTTTTTTACCAGTGTTAATTTTAGAATGGAAGGAAGATGATTTTGATTGTGAGAGGGAGATTGATCTTGGTGCTTGTAATTTTGATGATGAAAGTTGTTAATTAATAAGAATGTTTCAACAAACCATGATTTTAATTGATTTGTAATTGAATACATTTCTTTGGTAATCATGTTTTGTCCACAGCATTGCCTTGTGTTAAAGCTGTTGTGTAAGTCAGGTGTCAAAGATTCATCCATAACATAAGGTACATGGAGCATTAGAACTATTGATATGTTTATACAACATACCAGATACACTTATAATGAAACATTAATTATCATTATTAATATCTATTAATGACTTCATGGTCTTAGTACAGAAAGTAGATCCAAATTACAGGAACTGTAGAAAAGATACCGCCATGTGTAGATGTATGGGCAGATGTGAAAAAAATTGTTGGAGATTGAAAATGCTTCAATGCATAATTATGAATATTATGTTATGTCAAATTGTACTGTAAAACATCTAGCATGCCTTCATTAATCCAAGAAAAAATAACAGAAGTTAACAGAAATTCATTTTATTGATTGGAAAGCATGCATATACATTGCATTTCAAAGATTTATGTTCTTAGCAACCTTCTAAGTGAAAAGTAGTATTGTTTGACAGCAGTTTACATTATACAAGCTAGGTTTGATAGGCTTATTTCAGTTATTTAATGTTGGTTATTAAGACTGATTTCAGAGATAGATAGTTAAAGAAAGATAAACTACAGAAAAACTTTTTTTTTACACCAATGAAAGCTTGTTTTAATAATGAAAACTTAACATCTAAACATTGAAAATCTTTACAGTCTGTAAAAAAAGAGAATATTTTCAGGTTACAAGTTATGTCTGGTGATGAGTAGATGCAGAAATTGATTGTACATTTACTTCATCAGGATGACACTTCCATGAGTATGATACGAATTGTCATGTTGATGTCCACTTGTTTCAAGTCCGAAACAGTGGAGACTGATAAGAATAATTTTGGTATAAATTTGTATCTACATTGTAAATGTGGATTTTTTCAGTAAGCTTTTTTCCATGATCTGTTCTGATGAGAAACTTTCAAACAGTTTCTGTTCATGCTGATATTTTTTAGAGTAAGAGAATAATTTGATATAATTGTTGAAGTGTGGAAGGGAGAGTAAAAACTTCATATTTTCCTCTGAATAGGTATGAAAATGTATCTTAGGAAAATTCAACTTTTGAATGTGGAATTACCATGTTTTCCTTTAAAATGTAAGGTTTTTTAATTTTTTATCGGCGTATTGGGAATTGGGTATCTAAATCTGAAATCAATAAGCTATAGACAATTACTGGTAATGAGGAAAGAAAGTCTTTTACTGAAAATTATTAAGAAGTTGTTTGAGATAGAATCATTACATTAAAATTGGGCTACAGAAGAACAAACCTGTGTTGCCAGCTTACCTGATTCCATCATGTCAAACTAATGATGGCCATGTCATGACTTGCTTAAATCGTGAGAAAACATTTCTGGGAGAAAAACATACAATAAGCTAAATACAGACAATAAACCTAGACAGTAACATTAAGTTATACATGGTTACAATATACAATATAGAGATTATTGTTTGCTAACTTTTGGAATGTAAAAATATTGCTTTATTCTTGTTTGTTATGTGTGCGAGTGATCATTTGTCAAGAAGTGTGTGATTTTGGAAGATTTAAAATTTGTCCACTACTTCGGGCGAAATTTGCAGGTAGCAATTTCTCTCCTTTTTGTGTTCATTGTGTGTTCATGTTGGTGTGCTTGCTTGTAATATAATAAGAGCACAAATATCATTAAAATTTGTGCTTTAAATTTATCAGTGCAGTAAGTTATTCAGACATCTAAGGTTATTGAAACTCTTTGATGCCAGTGTCTCAAAGATATTTGCTGGTTCAATTGACCCTCTGGTGCTCTGGTGAGTTTTGTTTAAGGTATGCACCGGAAATTGATCTATTTTTCTTATGTCTAAAGGTATAACAGTACGACATATTCAGTTCATTGTGTTGAAATTATTTTTTTCACAAGTTGTAAATTTTTCTGATTTTTTCAAATTAAAGCACTTTTTTTAAAAATAAGTTTAATATACTCTCATTGCAGAAAATTTGTCAATAATCCAGATTTTGGATTTTCTCAAACAGTGTCATTTAATGATGAGAGTGAATTTAGAGTTACTGATTCTAGATTTTACCTTCAACCAAACCATAACAGTATTAATAGCAGACAATATCAATACTGTAACAGGCTACTTTACATATTTCATTAGGTGAATTTGGTGTTTTGTTTTACCTCTATAAAGTGATCAAGAACTGTTATTTAGACTTGTAATACATGTATAAAAGTAAAATTGCTGGGACCAGATTTACTCTGAATTCAGGAAAATTCCCTTCTTAGATTTTGAATGCTCAGTTTTCAATCTAATTTTGCAATATGTGTCCACCTCAAATCCTTTATTCATAACCTTAAAATGTTCCAAATAGATGTTTGGTATTCTCTTGTAATCAAGAAATTTATGAAAAGAGCAGAGTAAAAAAGGAATGGTAAAGTTAGAGGGAATTTAATTCGTTATTCATGTTTTTTATTTCACAAAATGAATATCTCGGGAATTTCATTGTGTTCATCTCAGCAGAATTTGGCAGTTTGTAGTTCTGATTCATAATGGTCACTGAAACAAAGAATCAAATTTGATTTTGATTGTAAAAATTCATTTCAGAAATTAAAGATTGATAATCCTCATTGTTTAAAATTGTATGTTGAATATTCCAAATAAAATATGTACTGTTCTACATTATTTGTGTTTTCTATCATAACAGAATTCATTTGTGTCTAATTTTTGTGGTCAGGATTTTGCTTGTTCTCTCACATTAGTACAAATAATCATTCCTGTTGCCTTCAGCCTGATCTTTAAAATTCCTCGTCTACCCTAGCATGTGTTGAAATGTATATTTTGGAATGTTAATCACCATTAAAAAGCTACAAACCTCTGGGATAGCATGATTCTAAGTTAAAATGTGAAGAATTAAGATATAAATACTGGAAGTCGATACTTAATGAATTTTATTTGGATTTCTCAGCCAGGAAAACAAAAGAAAGACTGGATTTTATAAAACAGTGTTATAGCTTATGATATACATATACTCCTTAAACATTGTAACTCCTAAACTGGAAAATGTGAAAGGAAATGAAGAGGTCATTATGAAAACATATACCCGTCTCTGTATTCCAAATTAATCCTTCAGGCCGTGGGTAGAACATTTTCACTAATACTAGCACAAATATCGTTCAGACTTTGGATAGAACATTTCCAACAGTGCAAACACAAAAAAGCAAAACACTTAATGTTAAGGTTATTTCAAGGAAAATCTTTTATCTCTCTTTTTTTAAGATTTTTTTATCGAGTATGGAATAATACTGCAAAATTAGGTATCTTGAAAAAAGCAAAAAAAAAAATTTTTTTTTCATAACAATTAATTTCAGGACTTCCATGAAAAACTGTTACCTTGATAGCTTTTATTTGAGCTGAAGCAAAAACATTTCATAATATTCAAGTACTGTAATAACTGTTTGTTATGGTAGTAATATACTTCTGTACTGAAAGTGAAACTGCATTTAAAGCTGTATACTATTAAAATGGTCAGTTGGTTCCATATACATGTAGATTGCTACCACTGCAAATCTTAATGACACACTAAGATATATAATATATATTGGATTTTATACGTTTAGACAAGAATGCAGTCCAAACAAATGTTTACAATGGAAATTCTTTTAACAAAACCTGAAGATGATTTGAGTATGATCTTTTGATGATCACTTTGAAAGCATAGTGTAATTGACTTTAGCACATTGTTACCACCTAGTGTGATTTTTTTTTTTCTATAATTATCTGTTTACTATATTGTCACACTATTTTCAACTTTAGTGTTCACAGGATTACAGTACAGGCAAAAAGTTGGTTGATTCCTCACCATCTCGTACACAATGTACGTCACACAGGTCATTTGTCTGATGAAAGTGACTGTTAAATCACCAAAACATTACCATCAAATATACTGGTTGTGTTATAAGAACTTCTTTTCTATTGGAAATACTGATTTGAAGAAAATGTTCCAAAAAATTACATACTATAAAACAATATACTGACAATCATTTGCATATAATAAGGCAATGTACATGTAGATATTTGCAGTTCTAATCACTGCTATACAATATATGAAGCAGTATACAGATGTAATAACAGTGTCGTATCCTCCTCATATGTACTGGTGAGAGAATAAATAACATATATCAAACACTATATATAGGACTTGAGTTATCAATTGGCAAAAAAAATCTCATCAAATGGAATCCTTTTAACATCCTTGTCAATCTTTTCAAAGTAACTCTTAAGGTACATGTGTTTTCTCTATATTTATTATGATATTGTTATATAATCTGTAAGTGTGTGATTTTTCACTATGCCATCTGGCCCCACTTGTATAAAACATCTCAACTTGAGATTTCCTCAAGTCGAGATTTTCCTCAGCTGATATCTCCTCAAAAACGGCTTGTATAAAATTTTCTCAAGGAACAGGAGGAAATCCTCGGCTAGGATGTCCTGAAATTCCTTGAGGAATTTTCATACAAGATATTTTCAAGGAGATATTAGCTGAGGAAAATCTGGGCTTGAGGAAATCTGAAATTGAGATATTTTATACAAGTGGGGCCAGCAGATGTTACAAGTCTAATTAACCTAAAGTTATGACCAAGAAATTGATCAAAAGCTAAAAACATAAAACTAGTACTGTATAATAAATTCTGCTACAACACGAGTAACTGTTTCAGTATATACATCTTTACTGACCAAAACCATGTCTAAAGGGATTGTATTACTCACCTGGATTTTTCAGGGATGACTCCAAAATATTTTTATCAAAACTAATTTTGCAGATAAATATTCAAGGGGAGGCCATACCTAAGTACTAATCCACAATGTTTGTCTCTCAATTTTTGGCATGGGGCTTGGATTTCAAACATTTCACATGTTGGTATTAGGTGGGGGTCTATCTTCTAGGGGCGAGGCCAAACCTTGTGAGTGTATACGTCTCTTAAAACTAGTAAACTGGTACCTACTAATAAGTTTGAGATTTCTACTATCTCTGTGCCACACCGAACTCCTAGAGGTTGTGGCTGACACTAAAACTAGCAAAACAATTGTATTTGTTTCTTATTGTCAACCAGCAGGTATTTGGTTTGGTTCTTGATAGTAGTGAAGTTGGTGAAATTTACTGCATTTTTGCTTTCCCATCCTACAACCACGGCCAAACCTGAATTCTGAATCTGAGTAACCACAAAAGGAAGAGTCCAACCAAATACAGTTGACATCATTGCAGAGTTTAAAAGGAAAATCATTTAACAGTCTCTGCAGTACAACATACGCCTCAGGCCAAACTCTATTGCATTGTCAAATCCAATCTTGATTTTCCAAAATATATATCTGTCAATTAAATGAGCAAAAGTGACTTATTCCAACTGGTCATTCTGTGTCTTCTCCATTGCATCTGTCACATGGTCTGTCATTCTGTCCTCCTTTAGAATAAAGTAAATCAATTAAAACAACAGTATCAGTGAAACTGACAAATGCTCCCTGGAAACAACTTTATTTGATACAAACATGTACAGTATGTTGAATTCAAGGTCTGCAACCCCTTATTTACAGAATTATTGCCTTTAATTATAAGTACAGTCTCTTAGTATTACCAATGTATACACCAAGATTCATCATTCTAGTTTTAACACAAGCAAAGTTATGAACTGGACACAATATTAAAGGTCAATAACTCTGTAACTGAGGAATCACAGGCTCTGACTTTGGTACACTGCACATTGTTTTTCTATTACGTATGTATACATCATATTTCATTCTTGCAGATTTACTGCAGGCGAAGTCATGCTCTGGATACAAAATTTTAACAAAAGTAAAATCTTTATTCCAGGCTTGATCAATGTAAACACAAAGCTTCAGTATCTGATTTTAAATGAAACAATTTAAAGTTGTCCTACACAGTTTTGACGAAGGGCAATAACTCTGTAATTAAGGTGTCTGCACATTGCCTTGCTTCACTTTGGGCAAAGTTATGATCTAAACACCGAAAGGTTAAAAGGACAAACAAAGGAGGCGACTGCTATTTGCTCACTTGAACATTGTTCGGGAAGCAAAATAAATTATCTGTCTAAATTGATAGTTAATACAATCATCATATCATGTACTAAATACTAGGTATTTGTATTTATAAGAATTGACCAGCTTAATCATTAAAGAATACAATTATAACTGTGAGCAACATTATATACAATTCCTATTAAAGTGAGTCTGTATGTATCTAATCCCTGTACATTCCACATATGTGTATGATATAAGCCACATCAATTGTCCATTTAGGAATAAAATATATTTAAGAAACATAATATATAATGACAAGACAATTCTTGATTTGTTCCATGGCAGTGGCGACCTTAAACAGATAACACAATTTATATATATAAACTGTATCATGAATTGTCTTACTATAAGCCATTGTTCGTATCCCATAGTCCTGACACTCACATTCTCTGTGCTGAGCATCAGGATCATAGGTTAGAGACGATGACAATAAGCATGAGTGCCAATACATTAACAGTGATTTAGTCAGGAGAGGCTGACGACAAAACAATTTATATCAAATGGTGGGCTTATTAACTGTCATGGGTTTATCACAAGATAAATAAGCATGATGTAGATACCTGTTGCAAATCTTGTTGATCATAAGAGGGCATGTTGTGTGGCTGTTCACTCCCAACTGATGATGATACATCTGTGCTCTTTATCTCATCATGCCTTGAGTTCAAGTTCTCTTCTTCATTTCCCTGGCTAGATTTCTTATCCATGTGTGTCCCTGTGTCCATTTTATATGTGCTGTCATCAATGCCATCTGCACTAAAATTATCCATTTGCCGTGTTCTCTGCAACTCCACATCAATTTCTTGTAATTGGCGACTTTGTCCATCACTTTTTATATTCCGTCTACTCATAGAATTTTCAATGCTTTCTTCCTGGTCTCTTTGTTTTTCAACATCCAGGTCCAAAACAGCATATCCTTTCTCTCTATCCATTTTGTGGTCCTGCAGCAATTCAGTGTCCATAGCTTTGTTAATTAGACCATAATTGTCTTGTTCAGCATGAACGTTTTGATCTTGCCTTCCTGCTGTACTTTGATGGTCTTCAGAATAATTGTCAACTCTGCCCTGTCCAACACTAAATCCTTGGCCACTGTTTGATTGAATACAAGATTCTTCATCCTGGCTTTCCAGTCCTTGGATGCCATCACCACTTCTCATCTGCTTTGGATCCCTAGGACTGTCTTTATTGATTGCAATGGAACTGTCCAGATCTTTCTGTGCCATGGGAACCTCAACATTTTTGTCATGATCAGCCACTCTAACCTCAGAATCATCATCAACACTTTTATCAGTCTCACTCTTATCAAGCCAAAAGTCATTTGCCCTGAAATTAAACTCTTTGCTCCTGGTGCAGTAGCGGTCTATAGCATTTTTTTGTGCCTCCCCTTGGTCAAGGTCGAGAAGTGATCGCAGAACCACAATTACTGAACAGGTACTGTCTTGAGTGTTGCTGACCAGTCGGACATTCTGGAGATGAATGGCTTGTTTCTCATCAGACACGTGCAGGTGAATGGCGTCGAAGAATGCCTGGACACTTACATCCAATGGTATACCCATACCACCTGGTAATGGAGGTATAAATGGTTAGGCTATTCATTATCTGTATCTCTTTTATTTCAGATTGGCTTTGTAATAAATCATAAATGTATTATCTACAGGAATTTGTTTTAAAATTAGGCTTGTCATTATATCTCAATATCTAGTCTTTGTGACACTTTGTATATTCAGATATGCCCTCTCCTGCAAATAAACCCACTTCCTATTTTTGGTCAATGTTGTTTCAACAGGGAGAGAGCTTATTTGCAATCTAAAAGGTGTGTTAGATCATGATAGATTGATTAATAACCATTTAATCAATTGATAATGATATTTCTTTCACTAATGTGTTTAACTCCAATTTCAAATTCATGACAGAGTGTGATAGAGTGGAAGGATCATTTAGGAAATCTAGAGATACATTTCAAAAGGCAAGTTTTTAGAGATACCTAAAAAAATAATTTATAAAAAAGCAGATTGTACAGTAAAATAAGCAAAGAAAGTTTGACTGGCAATTGACACCACTTATAATAGGGAAATCTGTCAGATCCAGAAACTTGAAAAACATTCAAATCTATAGTTTCCTAGATATCTATGAAAATAACAAACAAGCTGAATGAAGATTATATATATATATAAGGGGATTAGACGTTTTATTGATATATTAACTGTGATTTCCCTTCCAATTTTGAAACAAAATTCAAAATATATAGACATGTGCCTTAGCTGTATATATATATTGTCAATTTTAAATAGAAATGAAGTAAAAATAATGTGGTGTTGTATTATTGTTTCTCTCTTCTGGGATAATCACCTGTATATCAAGACGCCTGTCTAATTAAACACTCATTGTCTGGTCCCTTCATGTGTCATCAGCCAGGTTTGATTGTATTTATTTGGATATTTATCACATCAATTTAATTCAACAATTATATATCAAATGAAATCATTGTCTGTCTAGTTCTTGGTATCATTACATCAACAAAAAGGTTTTATTTTTCACTTTTCATACAGACTGACAGAGAACTCTCAAATTATCTTATCTATCCAGTGCTAAGCCAAGGAAGCCAATAAAGTACCTCCAACTCAGAGCAGGGGATGGGCTGGTTACAGGAAATAGATTTTCTATCATTGTCACCGGAACTGCAAGAAATGGTATAAACAGGCATAGGTTTATTTCCAAATAAACATGATAATGTCAGAATTTTATACTCTACCTGATCCTATTAAGGGAAATGACAATGACCGCAACCACAGCTGTTTGTTAGCAACCTGTAAACAGTTCAAGTAAGTACAGGTGAGAATATGGGTTGTAGAATCACTTTCATCTTCCCGCCATGTTGGTGGTACGGTATGGAGGACAAAGTCCACTTGGTCGTCTAATGCTCCACCAGCGCATGTCTTGGTGACCTGAGAAAGACTTAGAGGGCCATGGCTAGTCAGTTTACTCCTACACTCATCCATTAAACCTCTTCCTGCCATTCTTGCAATCGCGGCTGAAATTCCATATGTGTTGCTCAAGGTTTGATTAGTTGGGTTCACTATCGCATCACTTCTTTCTTTGACAATGTCACCCATGATGACCTTGACCTGCATACACCCCATAAAAGCATCAAATGTCAAGGGCATGTCACCAAAGTCCGAGTGAAGTAACTCTATTCCTTTTGGGGAGGGGCAACGTGGTCTGGTAATATGCTGCTCAGGTACAAATATTTCTGGTGATGATGATCGGTCATCAAGATACTGAGCTGTCAATTCATCATCAGTATCGTCACTGATGTAGTCTCCATGTTGTGGGTAGTTGGAAGTCCAGATGTCCCTGCCACGGAGCGGATTATCCAGGAGAGGAATGTGAGCATCTGCCAGACCAAGCTTCTGCTTGTTGCTTAAGTCACTTATGCTGAACTCATTTGACTCTTTATTGGCTGGTAATTGTTTGGCAGTATACTTTTTCTCTGAATTGTCTACATTCTGTGGAATGTTTGACCTAAATGGCTGATAAGTGACAAATTTATCAGTACCATCTTGTCGGTTGACATTCCAGGAAATGTTGCTCTCTTCCCCCATAGTATCAGCAAATTTGGGTGAATCCTCCCTTTTTGAGGAAATATTGGGTGTAACGGATGAGAGTCTGTTGCTGACATGTCCTGGAGAATTCTTGTCTGTGGAAACAGATTCCAAGTAATTCCATGCCCATTCTACCTGGTACCAATTTCCAGTCATGGTGTAGTTCATTGTATCAGGGTCAAAGTTTACATCTAGCTCTCCCTCAAATTGAAGGACATCAAGGTAAGGCGAGTTTTGATCCAGCATCTCTGTTACTTCTTGTTGTAACTCCACAGAGACTTTAGAGAATATCTAAAATAAGAACCAGAACAATATCTGGGTTTGACTTCACTTCTACTCATGTAATTTACTGATAGCAACAAACAAACTGAATAGGAAAAACTCCCAGCATGCACTACAAGATGGCAAGATTTTTCTGTTTATCAAAGCCAAATCATTGGAAAATGATTAAGAGGCCTTGGTTTGAATTCAGCTTATCTACAGCAAAGGTAATTTAGTCAATTAGAAGGGATCGAATAGCACAGTTCATAAAAAGATTGATCTTGTCTTCAAAAAAATTGGCACAGTAATAATCTACAATAGTTTAGTGACAAAATTAATGCATTGACTTAACAACTAAACTATGGTAATAAATAACATAGTATAAAATAAATAAACAAATAAACATTGAACATTAACCAAATATTTACAATTGTATCCTTTCAGGAAAGTAAAACAATCAGTCTAAGATTCCATTTATACTTTTCATTTACATTGACTATGGATACTTTTAAACTTGTAAGTCATCATTTATGTTTATATTTCAACTGCAAAGTAAAAAATATATATATTGCTGAATGGGGCTTAAGTATTGATGGTCAGGTAGGTTTAATTTGTAAGGTGGACTTATTGTCAGTATTTGAGGTCAGGTAGGTTTATTTTCAAGGATGGACTTATTGTCAGTTTTTGTGGTCAGGTAGGTTTATTTCCAAGGATGGACTTATCGTCAGTATTTGTGGTCAGGTAGATTTATTTCCGAGGATGGACTCATTGTCAGTGCAATGTATTAATCCCACAGTCTTCGTGTAGGCGGCTAACTAATGTTCAGGTAATGGGCTTAACAAACAACAATAAAATAATCTTAGTTTGAAACTGAAAGGCAAAATAACGGGACTGGCTTAATAGTTTGCATTGGTTAACTGAACGATGTATATGGTACATGTACATAAATGAATTATTTAAGAATTACTAAAGAGAGATGCAGTACTTACATTCTTAGGCAAACTCTCAACTAAGACATCACAGTTCTTTATCTTATGTCTGCGACTAGTGATTCCTGTAACAACTGTACAAAAACATTAATTATCATCTGAATAGTTTCGACAGTTTGATACTGCTATCATCTTTCAAATGTACTTGGGAGGGCGGATACTCTGCAACATGGAATCAATTATTTCTGTGATTTCTATCTACAGACAATTCTTTTTTCAAACTTCCTTCCAACCAGCATGCCACAATCAGACACCATGTCCCTAATATATCCTTGGTTATAGAGCAGCTTTGACAAAGAGTAAAATTACTTCTTTTAAATGAATGAACCTGTATGTTACTTCGCAAAAGCACATAACATGCAACTAAACTATATTACTTATTTATTCAGAAAACAAAATTTTCTGGCGGCTTTTGATGCATGTACTCCAATAAACGTGGTATATTTCTCAGAAACATGCAACATGTTATCATCATTTCTCTAGTCGTTTAACAATGATATAGAGTTTTAATGCATTTTAACACTGACCTTAAAAGTGGGATCAAGGTCAGGAATTTCATAAGGAAATAATAACCTTCAATTTAAGAATATATGTTATCTGTGAACATTATCACTCGAGAGTCCTATCAGTTATTTAGATGGAGTACTTAAGGAAAACAGCATGACAATGTGTGATAGTTGCCAAACATTTGAAATAACTGACTATATGCCTTCTGCTATGGCACAAGTCACTTTCTTGAGTTTACTACATTTCCCGGACTTAAATGCCAGCAACTTTTTTTTATTTATCTTCCAAAAGGCAAATATATATACATGTGGAACGTGCTTCTAATACATATCAATATTTATACCATTTCTATCAGAAAAGATGACAACAGCAGCATGGTTGAGGAGGGGGTAGAATATCTTGGACACATTGCCTCCTCCATTCCGATGGTTGCTGAAGTACGCCTTGATGTCACTCTCTGAAATTCCTGCACTCACACCATGGACTTTTATACCATCTAGTGCCATATTGTCCTGCAAAAATGAAGAAAAGAAAATACTGAAGAAAAGCAGTCTAATGTGAAATCTTCAATGAAAATTATTATTCTTCAGAAATCTAGGTAGACGATAGATGTTGAACTGAAACTCAAGTTACATAACTTTATGAACTTTTGTGCAGTGTATTAAAAATACAGATATCTACAAATTATTGCAACTCATGACTCTAGAGAATAAAGACCCCAATCCAAGAACAAAATCCAAAGTAATATTACAATAATGCATGTTTTTCAGACCTCCTATGGTGCAGAAATCAACCAAACACACATACAAGAAATATAAAAACAGACAAGATTCACAATAAGTGCAAGTTGTACTGTCAACTTAGCAAACTTGTGGACAATGTGACAGGATCATTTTGAAATCATTTGAGTGATAACTAAACTTTTGTTTACTGGTTATGAAGATAAAATCATAATTATGTTACATTGACATTAGAGACAATCCAGATAGTATCATATGTAAATATACTCAATATTCAAGCCTATTGACAAGGACTGTACACGCATCTGTCATACTGATGCTGTTGGCCTTGCTTTTCTCCTGCCTGTTGAAATGGTTATGGTAAAAAAAAAGTGTCTGGGATAGCGATAGTTGAAATGTTTCTCCCGCGTTCCAGGACTCCACAGCACAGTGGATGTAACAGTGATTTAAAAAATTAATCTACTTAATAACACATGTCACTGGTACCATCCTCGTATGTCAATATTCTCATACCAATAACTATTGCTTCATGCACCTAGCTTACTCCTATACGAATGAGACTGCACTTGCGCCTGCCAAAAGTGTCTCGTCGTGCTGAGCCTGTGGTCTAGAGTTGAAACCCCCTTTCCCAAAATATTCCACTGCATTCTCGTCTGACAATTTAACTATCTAATGTTAAATGGACACGTTATAATGTATCAAATTGTAACAAAAATGAAAAACTTCCTGAACAGATTAATACCTTATCATGACAAGACATCACAAATAAATTCCTTGTGCGGTTTTCCCCACAACAAACCGAAAGTGAAACAGGCGGTCCCAGCATGCATTGCAAAATAGGCTTACAGGGCTTGTGTATTGTATTTAGGCCTACTAGACTACATAACGTACACTAACTAGTAGCAGGTAATAATCAATTCACAATATAACACATGTTAGCATGTTTTTTTCTGGTTATTTCAAAGAAAGGTAGTTAAAAAATAGTGCACTTCCACAAAAAATGTCGAACACTGAAGCCCAATCTGTGTTATGAGAAGATCTTCAATTAGAACCAGCTCGCGTTGTCACAGACTTAGACTTACCAGTAGTGTTAAACTTTGTATGGATACAAGATGACTTCTCCTTTTCCACAAAATGGATGATATGCAAGCAACAGCGAATGAAATATTAAAGTATGCCGAGTCATTCATATTTTAAATGAGCCATCGGATAGCGGATGATTTTCGATAGACAAACAAAAAACTTGGTTGGAGTGATATCCTTTTTATAAAAAAAAATAAAATAAAGATTAATAACTCCGATTTGGCTTTAGTGTTTGACTTGAAGTACACCGCGGCTATTAAAACGGTTAGATATCTATGATTTAAACAAACAAAACAAAACAAAAACCACATATTTGAAAATAAAACCATCGTTCTTTGAAAACAAGGAATATATAGATATAGTTTAAATTTAAAAATGGCAGGCTTCATGCTTGTTGAAACGAATTTCGGTTATCGGAATTACAATATAGCCAAGGCATGCTGTTACATATTTTAGAACAGGACTGTTTTTGTCAACAGTATTTTATCTAAATGATCTTGGAAAATTCGTACGTTTGAGTAAATAGAGACAAAACAAATAGATAAGTGACGGTTCTATTTTTTTTCGTCTGCACTATTCCATTTCTTTCGCTAAAAGTTTGCTTTATTGACAGTATGTCTTCAACCACCATGTTATATTTTACTTTGAACAATCCTTGATAACACGGAAAAGGTATCCTAACATGCAATAGATATTTCCGTATGGTAGGATACCTTTTCCTTGTTACATTCGTGTAAAATCGCAATTACCTATCAATTGGACACATCGATAAGAATAGGAATTCTAGGTGTCTATCTGAGGTTTTAGACCATCTAAAACGTGTTATGGGCATAGCATATTGCTGTCGCGTTTCGTGATTAAATTTTTTTGTATGATTTTTTAAGACGAGACTAGAACACAAATTCCTAAATTTTGATGAGTCCGAATACTATGATATAGTGGTTTCTCAAATTTGTTAGTTCCGCAGGAACGCCGTGAGTCCTAATAACCACTACCGTATTTCAGTCCAGCTTGATAGGAAGTGACGCTTGCAAAAGTTTGTTTTAAAATGTTTCTTCGCGATCAGTAAATAATAATTCCAAATTAGGTCTCAACTAAAACCTTACTACCGGATGACATTTTTCTATCTTTCAAGTTAAATAAAAATGCTTAGCTTATCTCCTGTGGAAATAGTTTCTATCCTTTGGGTGACAGATGCCCGTTAAGACCTATAACCTTGACAAAGCAGATGAAGATCTTCCACTCATGGGAACAGTTGTAACTACAAAAGGTACACTTCCATAGCTGGTTGGCCAAGCCACAGGAGTAAGTTACATTGACACAATGTCCTTTTCGGATACTATCCAACTTTTAATCTGCAGTCGGAAATTGTGATTTGTCACTATCAGTCCATTCTTGCAGAGGCATTAAACGTTTAAATGTCAAGCGATATTTTATTTTTCTTGAAAGGTTATAGGTCATTGCCAATCTTCGACAATTCTTCCTCATATAATAGTTTACAGAATATTGATATGTTAAAACTAACTATAACACTATGATAGGCGTGTCAGAGTCTAGGCGGTTTCAAACGTGTTTAATTAAAGCAGGCCTTGAGCAAGTCTACAACAGGAAGTTACCTAAAAAGGAAATGACGTCACCATTTTCCTTTCGAGAAAGGGGAACAGAGTGATCTACCGAAAGGAAATAAGCAATAATGGCTACGTCAGGTGATGATGATTGTGTTTTTAGTGTGGAAATAACGGACAAAAACGAACAGGAAAAATGTAAGTGTTATCTTTTGATAGTGATATCATGGTCAGGTTATTTATTTTAAAGTAAAGACAAGTAGTATCACCAAGCCAGCACTTGCTTTCTTGCATTACCGCCTAATCAGGCTGCGTGAGCATGAGCACCTGTCATCCGGTCAACCGGAAACTATGGCACTATCGTACCGTAACAGTTATTCTGAAGTACTATCACGAATAACAAAATAGAGTTTTTCCAAATTGACGTATTTTAGTCCTGTAAGATTCACAAATAAATGCCATGAATCAATGTTCAAATTGCCATAAAGTCTTTGTGTTATAATGCAACACCGTCTCTCACTTGGCGTTTTTTTCTCGCTTAAATATCACTCTTTAAAGGTCAACCAGAGTGTCTTGACTAGTTTTGTTTGAATTATTGTTAGTCCTCGAAAGTCACTTCAAGTCTTAAACAAATAGAGCGAAAGCAGTCAACACAAACTTGCCTAATTTATAACTATATGAACGCATTGCTTACTGAAGGAGTCATAGGGGCATCTAAGTCTGTAATGTATGCCTTTGAATGTTCATATCGTGATATTTAACATTCACAATAACATGTATAATGATTATGTGATTGTCGAAGATTATTCACTCTGTAGAGTTTACAGCATTCAACCACTTTAAGTTGGAAGAAAAATGTTTTGTCTTCCTACCAATTCAGCATTTATAAGCATGGCACTGTTTAAAATAGAAACTTTGCCTGCATGTTCTTGACGTGGGTGTCGCAAAAGTTTTTGGGTTATTTATAATGAATGCAACTTAAACAAAAGATGGAATTATGCATATGCATTCAGAACACTTTGGACTTGGTTTCAGCAGATGAGACTAAATAGAAAGTTGGTGCAACTTATCACTATACAACCAGCATATTTATATATAACATTTACAAATATGCTATTACTTTCTGAATATGGAGGGTCTGTTAAATGCTAGCAAGCAAGTGTCTAGAATACATTGGGTATAATTTCAAATTGATGAAGGACTTATTCACTTAATTATCTTCATGTATAACTTGTTAGATTATGCCAGAAGCCGACTGTTTAAAGCTCATCAATGTTGCATTAATAAAAATGTTAAATGCGTCCAAAGGAATTGTTTTCAGTTAATGGCCATTTTTTTGATAGGCAAATCCCCCACCCCCTCAATTTTTTGGTAGTGATGATTATTAAGAAGTTGTATGTGTTTTTTTTTCTTTTTTATTTCTAGGTGAAGAAAATAAGCCAAAACCAAAATGTGGCCAGACAGTGACTGTTCATTACACAGGTAATATTTGAAGAATCTAGATCTTAGGTTACATTAGTTGCAATGTGGTATAAACAATTTACATCTTAAACTTTATCTCAACATTTCTTTTAGGATTTAGCTTTAAACATTTCTGGAATTATCTTTGAACCTGTGATATTGACCAAATACGTTCTTCGAAAGTATTGATAATGTCAGTAAGGCCTTAAGAGTATTACATGAATATCCTAATAAGTGTCCATAAACACACCAGAAAAAAATGGGGTAGATCAGTTGAGAAGACCTTTTCGTTTTGTAAAAAGCTTTTACTGCAGATATATAGGAGAAGGAATTCTGATTTTGTGATTTCCTTGAAAATTTTCATGAAGACTTTAGAGTAGGTTTAAATGATATTCACGGTCAGGTACATTTTATTAAAATTTCTGGGTTTTAGGTTTCGGTCAATGTCACTGCTACTGTTTTTGAAAATCATTGTTTAGATTCATAATGCGTCAAATTATCTTGGAGAAGTGAGAGTTTCAGGTTTGTAAGGTCAAGGTCACTGTTACTATTTTTAGAAACTATAAATCATTACAGGTAATGGTTTTGGGGGTGAGGAATAATCTCTGCAGTGATAGTGCTACTGACATTATTAATGCGAAAACATTCAGCCTGTACGACTAGGGAGCTTTGCCATAACGATATGTCTGCTGGAACTTCTTCTAACTCCTACTAAACTCTTTTAGCCTTATTTTTGGTTGGTAGGCAACATGTTCCCTTTTGAATCTCTCTTTAAATCAGCATGAAATATTTGTAATTCAACAAAATCTTTTTTTTTCTTTAATTTAAAGGAAAGTTGACAAATGGGAACACATTTGACTCTTCAAGAGATCGTTGTAAACCGTTTGAATTCAAGCTTGGTAAGGGTGAAGTAATCAAAGGTAAGTATTTTTTTAGGATTCATCCTGAAATTACTTATTTAACACCTTCAGCATGTTTTCTGTTGATATATGGAAAAAATCTTAAGGTTTTAAGCTCACCAGACTGAAGATCAATTAGTGGTCAAATGTGTTAAAAGCTTATGACTTCATTTCAGGGTACTGATATTGGGCCTATAGCATGCTTCCAAAGATGAAATGTTACCCATGATTGATCATGACCTGTACTCAATTTCAATGTCACAGATGTCAAATGTCTTAGATTATTTAAACACATTCTTTTCAATAACCATGAGGTCCAGGATACTGATATTGGGTATTTAGCATGGTATGATTTAAGGGCTAACATGTTTTTACAAATAAATAACCTTGATCCTCAATCAAAGTCTAAGGTTCTAAATGTCTTCAATGCCTGAACAACTTCCTCCCAATAAACACGGTACTGATATCAAATATATAACATACTGAGATAGAAGGCTCTAAAGTTCTGAACTTGATACATTTTTAAGGTTACATGAGTCAAATGTATTAATATTTAAACAAATTCCAAGAGGTGGTCATTGTATTGAGACAGTTGTATTCAGTGATGTGCGACATGTGGATAAGATGAGAATACTAGGTTGATCCCTTGATAAACATCAAACAAATTTTGAGGTCACATAACAGTATGTTATACTGGCTTTGAAGTTTGGTGTAACTCCTTTGTAATCTCTAAGGGAACATACCAGTCTGTGGTTTGTCAGTTTTTTCTTCTAAAGACCAATGAAATTACTTCACTTGTGCCTTCAATTTTTGCCATGAGATGTTACAGGGGTGCAAAAAGCAAGATCAAGGATGCTTGCAATCCCAACATCACCAAATGATGAACAGTATTAGAATGCTCGGTTATTGCCTGTCCTTAAACAATAATTATTATTACTATTTCTTGAAAAGTTGTGGGTGGATTATTCTCAAACTTCATATATGTTTTTCCCTTTGTCTCTGTTGTATGTTAATTATTGGACTGATCTGGAGAACATGAACTGACAGATTAAATTTAGAAATAATGATTATTGATGCTTGATTAAGTGATTGATTAGAAAAGTGACCAATATTGAGACAGGCATTTATTTGATGTATTCACTTCACTGATAGAATTTACTAAAATTTTAAAACCTTTCCACATTTAAATGAAATGAAGTGTTAGATTCATTACTTGGTACTACATGTAACAGCTTTCCAAACAATTCATTTAGTAATAATTGACTCAACAAAACTGCTGACTGTAAGAACACATGTTCTGTCAGCATCTCCTGTCAAAATGTCAGATTTCTTTTTACCTCCTCGAGGGGGGGTCCAAATAAAAAACAAAAGTGGATTAATCTTTCGGACAAGTGGTTTTCAAAAGCACTTGTCCGCAAGGACATGTGAAGTAAAAAGTTATTGAAGAGCCCTGTACTGAATTTTTGCCGGAGGAAAAATCCTCCAATTACATCAAGTTGCCTTCAGTTAGTAGGTAGGGTTCATAAAATGATGTGTATTTCTTTCATTTAGCTTTATTTCTCTCTTATGTTTTAGGTTGGGAGGAAGGAGTAGCACAGGTATGTATAGATGTAGAGTACTTACAAGTCAATATTCAATTCTCCATCGTCATCATTGATGATTACTTTTTAGTCTAAGTCTCATGGTGATCTTTTGTCTGTCATTGTCTGTCCTACAGTGTCTTTTGTGTGTCCAAAACCTTTTTAGGTGACCTATTGTGATCATCTTTGTCCAGTGTCATGCGTCTGTTAACAGTTTAATATTTTCAACTTTTCAAAAACTGCTGAACTGATTTCATTGCAATTTTGTTGAAACTTCCCTGGTCTAAAGTGAACCAAAAATAATGAAATATACAACCCCACCCAACTAGAGTCTGAGGGGCGGGGCCAAGAGGGTTAAATTAACTCAGATTTCTTCTCAAAACCAAGAAATGGTAGAATCAATTACTCTTCATGGATGAAAGTATCTTGAGGTGCTTTACCAAAATAATGAATTTCATGGCCCCATGGTCTTGCATTTCCCGGTGGTAAGGGGGTAAAATTTACTTTAGTTTATGAAGTAAAAAATAGATTTTTGTGCATACCATATTTTCAGGGTTATAAGCTGTACCTTTTTTCCTTGTGATTTGGACATGCAGCTTATATATTAGTGCAGTTTATATGTGGAAGGGCAGACTGAAGGAAAAAAAAGGGGAAACATACCAGTACACAAGTACAAGACCAAAAAAAAGGGAAACATACCAGTACACAAGTACGAGACAAAAAAAAGGGAAACATACCAGTACACAAGTACGAGACAAAAAAAAGGGAAACATACCAGTACACAAGTACAAGACAGTCACTCCTTTAACATACATTTTTTTTTTATTAGTGCCTGCCCTTCATGTGTTTGTGACTTAAACAGAATGTCTTGAACTGTCATTTGCAGTTGTATACAGGATGAAAATTGAAATAAAAACGATATTCTCATAGATTTAATTAATCATACTTTTTAACATGAATCACAATAATATCTTCTGGACTTTGGCGGTTACTTAGAAACCTTAGTGGAAGTTTACAATGGCCTTTTGCATCCTGGGATTGATAGGTCACCAGGTTATAGGTCAAATTCTAGAATGACCACCATATTTGTTTACAATATGAATGGCTCAGTGTAATTTACAAGGAGAAATGAAATGGGACTTTAAGAATTAAGTCAGCATGCAAGGAGCTCCTTTAATATTCAACAGTACAGACACCGATGGAGAGATTGTTTTGTAAATCATACGTAACGTCAGACTCTATATCTGTGCATAGTCAATCTGTAAAGACACCCAAGCCAAACAAGTTCGATATTTGTTATTATACGTTTTTTCACCTACATCAGATTTTGATAAATGGTCCTCCCTTTACATTTTTTGAACTACATTGATATTATTGTCTGTGTATAATTTATTTGTAAAATTTTTAAATGTTTCGCAGATGGTCATGATAAATTGCCCTCCCTTGTCTGTTATATCAACAGACTTGGTCACCATAACAGTTATCTCGTCATAAGAAAGGGTGCAGCTTAAATTCTGGTGTGAGTTTTGTGTGTATCAAATAAAAAAAATCAGTAAAAATTGGCTTTGTGGCATAAATACTTTTGGGACTTATACCATGGTAATTTGTTGAATTTCCATTGGAAATATTTCACACTTGGTTAGAATTATGAGCAAGGAATGACTGCTAGATGGTATACTTTACGTTGTTTATTTCCTATTGGAAGAAAATTGGTGAGAATTATTCGTATAGGATGACAGTTTTGATGGTATGCATGTATTGACATTAGCTTACTATCATCAATGTCACAATTTCTTTTTCATGACAATTGAACACTACCATTTAACCATTTTAGGTCATTTGACCAAAAAAGCTTTGATTTGATCGTGCATTGTCCGTTGCCATTTACCATTTGCCATCCGTAAACTTTTCCATTGAAACACTACTCTTTCTTAATGTATGGGTACATTTCAACCAAATTTGGTCTGAAACGTCATTGGGAATGGGGGATCATTTCTTAAATTCAGAAATTTGATTCAGCCCCTAGGCATTTCAAGTTTGCAGAAAATGCTTTTATGAACCAACAATGTCTTCTTTGTATGCTGAAGAGAAGTTGAGCACTTGTTTTAGGCCATTTTGGGTTTTTTTTTTTTCATATAAAGGTCTTTTCAGTCATATGACCATTAAGGCGTAGAAGCATATTTGGCTTGTAGGTTGCTAGCATGAAGCCTAACAGTTTTTAACTAACCTGGCCCAAAGCTGTTTGTTGTGGAAATTGATTAAAATTCATTTGATGTACATTTGATGTTCAATGTCTCTACGTTGAATGCCAATGTTGTACATGTCAATATATTGGATTTTAAAACCAATTCTATTTTTGATTAACATTGAATACTAGGTAAATGATACAGGCCTATTGAGCCTCTTGTACTTGACTGTGTCCTTATCATCGTAACTTGTTTAATTTACTTTTTTTACAGATGTGTATTGGTCAAACGGCAAGGATAACCTGTCCACATACCCATGCCTATGGAGAGAAAGGATATCCGGGTGTATATCCTTTAATTATGATTTCAAATCTTTTCATTCTCCCACCTCTTTAAAGTGGAACATATATGGTTGTACCTATGTCTATCCTGTCCCATCTCGAAACAAAGTCATCACTTATCATCATTGCATCATCTGAATATTTCTTTAAGACCGAATACAACAATATTTTAACTTCCCTCCATTCCAGTAAGATTGCGATCCTGTGTTTTGTTTCAACTTCACTTACTGTAAGGGCAAGTAGTGCAGGTGAGCTTTAACCATGATAAGACCTGGTGTCAAATAAAAAAAAAAAAATTACCGGTAGCCATTATTTTATTTGGCGAAGATACTCGTTGGACTTGGTAAACATTATGAGGCGTCAAAATTTAGCATAGAATGCATATTATGGAGGTTGAGCAAATGGCGTACAATGATCCCAGACGACCTAGATTTGAGTGGATGGTGCAAGTTTGAATGAGTGGAGTTGACAAGAGAGGGTAGTGCAAGATCATGTAGTGTGACTCTGGGTGGTACATAGTGGCAAAGAGTAGTGCAAAGTGATGGTACTGTTGGCTTGACTCACAAGAAGAAAGTAGAACCTTGAAGGTAAAGGAGACAGCCTACAGTACAAGAGATGAAAAAACCAAATTTTAAGAATCCAGTGATCTTTTTTATCTGGTTTCATAATTGGAAATGGGGGGCTCTGGGTTCACTAGGGAAAAATCCTACAAATCTTGCTATATAAGATATGCTGAGGTGGTTCTTTCTTGTGCCATTGAAAATTTCTTTCATCTGATCCTTAATTCGCTGTGCATTAAAGTGGCTGTAATGGAAAGTACTATAACCATGGAGGGGTTCGTTGGTGTGTGTTGAATATCTTTCTTGGCAGTTATCAGTTGCTCTAGTAGGGTCAGTTGTTGAATGCAGTGATAAAGTGCAGGTATATAATGAAAGCTTGAAAGAGTAGTTTACCCTTAAATGTAAGTGGAGTGTTCTGCAGTTTTCCATTCAGTCATATTTGCAATGAACGTGAAGGATTTATATGTTCAAGTTAGTAATATAGTATTCTATGTCCCATAATAAGCATGCTTGAAGGCAGTGATTTTTTGGAATTAAATATTTGAGTCCTGGGCTCAAGCTTAAACTATGAGACTCGCTTTTTGAAACCCCTCTATATTTCTTAGTCGTGAGACTCGTCAAAACTTTATAATTTGAGTTCTGGACACCTTTTTAAAAAAAAACAAAAGATAATGGAAGGTTGATATGGAGTATGACTGAGCTGTTTCTGTGTATAATAATGTCGCATAAATGTTTGAAAATATACCATCCTACCTTCAAGTTTTTAACCCACCATCATCAGATGGTGGGCTATTCAAATCGCCCTGCGTCCATGGTCCATCCGTCCGTTGTACGTTGTTACGTTAATCCGTAAACAATTCTTGTTACCACTATTTATGGAAAAGTACTGAATGGATCTTTCTCAAATTTCATTTGCAGGTTCCCCTTGGTCCCTAGTTGTGCATTGTATCTTTTTTGGGCTGGTTCGAATTCAAGATGGCGGCTATCTTGGAGTTTGAAAGTAAAAGTTTGTTACCGCTATTTCTGGGAAAGTACTGGATGGATCTTTCTCAAATTTCATATGCAGGTTCCCCTTGGTCCCTAGTTGTGCATTGTACCTTTTTTGGACTGATTCGAATTCAAGATGGCTGACAGGCGGCCATCTTGTAGTTTGAAAGTAAAAGTTTGTTATCCCTATTTCTGGAAAAGTACTGGATGGATCTTTCTCAAATTTCATATGCAGTTTCCCCTTGGTCCCTCAATGTGCATTGTGATTTTTTGGACTGTTCTGAAATCAACATAGCCGCTTGTCAGCAAACTTGGATTTTGGAAGTAAAAGTTTGTTATCGCTGGATGGATCCTTCTGATATTTCATAGGTGTTGGTTTCCCTTGGTTCCTAGTTGTGCATTGTACCTTTCTTGGACTGATTTGAAATCAAGGTGGCCCACAGGCAGCCATCTTGAGTGTTGACAGTAATACAGTAGTTTGTTAATGCTGTGACAGGATCCTTCTCAAATTTCATATTAAGCTTCCTCGTGGTACCTAGTTAAGCATTGTCCCATATTTAAAATGATCTGAATAACAAAATGGCCTATAGCTCTCCATCTTGGATTTGAACAGCAAGTGATTGTTTTATGGCTATTTCTTACCTACATGAGCAGTCATTCTCAAGTTTCAGATTTTCTAAATTAAGTAAACATTGATAAATACACTGTTTAGGGTATGTATACTAAACCATGCAATGAATTGAGTAAATGGCATATGGGTTGACACATGAGAAGTAACCAAACTTTTATTATACTTGTTGCGCTCTTGTACACATGCATCTTTTCATCATCATCATCATCATCATCATCATCATCATCATCATCATCATCATCATCATCATCATCATCATCCATTTAATAAGTATACAACTTAATAAAAGGTGATCATTCCAAATACATGTATATTGTAATTCACTCCTTAACTCGATCTCACTATCCCTCCAAAAGCCACACTTGTTTTTGATGTAGAACTCCTGGACATCAAGTGATGAAGTGGAACCTTCACCAGACCACAGGAAATAGTCTTGATTTCCTGTTAGATATATATATAGCTGTATCTTGTAGTTTATTCACAAGGGATTTCATAATCAGCTTTGTATTCAACATGTGTTCATCATGTATCCATTATCAATTGAGCTTCTGTACAGTTTAAATTCTAATGCATTTTTTGTAAGACAGTTTTTTTTCCTATCAAATTTAATGGTCCGACAATAATGACCTTTTAACTTTAAAACAAAATTTGCATTTGGACCTTTTTCCTTTTTTTAAGCAGAAAAAAATGTAAATTTGACACCATTGGTTCTACCATGTGAATAGTGGTTGTCAATGCTCTTTGAAAGATGTCAAAGCTTATTGGTTTTACTGTGACAAATCGAACAACTATTAAGATGTAGAACAATATGTTATGCTTTTCTATTAGAGAATCCAATTCTTGTGAAATAATATCATGATGACCACCATTCTCCTAGCATTTCAATATTTAGAAATCTGCATGAAATTCATGTAATCCATCATATTTTATTGTTTTATATTTGATATCTTCTTATTTATTGCGAGACACTATCTGTGACAAGTTTGCTTACCAAGCGGTTATTGGACCATTTTACAGATGAGGTTGTATATGTTTTAGTCAATGACATTGTATGTGTGAATGGTTCTCCTAATGATAATCTATTCATGTATTCACATGAAATTTTTAGCTCACCTGGGCCAAAGGGCCGAATGAGGTTATGCCATATTGCGACATCCGCCATCTGTCCTACGTCCGTCAACTTTTCATTTAAACAACTTCTCCCCAAATACCGGAAGTCCTAGAATCATTATATTAGGTTACCATGTTCTTCTTATGGTGTCCTACAAAGTTTACTAAAAGAAATTACCTTGACCAATCTTCAAGGTCACAGGGGTCAAACATGTTAAAACGTTGAAACAATTTCTACGGATAGATCGAAAAGCCGAGAATTATATACTGTGGATTCATTTTATTTCGTGGGGGTCCAATTTTCGTTGTTTTCGTGGATGAGCAAATCCACGAATTTAAAAACACAACGAAATATGAACTACTTACTAAAGTAATTTTGAAATTTGACCAAGTAATCTTTGCCGACACCGGAAACGTCCACCGGTAATGACAGAAGCCCCGTAATTAGTTGGGAGTCGGGTAGTCTGAGGCTTGACATGGATACGCTAAATTGGTGTCAACGATATATAATTATATATTATTAAACATAACAAAGGGTAAGTACCCATTGTGATGCTAAGTATGATGGGATCACAGTCGTTAGCGACACTGTGGACACTAGGCTTGATCGGACCATCCTGTCGATTGAAGATTGGATCCGTATTTCTATCCGACTACAGGTTCACAATAATTATTAATAATGCAGATCTTGTTTACACACCTGTTTACACACATGGTCCAATCGATACGCGTGGTGTTTTCATGTGACTGCGGTACACCGACTGATCAGCACACAATGTTTATCCACTGAAAACAATTGTTTCTGATAATTACCGATTGATTACACGCCAGGATATATACTGATTTGTGGTTTGATATTTTAATGCGAGACTGTTGTAAACAGCGTTATAAAAACACAGGACGCCATCTTGAAAAAAAACGTTCTTTTATTCTTGTCATTAGTGTTAATTACTGTGAACATAGCCTTAATACAAACAGAAAAAAATTCGACTGGAAGCAAAAAGAGAAAATTCTAACGTTTTTATTTTTTTCCCACAAAATCAAAAATCCACGAATTTATGAGTCCACGAAACTGTCTAATTTGTAGAAACAACGAAAATTGAACCCAACGAAAATAAATGAATCCACAGTATTTGGCCGGTATGTTCCTTTTATGAAGTCCATGACAGTTTGCCAAAAGAAATGACCTTGACCCATAGTCAAGGTCACAGGGGTCAAATGTGTTCAAGGTGGGCCTCTTGTTCTTTCCCTATTTTCTTGTAAAAGAAAATTAACCATGAAGTACTAAAATAAATGGCTTATTTTGATATAAAATAATTTTTTGTCATAAATGCCAAGTTAAACCAGCTGCTTACAAATATGTTTATATATAGTTTTTTGGAATTTTCGACTTTGCATGCTGAACATTTAAAGTATCTCTACATCTGCATGTATATTGACCATAAATGAACCTTAAATATTTCAAAATTTGATGCATTTCAATGTTAACTACTTGGTATAGTTTAACTATGTTGACAGGTTGTAGGAAATATTAGACTATTTGTTGTCTATATAAACAGTTGTAATAATAAATACACTAAGATATTTATAACTTCATTCTGGTTGTAATTGAATTTGAATTCAAATTTAGAAGCTGAGATTATTCATAACAATGCTTCTGTATTGTTAAAGATGAATTTTTCAATTTGCTAATGCAATATATCAGTACATGTACTCTTCCCAATATTTGGATATATATATATATATAGATATATATATACAATGTACCATTAGAAAAAGGCATCATCCATTTTATGAACATCAGGAACCTTACAAATTTTTTAAAACATTGTACTATTGGATATTTCTGGAAAATCAAGAAGATGGATTAAATGTATGCATTCAGGACATTTTTACAGTAGATTGTATTTTTGTGTTCTCTTACTTAATTGCTTCAGGTCTTCATCCTAAATATGGGTTTGATATTAAAACAACTGTTTGAAAGCAATTTGATGTTTTGTTGTAATTAGACATAGACTATACCTAGCATACCTTGTTGAAACAGTTCAGACAGCCTGAAATTATGCCACAGAAAATAAACACATCAGTATCGGATGTTGGAACTGATGTTAAGCTCAAGAGTTTTGGCATATCTTGTCAACATAAGACAGTTATGGTAGTCCTGTTTATATGTTAGTTTCGGACAAGTATGGCTGGACCCTCAAACTACACCTGCTGAATATTCTGCAGGCTAACCTTTGTCAAAATCTGTACCTTGTGTTTCTATTCCATGTTCATCCAGTCCAACCATTTCAGTCACTTATGTGAAAGTGTTCAGTTTTCTGCATCTTCTAAAAACAAATTAAAAAACATGAAATTTCCTGGATCTTAGATTCTCACTGGCTTTTTGTGATGGTGGGCTCTTTAAACTGCCTTATGTTCGAGGTCCATCTATAAACAATTTGTTATTGCTCTTTCTTCAAAAGTACTGGATGGATCTTTCAGATTTCATATGCCGTTTCCCCCTTGTCCCAAGCTGTGCCTGCCTGATTTTGAGTTTGATCAGAAAGAAAAAATGGCTTCCAGGTGACCATCTTAAATTCGGTAATAATTGCTATTTCTGCAAAGGAGTGTTCATTTAAATTTATGAGAAAAAAGAAGGGAAAAAGACCCATCTTTTATAGATCAAACGATGGTGGGTGCTAACAATGGTTTGGTCTCGTACATTTTGTGCACTTCTGTCTCGAGGGGTAAAATGAAGTCAACATAGCTTGTTCTGTTCCAATTTGGTTGAAATCTGAGCAGATGTTCTGGAGAACTTCAAAGAATATGGCAAAATGCTCACCTAAACTGAAAGTAAAATGTATACTGTAGCAGGGCAAGTTAAAAAATGGCCTGAATACTGTAGCAATTTAGAAGGCCACACTGAAAATCTATAAATAGTAAGCTGAAATGATTCATATTACTAGAAATTTATTTCGTAAACAGATTAATGAAATAAAATGACAATGTACCTACATAAGAAATTCTACTGGTCCATGGTATATTCTATCAGATACGCTGGTTGTGTAAAGGTCAAAATATTTGGTAAAAGAATTTACAAATTTGTACTAATAAAACACATTACAGCACAGAAATTTAACATACAACTAAAAAGCATCAATATTGGTTCAAAAACTTAGTAATAACCAACACTATGATATATTTTATTATGTTAAATGTCTATCCATGTGAAGTGATGGAATAAATTACCATAGAAATTTCTCTGTGTTACAGTTATTGGTTCACCACCGACATTTTCTACATCTGAAAATCATTCTGGTATATGAAACAAGTATGTTTTATATATATAAAGGTTCTTGAGTTTCTGAACCAGTAATGAGTTTCAACCTTACCAATTTTCATGTAACAGAAAAACAAACATCAAACTTATACATATGCTTTGGGTATTGTTAGAAATAACATCTTGGTGATTCTAGAGCTGAATGAGACAAAGTCATGCAGTGGAAATTACATGCAACCAACAGCAAATGTTTAGGAAGTTGGAATGAAACATACAAATGATCGAGAGTTGGTGCCCCATTAATTTTATTACAGGAGACATCCCATGGTAAATCCTTGTTGCCATGAGCATTTGAAGAATTTGAATGGGCAATGTTGCAAAACAAGTCATTTTCAAAGTCATGGTCACCGGGTCCTATTTTAAGTTAGATTCACCACCTTTTCAAAACCAAACTTGGGTAGGTTGGTATTGGGTATTGTTTTGTTGATTACAGTACTAGTATGAAGTATCACTTATATGTAGAAATGAAAATAAGTCTTAGTTGGATTCATTACCTTGACATAGACCTATTGCTAGCTACAATATATAAATATGTATTTTTTGAAAAATCATAGATGTGTGCTGTTATCAAGAACAAAGATTAATTAAACTTCAACAAAACACTTTCAACAAATTATATGATCTATCATATCTATAATTTGATCAATGTCAGTGAAAAGTCAATTTAATACTGACTTCAGGGCTAGACCAATACATCCAATTCCCACAAGACACTAATCAATGGGCTACATCTCAAAATAAAAGCAGTATTGCAGAAGTAATATTTTACCTCATGAAATGTCTGATTTAGTCAAAATTTGGTTATAATGTCATTTGTTTTAAATCCTGGTTTTTATTGAAATGGTACCAATTTTACTGTGGTGATATTTCCATCAATATTTTGGGAATGCAAAAATAAAAGGAAGTTTATATATGACAAAGAAGAGAGTTCAGGTGGCCTTTCTAGCCTTTCCTTTAAGTGGTAGAGTGTATGTCAAGAGACCTAAGGCGCTAGTTGGAACTGCAGCAGGGGCAATGTGTTACTCATTACTCTTCCTGTTATAGTCTTTGGGGTGAAAGGCTGATGAAGGAGGAGTAAATGTAGAAGGAGAGATTTCAGGTCACCTTACTAGCCTTGACTAGTAAAAATTTCCCATTAGTCAAATGATAAAAGTCTCCGACTAGAGATCGAAAGGTCACTAGTTCAAACCCCAGCTGGGGCATGGTGTTTTTCATGACTTCTTCCTATGACAAATATTAAGCAGTAACATTTGTGGTAATTATGACAAAGGTTGTTGTGATTACATTATAGTGTACAATGCCTGTGACTTTGTTCTTGGAACAATACCCTGTAAAAATTTTTAGTTCTATTTCCACAGTTCTAAATGCCACAAACATAACTTACATATCACACTAGAATATTTTCCAAATGAATCCTCTCATTTATGCCTTATGAATAAAGTGTTGGAAACACTTCATGAAAAAAACATCTCGGTAACAGTTTGCTACTGGAGAAAAACGTAGACTTAAAAACTAGCTGAGTTCAAAACCAGATTCAGATTCCACTGCATATAACAGCTTAGTTTTCATTGTCTTCTCATCACTAAACTCTGGTAGACGTAAAAGGTTCATACAAGTGCTTGCTGTGGGTAGTCTATCTGGTTCGTTTCCACCATAATGTACACAGAATGCTGGATACAAGTCCTGTAATGTAAATGAAAACATATACAAAAACTGCCAGATAAAGGTCCAGTAATATAATGTAGACAGAATGCTAGGTACAGGTCCTGTGATGTCAAAAGCAATATAATGTAGACAGAATGCTAGGTACAGGTCCTGTGATGTCAAAAGCAATATAATGTAGACAGAATGCTAGGTACAGGTCCAGTAATGTCAATAGCAATATAATGTAGACAGAATGCTAGGTACAGGTCCAGTAATGTCAAGGTTCTGTGATGTCAATAGCAATGTAATGTACACAGAATGCTCGGTACAGGTCCTGTGATGTCAATAGCAATGTAATGTACACAGAATGCTAGGTACAGGTCCTGTAATGTCAATAGCAATATAATGTAGACAGAATGCTAGGTACAGGTCATGTGATGTCAATGGCAATATAATGTAGACAGAATGCTCGGTACAGGTCCTGTAATGTCAATAGCAATATAATGTAGACAGAATGCTAGGTACAGGTCCTGTAATGTCAATATAAACATAATGTAGACAGAATGCTAGGTACAGGTCCAGTAATGTCAATAGCAATATAATGTACACAGAATGCTAGGTACTGGTCCTGTAATGTCAATAGCAATATAATGTAGACAGAATGCTAGGTACAGGTCATGTGATGTCAATAGCAATATAATGTAGACAGAATGCTAGGTACAGGTCCAGTAATGTCAATAGCAATATAATGTAGACAGAATGCTCGGTACAGGTCCTGTAATGTCAATAGCAATATAATGTAGACAGAATGCTAGGTACAGGTCCTGTGATGTCAAAATCAATATAATGTACACAGAATGCTAGGTACAGGTCCAGTAATGTCAATAGCAATATAATGTACACAGAATGCTAGGTAAAGGTCCTGTAATGTCAAAAGCAATATAATGTAGACAGAATGCTAGCTAAAGGTCCTGTAATGTCAAAAGCAATATAATGTAGACAGAATGCTAGGTACAGGTCCTGTAATGTCAAAAGCAATATAATGTAGACAGAATGCTAGCTAAAGGTCCTGTAATGTCAAAAGCAATATAATGTAGACAGAATGCTAGGTACAGGTCCTGTAATGTCAAAAGCAATATAATGTAGACAGAATGCTAGGTACAGGTCATGTGATGTCAATGGCAATATAATGTAGACAGAATGCTAGGTACAGGTCCTGTAATGTCAAAAGCAATATAATGTAGACAGAATGCTAGCAATATCAATGGCAATATAATGAGGTCCTGTAATGTCAAAAGCAATATAATGACAGAATGCTAGGTCAGGTCCTGTAATGTCAAAAGCAATATAATGTAGACAGAATGCTAGGTACAGGTCCTGTGATGTCAATGGCAATATAATGTACACAGAATGCTAGCTAAAGGTCCAGTAATGTCAAAAGCAATATAATGTACACAGAATGCTAGGTACAGATCCTGTGATGTCAATAGCAATATAATGTAGACAGAATGCTAGGTACTGGTCCTGTAATGTCAAAAGCAATATAATGTAGACAGAATGCTAGGTACAGGTCCTGAAATGTCAATATAAACATAATGTACACAGAATGCTAGCTAAAGGTCCTGTAATGTCAAAAGCAATATAATGTAGACAGAATGCTAGGTACAGGTCCTGTAATGTCAAAAGCAATATAATGTAGACAGAATGCTAGGTACAGGTCATGTGATGTCAATGGCAATATAATGTAGACAGAATGCTAGGTACAGGTCCAGTAATGTCTATAGCAATATAATGAAGACAGAATGCTAGCTAAAGGTCCTGTAATGTCAATGGCAATATAATGTACACAGAATGCTCGGTACAGGTCCTGTGATGTCAATAGCAATATAATGAAGACAGAATGCTAGCTAAAGGTCCTGTAATGTCAATGGCAATATAATGTACACAGAATGCTCGGTACAGGTCCTGTGATGTCAATAGCAATATAATGTAGACAGAATGCTAGGTACTGGTCCTGTAATGTCAATATAAACATAATGTAGACAGAATGCTAGGTACAGGTCCTGTGATGTCAATAGCAATATAATGTACACAGAATGCTAGCTAAAGGTCCTGTAATGTCAAAAGCAATATAATGTAGACAGAATGCTAGGTACAGGTCCTGTAATGTCAAAAGCAATATAATGTAGACAGAATGCTAGGTACAGGTCATGTGATGTCAATGGCAATATAATGTAGACAGAATGCTAGGTACAGGTCCAGTAATGTCAATAGCAATATAATGTACACAGAATGCTAGGTACAGGTCCTGTAATGTCAATATAAACATAATGTAGACAGAATGCTAGGTACAGGTCCTGTGATGTCCATAGCAATATAATGTACACAGAATGCTAGGTACAGGTCCTGTGATGTAAATGTAAAGATAATATATACAGAGTTCAGGGTACAGATCATGTAATGTTTAAGTAAACATAATGTACACTCATATAACCTAACTAATTTTCCTTGAACAAAGGCATTTTTACTGGACAGGTATTTAATTACTGTGAACATATTTTCACAGAACAATTCTCCATTTTTCATTGTGAACATTGTTACCATTTATCATATAGCCACAAAACTGTAAAGACAAACATGACAACAGAACATAGTTCCAAGTATATCATAAAACTGAATCATCACAAGTACGTGTATATCAGATACATTTTTGTTCGAATCGAATACTGTGGTTGTGTCGAATATATTTTGTGTTCCGTCCCTTCTAAATCGAACAAAAAATTCCATGTTTGTGTCGAACATTCAGATGCCACGTTGACTTAGGTAAATATTCCTGGTCGGTAACGAGTGTGATCAGTCAGTCGTAACAGTGTCAACAGGCCTACATGCACTATGTAATTTCAGGGTATCAATCCACCTAATCCTTTTGTTTATACAGGTGCACAGGTAATTATCTCATTTAACCAAGAACTATGCGATCAAACAGCCATTGAAATAAAACATCCCATGTTTACTTTTTGCCCGTGAGTTGTTGTTTTATTTGAGTGAAAATGTCAACATTTGAGTGGAAGTGTCAAAAGGGGCTATAAATTAGGGTGAAAATTCGGGATTTGTCATTCATTCCACACTCTCAATCATGAGTTCAAATGAGCAATCTAGGGAAGGACCTAGGTCATCTGGGGGAAAAACTGGATCATTTGAGAAGAATGGGGTAGAAAGAAGAGGACAGAAGAGGAAAGAAGAAGAAGGAAACTTGATGTGAAAGATATGAAGACCAAATATGACGCCTTTTGTTCTTTTGTTCAATCTTGTATGCATTATCTACGTGTTTGTGACAATGATGATTACAGTAACTGTCATTAACCTACGATTTATTTGTATTTTGATAAAAAATAATTGTTATTATAAAATAGAGATGTTGCCTTGTTCTTTTCATTAATACCTTGCTATCAGACATGATCGGCGAAAATCGGGTCAGTTTAAATATACCGTAGATGTCTTGATTACAGGTGATAGACAAAAACACGGTTGATTCGAACCATCGGATAAGTAGAATATTTTACTTGGTCCCATCGACTTCGACTTATCCGAGGTTTACTGTAGTTGTAAATTCATTCTGTTGCTAAATATTAGACAACTTCACAACAAACAAATTTTGATGCAAAGAAGAGATGAAGGAGAACATAATAAAAACAAACCTTGAAGCCAAGGAGAGGTGGACGAGAACAACTTGTCACAAATTTGAGCAGCTGCCGTTTCTGACGATTGGTAAATTGTTGGACGACTTTCCAAAACATCTGAATGATTGGATGACTGTCTGTATATCCTCCTGTAGAGTACAACACAGTAAGATAATCATTTAAATTTCATTAATAATTTGCTTTGAACAAACCATGTAAACTTTCATCAAAATTATAGCCAAAATGTAATCTTTGCTTCCATTCTCAACATACATATTTTGTCGGGGTGCCACTTCACTACTTAATAGTAGTGGCTATTGTTAATATTTCCATTTGTCTTGACCTTCTGTCTATCAACAACCCTTGTAAATGCTATTTCCCAGTAAGGACTGAATGGGTCTTTTTAAAAAAATTCATGTGTAGACTTCCCTTTGTACCTAGTTGGGCCTTAGACAACTATTTTGGATTTGACAGTTGAAAGTTCATGCTATTTTTTTTTAATTTCATATGCATAGACTCTCCTTGGTGCCTAGGTGTGCAAGATTAATTGTGTATGTTTTGCAGACAGATTTGCAAAACAAAAGCCATCTTGAATGTTGACAATGGAAATTTAATCTAGGTGTTACTAAAGAAGCGCTGAATGAATGAATTCAAAAGTTTCAGATGTAGACCTCCCTTTGTCCCTTGTAGTGCACGATTCATTTTGGGACAGATTGAAAAAACAAAAGGGCAAACAGTTTAGAGAACAGAAGAAATAAATCATACTTTTATAAAGTCAATAGAAGCCATATGATGATGGGAACCAAGATTCCTTTGGGATCTAATGTTTGCATATGTTGTTGATGGTGGTGGGGCTTAATTGCTTAATTCCTCATCCCTCCCCCTTCTAAGAACATTTACAAAAGAGAGTGGGGATGGTTTGTTTGTGGTAAAATACAGTATGTATTGAAACATTTGATATTGTCAGTTGAATGATACATTGTACAATGAATCAATCAATCTAGTTATGGTATCAGTTATTTCTATAAGTGATATCCCTAGATTGAAATAGAGATATCAACAAAGATATGATTTTTATGATAAATATAAATAGATAACATCATAATTTTGTGATATTCAATAGGTAAATAGATATTATTTTTGGTTATCTATTCACATATTTAATATTGCAAAATATTTTCTGTCTGTATTGCCATATCAGTTTATATTCGTTAATATGTTTAAGAGCATTCATATATCATCAATTCAAATTTCTCAGAGTTGAAATGTTTTGCATAATCTACAATCACTGCAAGAGTTACAATCTATGATAACTGTAATGGTTACAATCAACCATTACTTCATTAACATTGGGTTATTATTTACGAGGGGAAGTATTTTCACCATTTTTCGAGGATGGATGAAATCATAACCCTTTGCATGACATTTGTAAAAGAAGAGGCACAAGGAGCTTGCATCACTCATCTTGCTAATTCAGCTATTAAGTTATTTGATAAAGAATCTATAGTATGACAAATAAGTTCTAGAAATATTTCCCTAATGGGTCCCAGCTCAGTAGTCAAACAGAAGGCAGATTCACTATTAATAAAAATTGCCTCAGACCAAAGTGGGACAATATCCTTGTCTTTATGAACTTACATTTCCCCTATTCGGCTTGACATCTCTGATATGTCAGACCCCTGGTTGATACAAAATTAGGCTCCTTTCAACTAGGTATGCTTCAGACAAAATATGTAAACAATCAAAGCATTCCCACAAAAGAAGGATTTTAGAAAATTCCTGTTTCCTCTATTTCCATTATTCGGACCCACCATTCATACAAAATTGATTCCACTTGACCCATGTGTGCTTGAGACCAAATCATGACAGAATCCTGATATTTCTACTGAAGAAAAAGGATTTTAAAAAATTTGCTCTGTTTCCCATATTAGACCCTGCTTCTCCTGTCCCAAGCGGCTAGCATGTACCGTTTATACAAAATTCCCCTTTGCCCAACAATGTTTCAGACCAAAGTGGAATAACATCCAATCATTGCTACAGGAGAAGAAGAATATCAAAGAATTTTTCCACATTTGGGCCCTGCCCCTTCCATTACAGGAGGGTTTTCTTTCTATACAGAATTTTCCCCCACTTCACCTCCTACAGACCAGGTGAGCTAAGAAAAAAACAATTATCTTATTGCATGTTTTTTTTAACTGCAAAAATGTTACAATATGATAAATAGATAGAATCAATAAAGATAACTGGTAAAAACAGGAAGGATTATGGCTGATTCTAAATCTTGTGCAGCTATTGTTTATATTTACCAGAATAGTTTGTGTGACGCTGCAAATCCTCAATGTTCACTGGAGTTATAGCCCCTGAGATAAGAACCTGAAGTTCATGGTGATCAAACATGCGGAGCCAGTCAAGGTTCAGGACATCAGACATACCCTGTCGGAAAGCTGTGCACTGTACACGTATCTGTTTACATATACAAAACAAATCTCGCTATACACAAGAGAAACCATCGAACACAACTAGTCATATTTTATTTACATCATCACAATATTCTTACTGATGAATTAATTTGTTCTTTTCCAAAAGTGTGCTCTATAAGTACAATTATCAATTACCGTATATGCTTTAATAAATGACTCTTAAAAAATTCAGAAAAAAAAGAGGCATTTATTGGGATAATAAGCAAGAGGACCATGGCCCTTAATGATAATCTGGCAATCAACAAATGGATGGACAAACCAATGAATTTGCTGATGGTGGTCAGACAAATTTGATGAATCTGAATTTTGAACATTCCTTGAAGCATCAGAAACTCATAAATGGTAGGTTCTGTGCATGAAAAATAGTTGCATCATCCTGTTACAAAATAATTACATATTCAATGTACTGTGGTTACCATATTGCAGTTTTGATCAGACTGAAAAGTAACAACAAATCAATTCTTTCTTTTCTTAAAAAAAATAAATAAATAAATTCCAAATATTTTCCTCATTGGTAAGATTTAAACATGAGAAGAAGTTCCGACTATTTGTTCTATGTTGGATTTTGGACCAAAGTATAAAAATATAATTTGGTAAGGACAATCTCAGGATCACTCCATTCATGTTTGATATCACTGCCACTCCCTGATAATGTCTCAGGCCACATTTATGAATTAATAAAGAGTAGCATTTTGAAGCAAAATATAGTCTAATTTCACCTCTTTTGGCCCCACCTCCAGGTCCCTAGGGGTTGAATCAAATTTCTGAATTTAATAATTATTTGCCAACCCCTACTGATGTTACAGACAAAATTTGAATAAAATTCATTCAAGCATTATGGCACAGTAGAATTTTGAAGTGTTGTCTAACTACCCTTTTGAGGTCCCATCTCCAGGTCCCTAGGGGCCGAATCAAATTTCTGAATTTAAGAAATGATCCCACATCCCAATGATATTTTAGACCATATTTGGCCTCAGGCAGGAGTAGTGTTTTAAAGGTAAAGTTTAGGAACAGCAAACAGCAGACGGGGCACGGCGATGGATGATGCATGATAGCAATAGATCATGTTGACACAATGAGTTAGGCATCTAAGCACACAGGAAAGACTGCTACTTTAAATGAAAGTACTGCCTATTATCAGTCATCTATTAGGTCAGAGATTTGAAAAAATATGACGATTATGTTGGTTGAAATACTTCAACAATGTGTACTTATTGGGTTTTGGGCTGAAAGATATACAGCTTACATTTTTAAACAAGAGGCCTAGAGGATCTGTATTGCTCACCTTGATACCTAAAGTCAATAATGCGAAACTTTACAATACTTTAGAAGGAAAACTTTGGGCCAGGAGAGGTTATTTCAAAATAAAGTTACGTTTAGCAATAAGCTCACCAATGTCTACAGCTGCTCAGCAGCATCAACAAGTACTGTTTTAATGTTATATAATAGGCCCATCCCAGACTGTGAGTCAAAAGTCTTGGCCCTCTTGGCTTCTTGCAGGATATAGACAGCTACAACTATAATGTTGTGGTTTAAATGCTGACTTGAATAACAAGAGAAAAAACCTCACTTGTTTGTTGAGTTTGTTGTCTGCCATTAGGTGTATGTATTCTATCCTGTTGTGGTTGTCGACTGCTATCTGATGTCCTCCAGGTTTTAACTCTATAACCTATCACAAAAGAAGTTGTATACTGTACCATACATATGATATTAATGGTAAAGTATTGTCCTGTAAAAGGACACACACCATAATGTACTGAATAAAAATCTCATCTCTTAATCTGTTATTAATTTATTATCATAATTTATTGGTTGCTTTATCTTTTTTCAACATTGCAAATTCACCAGAATTTAAAATGCTTTAAGAAACTATCCGAACAGATGAACACTGTTTAGAAAGAACTATTTTGGTAAGTTTTTAAGTCCAAATATGATTGTTGATCTATGCATCACTGGCGAAAAGGCTAGAATGAATAATTGTGGTGATGTACAAATATATTTGTATAACTAGATCAGATAAATACTAATTAGTTACATTTTTCTGACCAAAGTGATCATTCACAGTAGTGAAGTCCAAACCTAAGTCCATAACATCACCCTCATATGTCTTCAGTGACAAGAGATTTCTAAAAAAGAAACAAAATATGACTCATGAAATCTGTAATCAGAGCTTTTATCTGGTTTACTATGAGCTATACAAGAATCTAAAAAGGAGTTTTCTGATAAAATGTTTTCAGGGTTAAAGTTATAACATATTTATCTATGCATAACTTAGTGTAGAGTATTTACCTGTAAATAACCCGGATTAGAGACAGTATTTACCTGTATATAACTGAGATTAGAGAAACAGTATTTACCTGTATAAAACTGGGATTAGAGACAGTATTTACCTGTATATTACTGGGATTAGAGAAACAGGATTTACCTGTATACATCTGGGATTAGAGAAACAGTATTTACCTGTATATTACTGGGATTAGAGAGACAGTATTTACCTGTACATTACTGAGATTAGAGAGACAGTATTTACCTGTACATTACTGAGATTAGAGAGACAGTATTTACCTGTACATTACTGAGATTAGAGAGACAGTATTTACCTGTACATTACTGAGATTAGAGAGACAGTATTTACCTGTATAAAACTGGGATTAGAGACAGTATTTACCTGTATACATCTGGGATTAGAGAAACAGGATTTACCTGTACATTACTGAGATTAGAGAGACAGTATTTACCTGTATAAAACTTTACTGTATACATCTGGGATTAGAGAGACAGGATTTACCTGTACATTACTGAGATTAGAGAGACAGTATTTACCTGTACATTACTGAGATTAGAGAGACAGTATTTACCTGTACATTACTGAGATTAGAGAGACAGTATTTACCTGTATACATCTGGGATTAGAGAGACAGTATTTACCTGTATATAACTGGGATTAGAGAGACAGTATTTACCTGTATACATCTGGGATTAGAGAGACAGTATTTACCTGTATATTACTGAGATTAGAGAAACAGGATTTACCTGTACATTACTGAGATTAGAGAGACAGTATTTACCTGTACATTACTGAGATTAGAGAGACAGTATTTACCTGTACATTACTGAGATAAGAGAGACAGTATTTACCTGTATAAAACTGGAATTAGAGACAGTATTTACCTGTACATTACTGAGATTAGAGAGACAGTATTTACCTGTATACATCTGGGATTAGAGAAACAGGATTTACCTGTACATTACTGAGATTAGAGAGACAGTATTTACCTGTACATTACTGAGATTAGAGAGACAGTATTTACCTGTACATTACTGAGATTAGAGAGACAGTATTTACCTGTATACATCTGGGATTAGAGAGACAGTATTTACCTGTATATAACTGGGATTAGGGAAACAGTATTTACCTGTATATAACTGGGATTAGGGAAACAGTATTTACCTGTATACATCTGGGATTAGAGAGACAGTATTTACCTGTATATAACTGGAATTAGAGAAACAGTATTTACCTGTATATATCTGGGATTAGAGAGACAGTATTTACCTGTACATTACTGGGATAAGAGAGACAGTATTTACCTGTACATTACTGACATTAGAGAGACAGTATTTACCTGTATACATCTGGGATTAGAGAGACAGTATTTACCTGTATATAACTGGAATTACAGAAACAGTATTTACCTGTATACATCTGGGATTAGAGAGACAGTATTTACCTGTACATTACTGGGATAAGAGGAACAGTATTTACCTGTACATTACTGAAATTAGAGAGACAGTATTTACCTGTATACATCTGGGATTAGAGAGACAGTATTTACCTGTATATAACTGGGATTAGAGAGACAGTATTTACCTGTATACATCTGGGATTAGAGAGACAGTATTTACCTGTACATTACTGACATTAGAGAGACAGTATTTACCTGTATACATCTGGGATTAGAGAGACAGTATTTACCTGTATACATCTGGGATTAGAGAAACAGGATTTACCTGTACATTACTGACATTAGAGAGACAGTATTTACCTGTATACATCTGGGATTAGAGAGACAGTATTTACCTGTACATTACTGACATTAGAGAAACAGTATTTACCTGTATATAACTGGGATTAGAGAGACAGTATTTACCTGTATATAACTGGGATTAGAGAGACAGTATTTACCTGTATAAAACTGGGATTAGAGAGACAGTATTTACCTGTATATAACTGGCATAAGAGAGACAGTATTTGCCTTTATATAACTTGGATTAGAGAAACAGTATTTACCTGTGCATAACTGGGACTAGAGAGACAGTATTAACCTGTATATAACTGAGATTAGAAAGATAGTATTTACCTGTATAACTCTGGATCGAGAGAAGCTAGATGATGAATGTCTAAATTGCCACCATGACGACTGAGTATCTTTGAGAGGAAGAAACTTGCAAATGGTAGCTCCACCAACATGTTTTCATAAATGGCCTGCATTGTACGCAAAAACTTTTAGTTACCACTTTGTGGAATTAATCTGCTTAAATAGATAATTACTGTAGTGAAGTGCTATTCAAAACATATATCCATCCAACAGAATCTGAAAGCAACTTACATTAGAGAAAATTTCTGCTGTCTCATCATAATTTTAGTCATCTAGAAATATTTTGTGTCATCTTTATTGTATGGTCTTCAAGAAATCTATAAATATCTAACATCTAATTATTTTTTGTAGGAATTTTTTATGTTTCTGGATTTCATTTTGCGACCTTGGGTTCAATTAAAAGGAATGATCGAATTTCTGACCATACCAGGTTTCCTTCAGTGATGATAAGTGGAACTTTATTTCAATTCAATGTATGTGTTTACTTTACAATATACATGCAATATTGTGAAACTGATCCAGAAAGAAGATTGGTAAGTAACTTGATTGCAAAATCTGTCTTATATACTGAGAAAATACATGGTCAATGTCTTAAAATATAAACTGTATTTTGATGAGGATAAAGAAAGACAAAGTGGCAAGCCCTATGCAAGCCATTTTAGTATTTCTGTTCAAAGCTGAAATACAACTTATTTTTAACATTTTTTTTAATAGAAGTGGCAAGCCCTTGGCAAGCCTCTTTAGTGTTTTTGTTCAAAGCTGAAATACAACTGATTTTTTAAGGCACAAAGCATGTATTCTATGCATCTTGCAACATTGTTTGAAACTTTGGTTTGGAGGTCTCAACATTTTGTCTTCATAATGTGTTTACAAAATGTTGTTGCTACATATGCTAAAGTGGACCAGATGACATTTGTCCAAATAAATTGCTATGAATGAAATTATATTTCCAGCATCAAGGGATATAAGAGTAGTGTTTTGAATTTGCCTAATAAAAGTGTTCAGAATCATAAACAAAATTATTCATTTAACAATTATTCAATTCTGTAAATGCACATGCTTAATTAGAGGCATTTGCCATCACTGTTGAATACAGCTAAAAATACACATAGAAACACCAGTAGGCACTATAAATCATGTTAGACTATGAGATGCTGAATTACCTTGCCAAGCATCCTGCCTAAGAAGTAGTAATGCTTAGTGTAATTCTCCATCAAAACTGAAGACTTAGGGTTGGGGTATAGGAGCTGATCTGTTGTGTGACAAAACATCCCCCGATTAGGATCGAATCCCGTCTTCAGTAACTCAGAAAGAAATTCACGGAATATGCCTCCACCATCTATCCCTGCTTCATCCAAACCAGCAGCATTGACGAGTTGTACTCGCATCTTCAGCTTCAGGTTCGGCTCTACAAAGAATCAGACAATAACCTTCCCATAATACACCAGTCATCTTGAATAAGCCACCCAACCAATCAATATACCAGGAAAATACCAGGAGATGCTAGTCATCTGTGTGCTACTAGAAAATCAAATCATAAGAAACAAGAGGCCCAAGGGGCCTTAATGGTCACCTGAGGAATATATGTCAATAATCTGGGGATTTTAAAATGTTGCCAAAATTTAACAACACTTGTGCAGGACCATGTGTAAAACATCTGTACCAAGTTTGAACACGATCCACCCAGTGGTTCTTGAGAGGAAGTCCAAAATGTCTTAGCCAAACAGAGGCCAGGGTTGCACATTTATATAAAGCAAATCATGTTTTCATTTACAAGTTGAAATATAGCTTAGTAGATACATGTATAGCTAAAGTATACAAAAAATCAGATCAATTTCAAGTCTATCCACAATCTTTTCCTTGCCTAATACAATAAGGCATCCAACTAAAAAACTCACATAAAACAATGTGAAAAAATCTTGTGGTACTTCTGAGACAGGAATATATATGTATCAAGGCTGAGAAATGTATTGTTACCACAGGTATTGAACCATATTATACATGTAGCTCAGAACATAGAAGGTTCAGCGAGTAATAAGATCCAGGTTTGATGAAAGATCTGGCTACACTTTTTTTCTCGCCTATATGGTTGTCATAAACACACAACATGTCTTTATTAAAAATTAATATGTAACAAATATCAGAAGGGCTAATTTTGGACCAGTTATTTTTATTCTCACAAACTTCACAGTCCTTTCTCTAAAGATCATCTATATGAAGTTACACTTTTGGTTCAGGACAACAAGATTTGTTAAGATTTAACAAATTCTATCTTTTTCTGCCCCTTAAATATGCCCCCATTGAGGCCACACCTTTTTCTATTGTAAACTTAAAGAAGCTTACTTTACCTAATTTTACTCCTTTTTTACCCCCACCTGGGATCCCTATTGCAGCCATTACTTTTTTCCCCCCAAACTAAATGCGTCTTATTACATAGATGCTTTGTGCTTAGTGTGGTTGTAACCCAAAAACATGGTCAATGCCATTATAACCCATTTTCAAAAAAAAATCTAATTGACCCCTTTTTGCCCCCCATGAGGCCCCAGAACCCCTCAGACACTTTTTTCAACTCAAAGTCACATGTTCTTCACTAGGGGACCCTCTATAATAAATTTGGTTGAAATCCGTCAACTTTGAATTTTGACCCCTTTTTAGTGCCCCCTGGAGGGCCTGTTTATGACCCAATTTTTTTCTAATTCGCAAACTTTGTAGACCTTGCTCTAAGAATCATTAATTTTGAATTTTAGGAAAATCTGATACTTGGTTCATAAGAAGAAGATTTTTAAAGTTTTACCTAATTTTACCCCTTTTTGCTCCCTCCTGTAGCCCCTATTGGGGCCACACCCTTTTCTTTTGCAAACTTGATGCATCTTACTATAGGGATACTTTGTGCCAAGTTTGGTTGAAATACATCCAGTGGTTCTTGAGAAGAAGTAGTAAATGTGAAAAGTTAACGACGCACGACGACAGAAAAATCATGATTGCAATAGGTCACCAAGAGCCTTTGGCACAGAGAGTGGGTTGAATGGTTCACACTGATATTGCTTTCAAGATCATTTCCTTCAGAATAAATGAGATATCTGACAAAAGACCATGTAATACCGGTATGTCATAGAGCCTTTGCTTACCATTTTCTGGTGAAAGTTTATCAAATGCATCTTCGTAGATGTAGTTTCTGCGAATCATCACAGATATGGAAGGCCCTGACAAAAAGTGAGTCATCTCCCCTTGGTATTCCTGTCGGTCAGTCTGAATCAATTTCTGGAGGATCTGTCAAATTATGGCAAGTCATTACGAAAAGTGGAAGTTTATACCAAACAGTTATTTATCCTTCAATACAATAAGACCATGGCTTCTTTATATCAAATTACCATTTTACAACTAGGTACTGGCCTTTTCATATCTATACTTTGATCAGCTGTAATATGTCTGCAATTCCTAATACTGACCTTGAACCGTTCTTCAAATGTCACAACAAATGGGAGCTCAGTAAGAATGACTAGATTTTTAACATCTGTGTTAGATAAAGGTGGTCCATCTTCATCTGAAATTGAACATTTTCATTCATTCATTCCTTCATTTACTAAATGAATTAAAATCATCAAAACGACAATTAAATTCCTCAACATATGTTTAGTTACTATGAGTTTGTAAGGATTTTTACATACCAATTGAAGTGGAATACAAGTGCATAATAACAGAGTTATCGGTCAAAGATGTTTAGTTGTCTCTATGAAAAGTATTAAGTATCTCAAGGACAAGATTTTAAATGTTTGAATGATGAGAACACTTACCTATGGTTGTTTTTGTCAGGGATTTCATAGCTCCGAATGGCCGCCTTGTGAACACTGAACCTTGTGCTCTGTATATCTGAGAAGGCTGGAATCAAATAAAAAACAAAGGTCCATTACAAAAAATTACATGCACAAATATACATTACATTAAATTGAATTTAAAGAAAAAAGACATATTCTTCCATTTTTTTTATTAATTTTCTCTACATTGAAGATAGTGATGATTAAAAGTATACTGACACTTCACAACACAGGGCCTATAAATTACCATGACACTAAACTGTAATAAAGCACCTGTATGAATATGAAATTATCAGAATTCTGAAAATTTATGTCTTACGACCCTTACTTCAACTCTCGGGACAAAAAGACAGATTATTATAAGGCAATAAGTTCTTAAGCTTGGTTCTTTGCACATACTTTGTCAGCTTGGATAGATACTCTGTCTGACTGCCAAAAGTTAATGGGACAGAATGTCCGCCGGGTGTCCCTGGAGTAGAGTTGTCTTACAAGTGAAGATGTCACCTGTAAGGATGAAAAGATTACAGTAATAAGGAAAGTAATATAGTCATAGAGGGAAATTATTAAATCTTACTACACCTTGAAAATTAACAGAGTAATAGAAGTCAAATACTAAAACTCAGGAGCACACCAGTAGGATTGAAAAGTATCAAGAGTAACAGAGGTCAATACTAAAACTGAAAAACACCAATGAAGGACTATAAAGTACCATAATAAAAGAGGTCAAATACCAAAACTTAGGAGAAAAAAAATGTATTTGAGATAAACAAAGTCTCAGTATTTAAGCATATAAAAGTGTTACTAAAAAGCTGTTTTGATTAGATATGTCAACACAAAATGATTTTTAATGCTTCAAAATGAAATCTTGAAAATTTCTGTTAACAAAAATGCTCTGCTTCCATTCAAATCTGTAAATAGTGACAGTCATCTTTCATCTTGGAATGCTAAAACACATAGCTATGATTTTCTTATATATGACTGTAAGTGTCTACTTTCATCCCTACAGAATTGAAGTCATGCTGATGACTTTGACAATATGGAGATAAGATGTGATTGGATGGAAATTAAGAGGTGTGAATATGTTCAAAATGCAAACATTAATCATTAAAAATAATGCTGTATTATCAAATTATTGTTTTCAAGGAATCTTCTTTCTGCCTGTTTTAAAAGATGAAATTAAATAACAAAAAAAGAAATTGATAAAGAAAACACTAGGTTGTTTTGTGATTTAAATGCAAACACACCCATTTTATACCAAGCTTTTGGTAAAAACTGTAAAAACTTGATCAATCAAATAAACCAACCTTAACACACTATTAAATTACTTGAATGAGTAACACTTAAGAAAATCAATGACCTTAAACAAGTAAGCCCACATGTGATTGTTATGATCCTCTGCTTCCTTCTTTCGTGGTTTATCCTTCATGCCAGCTTGTATAAGTGCCTCGTGATAGTCCTCTGTGATTGAGAGCCGCGTATCAGGGTGCGCCAGCTCAATCACACCCAGACAAGTGTCACGAAGTACAAGGGTCATCGGAATTAATTCTTCCAAGCTGAATGGCATACTGCTAGCTATAAGTGCAACAATTTAATCTCAAAATTGTTAGTCATGAATCCTGGATCCTACCCAGGAAAACTCTGAACATCAATAAAGCTAATACTGACAGAATTTTATCATATTTCACCAATCATAACAATATTCCCAGCAAAGCTGTCATTTACTTACTCAAACATTAGTAAAAGTAAAAGTGGTATGTATCTTATTCAAGTGAATTAATTTAAGTCTCTGAATACTGCTTCCAATTATTTCAATTTATTATTGTTTACTGTTTTTGGTATGTGGGCCAATTTCTAGATACATTTTAAGTGCAACCTTCTCATATACAGAGAAACTTTAACTTATATCAAACTATTTCAAATACAATGAGAACCCAGTTTTTAACTGATAAGTTTATCATTTCCAATGCTTCATTTACATTCCTCATTCACAAAAGTCTAGAAAAGCCATCAAATATGTTTTGAAGCCATGAAATGATACACCAATACAGACAACAGAATTGAAAAATCCTTTGTCATCTTCAAAAAGCAAAGTTTGATTTTGTTTTGAGAAGCAATGTCTCACTCTGAATATTTATACTACTCACAATTTGATAGGGACCACACCTAATAATTAGCAAAATTTTCTTTTAAAATAAAATAATATGTATTCCTTATATTTGTTGGTTTATATCTGTACCGAGGTCTATGTGTATTGGGTGTTTATGTGGTCAGTCACCCATAACGCACAAGCCTCCTACGTGCAGACTGTCATCAATACGTTTGTGGCAGAATATCTTGCTTTTTGCTTTACATTTTGAATTTTAATGGTTTCAAAATGCCCCAACAGCAGGCTAGAAGATGTCTAAGCACTTCAGATATGGACAGAGGCATTGGTATGGTCCAGTCTGGTAGGTCACAAAGGGAGGTGGCCAATGACCTTGGTGTGTCCCAGAGTGTTGTGTCCCATATGTGGAATTGTTATCAAAATTATGGAACTGTCTCCAGAAGACATGGTGGGGGTCGGGAACGACTTACCTCGCAGCGTCAAAACCGCTATCTTGTTATTGCAGCTCGACGTCAAAGGTTCATCAACGCTACGTCACTATGTAATGACTTCCAGAATGCCACCGGAACTCGTATCTACACACAAACTGTGAGAAATAGACTTCATGATGCTGGTTTAAGGTCGCACAGACCTGCTGTGAGAATTCCTTTGACATTATGACATGTTCAAGATAGACTTGCTTGGGTTCGTGATCATGTGTATTGGAACCTCCATGACTGGTCCCCCGTACTTTTTACAGACGAGTCTAGATTTTGCTTAGATTTCACTGACCGACGTGCAAGGGTGTGGCGCCAACCAAATGAGAGGTTCCATGCTGCTAACGTTTCCCAACATGACCGATATGGTGGTGAATCTGTTATGGTTTGGGGTGGCATTAGCATGCAAGGCAAGACCGACTTTCTTAATGGCAGTTTGACTGCACAGAGGTACTGTGACAAAGTCCTGAACATGAACATCAGGCCTTATGCTGGTGCTATAGGTCTGGAATTAATTCTTATGGACGATAATGCGCGACCACACAGAGCTCGTGTGACTGAACAGTATCTGGAAAGGGAAACAATTGAGAGGATGGACTATCCAGCCCAATCTCCAGATCTCAATTCTATAGAACATGTGTGGGACATGCTTCAGAACGCTGTTTCGGCGAGAAACATCCAACCTAGAACGCTTCAGGAACTGCCACAGCGTAATTGATGCTCGAGGACATTATCCTCGATACTTACACTTAGTGTTGGGACGATAGTTGCTAAAAATTGATAGTTATCGCCGAGACCTGATGTTGGCGACAATCAATTGAAATCTTGTCACTCTCGAGTTTACAATATGTCCTTTGCATTGAATGGTATAGATTATGGAAGAGGGGAGATCACATGGGCGAGGAACCTGAGCTGTATTGTTATCCCGGCACTGTAAAATCGGTGGTATGGAAGTTTTTTGGCTTTCACAATTTCATGTAAAAATGGATACAATTGTGTCATAAACATAATTACATAAACCACACATACAATCTTATAAAGTTTTCTTACAAACCGGTCCGATTGAACAATTGATAATCAATCGCTCCAGGCTTCCGATTAATCGATAGTGATTTTCTGTCCCAATTCCCAACACTACTAACACTGTATTTTTCGCTGAACGACACTGTTTCGTAGGACTTAATTTTTTGCCCCTTTTGTCGTAATTTGCGATTTTCGGGGTATCTGTGTACAATGAGCATTGAAGCAAATTAATACTGTTATTCCTCCCTTGGTGTTGTTAAATCTTCATCTTATAATGCCGAAATATGTATAAATTGAACTTAAGAATATATTCTTAAAATAGATACCGTTACACATTAAACAAAAAAGTGATCCCTATCAAATTGTGAGTAGTATAGTATATAAAAAAGATTGCTTTACAATAAATATCAAAATATTGCATTGATGAATAGATTATTTTGAAAGTTGTTAGTAACATGGAATTGATAAAGAATACAAAAGGATCCCAATTAGCTACAATAGCTACTAAATCCACTTAAGAAAACAAAATCTACATGATTATTTTAATGATTTCAACAGTCAAAACATCTGTCAACTTTAAAAACATTTACCTTTAGTTTCTCCATAAAAGTCAGCATCGTGTATAGTATACAGGAAGTGGTTAAACATTGAGCAAAAAATGGCTAACAATGGCACAATTCTCTGGATATCATCGTCTGAGAGGTCCACACCACAAGCTAACATCTGTATGAGGGAAGCTTCCGTACTGACAACAAGAAGTTTGGTAAAGATGACATAGTTAAATTTTGAAAAACCATTGCTTGAAAATTTTAAAACCAAAAGAAATTATTGTTTCAAAATTATAACTGCAATATAGGGCAAATGATCAAAATGGGAAGAGCCTCTGTTTTTACATCTCAGATATATTTTGGAACACCAAATTTCAAAGTTAAAGGAATTTTCCTTTCAGATTTCAGCTACAGCATTGGGTAAATAAGATAAAAAGACAAGCAGCACAGGTTTTTACATCTCAGATATATTTTGGAACACCAAATTTCAAAGTTAAAGAAATTTTCCTTTCAGATTTCAGCTACAGCATTGGGTAAATAAGATAAAAAGACAAACAGCACAGGTTTTTACATCTCAGATATATTTTGGAACACCAAATTTCAAAGTTAAAGAAATTTTCCTTTCAGATTTCAGCTACAGCATTGGGTAAATAAGATAAAAAGACAAGCAGCACAGGATTTTACATCTCAGATAAATTTGACCTACCCCATGACTGTCCAATTGCAGGTAGTTGTACAGACTGACCATAGACCCTGGATGAAAGACTTGCTGAATGCTAGACTATACAGCAACCTGAAATTCAGTAATCAAATATACTAAAAGTCCTTAATAGTTGGATTAGGGAGTGCTCAATACTGTACAGTTAGTAATACTTTAGATAGTATTGCACAAAGTCAAATCCTTATGACCTAGCCCCAACCGAGACAGTGGTTAGATAATAGGGCAAATAAAATAGTGAACTTTGTGTTTTTTAATTCATAACAATACTGACAGTGATTAATTTTGTCAGACAATAACATAAATCATTATAAAAATAAATGATTTCTAAAACCAACTATCTTGAGCTGAATGGGACTCCAGCAATTAGTATTTGATTTTAATTAGAACATTCTAATTTCCATTATAGTTATAACATTACCTGACTTTGTGTATTTCCAAGTGATGATGTGTCATTAATGCATGACAGATGACACAAATAGCTGAGACTATGTCGTGAGACATCTTGTTTCCAAGACAATCTATGACACGATGAACAAAATTTGGGGAATTTAGGAAGGTCATGCAATCTTGTTGTATTTTCTCTAAGCCACCTGTTGGAAACTGGAAGAAAAAGAATGATGATAAGTAGCAAAGAAAAGAGATTTACAGAAATATAAAACTTTATCTAAATGACTTAAAAGATTTCATGGTACTTGTATCATGAAATTTGTTTTAATCTATGTCATACATCAAATGAAATCAAAACACAACAAAAACAAATCTGAGAAATTCACAGAATTTACACTAAAGCCTATGGGTACAGATCAATGTCGTTTTTTTTATCAAAAATCACAAGCTACGGTACTTTTTCACAACTCTGTAATTTGCAAGGAACAAGTTTCCTAAGCTTATAGCTTGTATATAACGACTCTGTATAATGCTGAACTCAAACAGATGGACATGTCTCCATACCTGGAAACATACTCTGTATAATGCTGAACTCAAACAGATGGTCATGTCTCCATACCTGGAAACATACTCTGTATAATGCTGAACTCAAACAGATGGACATGTCTCCATACCTGGAAACATACTCTGTATAATGCTGAACTCAAACAGATGGACATGTCTCCATACCTGGAAACATACTCTGTATAATGCTGAACTCAAACAGATGGACATGTCTCCATACCTGGAAACATACTCTGTATAATGCTGAACTCAAACAGATGGTCATGTCTCCATACCTGGAAACATACTCTGTATAATGCTGAACTCAAACAGATGGTCATGTCTCCATACCTGGAAACATACTATCATTATTCACAGCATAGAGAATTCTGGTTCAAAATTACTTGACACCGAATACCCTCAAAACATACCACTTGGTCAATATCCATCTCATCGTCAGAATCATCATCCTCTTGAACCTCTCTGGTTGGTAAACTGCAGAGTAACTTTTTCAGTACAGATAGAAAATCCACTGTCTGTTTTATGTTCAGAACTTCTGTAAAATTGCAAATTATTTTTTCTCCTAAACTTCTCACAAAATTTATACATGTGTTACTGTAAAATGTTTCAATACAGCATGTCAATTTTAGTTATTCCCAAATCAGGTAATGTCAATCACATCATTTTGTTTTCATTATTTTGCCTGAACATGGTGTTAATTTCCAAATGATCTCCATATTTTGTTTACATATCAATTTATAATTTCAGCAACCCCTGACAATAGTCAATTTTAGAAAAGAATTTTTTTCATATGGTTTGCTAAAGTTAAGATCATATAACAAAGACCCTTTAAAAGCAAAACCAAAATGAGGTTCAAACCAGTATTAAATTGTATTCTGTGAGATTTAAAGATAAGTACTAATTTTTTTATATCCTAAATTTGAAGGTATCTTTTCCCCCCAGAAATATCAACAAAAAAGGAGTTAATGAAAGACCTCAGAGTATAGGATTTCATCTTTTTTTAAACAATTAAAAAATCCATTCATATCAAACACACAACTTACCTATATATTTACCAGCTAAGGTAACTAGTGCACCAAGAAGCCATGGGGTCATTTCAAAAGATGTACTACATAACCTTCCATTGCCCCGTGTTTCTTGTTTACTATCGATAGTGGTATCAGTTATGAGAGCTTGAATGAGATCAACAAATGGGAAAGGAAATCTTCCGTAGGCCATAGCCGGGAGGAGAAAATGTTCAATCTGCTCACTGTAGGCTGGGCATAGCAAGGACCGACATAAAGCCTTCAACACACAGTGACTACAACATACAAAGTATACTTCAACATACAAAGCACACCTTTCTTCTTTCATGTTTGAAACATGTACTTAAATGAATATGAGTGGCACTAAAATTGTAAGGATTTAAGCATAAGTTAAGTCTCATTCTTAAAGAGATGAATCACTAAATGAAAATTCTTTAAGTCATGCGTCTCCCAATTACCTAAATGCCTGATTTTTGTGCTGTAAGGCAAAGCTGACAGGCCCCATGATGAGCCCCAGAATACTATCAGCCAGTGGAGTAGGGGCTACAGCTGTTCTCTCCAGGTCAGATGGTACCTTAGCCTCAAGTATCACTCTCAGATAGTCAAAATAACCTAAATCAACAGAAACATTACAAATATTTCATGTTTATGGTACTGTTCGTTTACAACCAGGCAAGTTGATCTCATTTATTAATTCATTTGGACAGCTATCTAGCTTTTGGTACAATGAATTAATTACTCTGGACACAAGGTAAATATCAGTTATGACTTTGACAAGGGATGTTCATTTATGAAATAAGGAACCTACTTATGTTTTGTTTTCCGACAAGCCTTAACAAAAATTTTGAGACTTGTATCAATATGGGCAGGTTTGTACCAATTTTTATCTAAAATGTTGTATTCAAAATATTTAGAAACTGGTTTGTCAACATAAATGAAAGGATCCCCAATACAGCTTTATGTGATGAATTTGTGTCACATTATTTCATAAGGTAACTCTTATTTAATCATTAACTTTTTTAAATATGGCAAAAGTTTGGACATAGGGAAAAAGCTTCAGATGTAAATATACCATGGTTGATGAGGTACAGCCATGTGTGGGGGACTGGCCCATCTGGTCTCTTTGTGAAGTTGCATGATCTGTAGAGCTCTGATGATGTGAACATCTCCAGCATTCTCATTGGAATTGCTATAGGGGCAGCTGTATGTATGACATCCTTCAAATGTCTACAGCATATAAAATAAGTATATAAAATCTGAAGTTAAACATACAAATTAAACAAATGTCTTATAGCATACAAATACACATCTAAAAAAAATACAAAATAAACAAACAAAGGTTGATATGTGACCTTCTTCCTGATAAACAAAGTGCTCCAGAAAGGGATCTTTCTTTGAGTTTGCAAAGCTGGATGCTGTAATGATTTTGTTTTTGGGGTCAACACACAATATCTACAGCATAATAACAAAGAAAAATGTTAAATATATTCAACATAGAGCAGTCAACAGTTGGACCTACCTTAAACACAGCACTAGTAACCTTTGTAACTGATATAAACCACTGGGGATACAAGAACACATATAAGTCAGGTATTCATCTTTCTTCTTAATCACATTCTGACATACCCATATCTGAAAATGTAGGAACACAAAGTTAATGTCAAACATAAGTTAGCTTCTTTTACATTTCAATGATATATATGACTAATGGTAATGTTTGTCTATGGAGTTGAAGTAGGCAAGGATTTGAAACACAGGAGATAACAGATTCTGTTTCGACATGGAAAATTGATTTGGTATGTTTCAATCTTTGTTAGAATTTTAAATAATTTGACTAGGTTTCCATAATACTACAGAAAAAGACCCCAAACAAACGAAAACAAAATTACACTACAGTTTTACCATGTACCTGAGCATAAAATGTAATTCTAAAACAAGATACCCTTAGGCTCGTGTTGCTCACCTGTCCTTCATCACTAGTGAAGTTTTAAAGAAATTGTTAAAGGATGACACACAGATGATGAATGCCAGGGTACCGAATTAGTTCACCTTGACCAGGAGAGTTAAATGTGTTTTAAATTAATCAATAATGACATATAAAATGTATCATGAATATAACTTTACCAATCTCTGGGAATCAAGTTTTTCTGTATAGAAAAAGCATAGCTTCTGTTGGAGTAAACAAAGTGTCTTCATATCCAATGATTCTGGCCGCTGTACAGACTGGACTCTCTGGTCAAACTGACTTCGCACTGCCACCATCTACAACACAATATTATAATACACACTTTTTCAAGAGAAATGTTTGAGATTCCTTTTTTTTCTTTATCAAGCAGAAATGTATCTTTCATAATTTCAATATCTTTTTTTTAATATTTGTTTTTGGGGAGTTTTTTGTGCTTTTTTTTTTTATTTTAATCTTCATTATGTTATAGCCCAGTTTCTATCTTCCAAGAAAAAAGTTTGACACACATAAAGTTTGGTATCCAAACTACAGTATTCCTTTTTGATCACAAAAAGACAAACAGCTCTAGCTAAGTTCTGTGATGGATTAAAGTTCATCAATATCTAGTCTAATCTGTAAATATATCAAGTTAGTACACACAAATTTTGATTTAGAACAAAATGGCTTCAGTCTACATTAGGATGATTTAGAGCTAAATCTATCAATATTCTATTCAGGAAGCCATTAAATCTTTCTTAAGAGAACATTAAAATACTACTATCATTCAAATCAGTACTTTCACATTACGATAATACAATTTATTTAAACTCCTAGAACAAACTGCAAAATTGACTTAAGTATAATCTTATATATTTGTATATTCACCAATGGACATTTTTCACTGATTCAAAGAATTCACTTACGGTAGATGTTGATAATTAGATGTAATATTACCTGACGTTTTCGGACAGCATAACTGCGGAAGTAGGCCTGTATTTTTGTTGCACTCTCATGCTGCAATCTCACCTCCTGAAGTTTAGGATATGTGAAGTGTGTATCTAATGAACATTTCACTTGTTTTCCTTCTACTTTGTAGGGTATATATATGCTTAAAACAGTATACCCTGATAAATTTCTGTCAGTAGGTGTTAATTTATTTTCTGACTTTCATCTATAAATGATACTTCATTAACTACCTAGCTCTAATTTTTCATTTCAATCATTTCTGAATGTTTAAAAATGATTAAAAATGAATATCATGTAAAATATCAATATACATTTCCAGTCTCAGACAGTTTTTCCCCTGGAAACTTTATAGAAGTATATCATTGCATTCATTTATCATCACAAATATGTATGCATAAGCACTCAGCCACACTTTTACATGAGAATATGTTTCAAAGAAAAAGGTCCAGGACCAGTGGAACAGAAAATAATAGAGGGTTTAGTGTCTCTTTCATACCTAATTAACATATTTTCCTTACCTCTCTTCGCTGCCTTTCAATCTGAGCTCTGATCAATAGCTGATTTTTTTCTTCCTGAAAGCAGATTATCTGACAATTACTTAGCTCATCAACATGTTACTCTTATGGAGATTACCCTATATGTACATCTGCACAAACTACACATACATGTTATTATGCTAGTCATATATATGAATTCTACTCATTTCCACACCAAGTTGTTTCGGCATCAAGTTGCTTACTCACAAAAGTCATTTAGGTACTTGCAAAATGGTTCATACAGCGAGAGTGTAATTTTTGAGAACACAATTTTTTAGTAATGGAATGAGCAATATTTAATAATGACAAAACATGGAAAACCCAATACATCAATCAAAACATTTTCAAAAATACCAAAACAACTTATTTTGGAAGTATCAAAACAACCTGGTATTGAAACGAATTGCCATTGAAAATAAATGTACTATCAGATTTTTAATCTAATTCCAAGCAAGTGGTATTCGTTTCAAATCAAACCTGACCAGTATCAGTGACAGCATTAATATTAATAGGCAAACGTCGCTACTGATAATCTATATTTATTTTTTAATAAATACTTTAAGAAATCACATATTTTCAATTTAATTTTTACTCTAGTTTTTGTCCTTTGATATACAATTGCAGGAACACGCCTTTTCTGCATGAAAATGCAGGCATAGAAATATTACACAGCACCGCTTACGAGTTATAGTTAACTTTTATGTAAATTGGGTTGAGTTGATGATTATCATGAACTAGTAAATGGGGAGGAGAGAGAACAGATGAGGAGTTGAGAAGGAAGAGGAGAGCAGTGGAAGGTTATATTAATTTACTGATAATGGAATGACGTGACCACGATCATGAAATGACACAGAAGTGTTTACTAATACTAAACAATATGGAATATCCTATATCATTTATGAACGTTAAATATATTTTCAAAAACAAAACATACACATCATATTTCAATCATTCGTTATAATTAGAACTCACGATCTAAACGCGTGATTCCAAGGATTTTTGTCATGAAATCAGCTGTTTATTTCGTTTCCAGTTACAGAAATTAATAAAATATTTCCAAAATATCTTAATGCATTTTTACCTTTTTGCTTGCTCCACGCAAGGATTGAATCGGTTTTCTTCGGAAATCTCCCTCAAAACTGTACATTTCGCTTCTTCACTATTTTTCTAGAACCTGCAGAATGACTGTCAAGTTTTTGTTTACATAGACTGTTACATCGACGCTGATTGGACAAGGAAATTTACATTGGCCAATCATATAATCTGTAAGTATTAAGAGACGGTTTTGGCAATCTACTTCCGGTCTTATAGCTGGAGCCACGTGAGATCTGTCAACAACGCTGCAAAGTTACAATGTTTTACCTCATAGGTCTGGGTTTAGGAGATGCTTCAGATATCACAGTTAAAGGGTTAGAAATTGTCAAGAAATGTAAACGAGTGTACCTTGAAGCGTATACATCGATTCTCACAGTAGGAAAAGAAGCTTTGGTAATTAGAATGTTACACTCACAAGCGTTTTTTCGTTGATACGCAGGCACTTGTATCTGGAACGTAAACAGCACAAGCAAAAAATAAGACCACTATGCTCTAATAAACTAGATTTTGCTTGTGTTGCTTTTTACGTTCCAGATACATGTACCTGAGGCTGATATCAATAACTTCTATGATCACCGGCTACCTTTATAGAGTTACAATGTGCTTAAATCTGTGTAATGAATAGGATATTTTGTGTAATACGCATCTTAATATTTCAGGAGAGTCGTTATGAAAATTTTAATAGTTGTCAATCTGTCATGCAATGGTCCTGTGTCAAGTATGTTGTCAAGATGTTATACTGTTTGAGCAATTGAATGTTATTTTTTTATAACAGATGTTAATCACGGCTATATAGAGTTGCCATGATCTAAATGTTAACAGTTGTAGTCCTTAGTCAACATGCAAGATATTGTTTGAAATATTTCTCTCTTCCTTATTAAAGAAAAAAATCCTTGACTTGTTACACTTCTGTATCATTGTCTGGATATGGTGTTTCCTCAATGTTTTGAGGACCATTTTTCTTTTAGCATAAATTCAGTACATATTCACTGTTAAATTGTGCACACTTGCGTATCTAAAAGTATCGAAATGTACCTTTAAATTGTCTCTGGTTCATATCTGTTGAAAATAATGGTCCTTTGTTCACATTTTGTTAATGAGGATTTGATTAATTAGAGGAAAGATAGACAATCTCTAATTGCTTATTGTTGTTAAGAGGTTGAGAGAACACATTCACCATACCAGCCAGGCTAGTGGGAATTTTCCTTTTTAGTCAGGCATTATGGTGTCTGTCTAATGCTGAAGGGTTGCTATTTCAAAATGCAGGTATAGGAAGGTGTAAATTTAGTGCTGCCCTTTCCAAGATAGAATTTTTTTTTTTTTTTTGGTAAAACACAATATTAAAATACATACAAACATGTAAAGTAACAATTTTGTTGAACCAGGATAACACAGTAAAGTCCGAAGACTTATTTCCACTGTGGTCCCTTTCCATAAAAAACGTTACAATACGACATAAAATACAGTGACCTTACATAATACAAAATGCACAAATATTATTGATATAAAATATATATTTAGTAAAGAACCTAAAACTATTTAAACTAAAAGTTTGGCAGGAATATCATTGTATCACAGAAAATGTATCCAATTATGAGGTATTTTGTAAAAAATCTCGAACAGCTTTTTTAAAACTTTGTTTCCCGCTAGACAAAGAAGGGGAAGAGAGTTCCAGGCCTTTACTCCGTTAAAATAAAACTTTTTGAAATTTGACCTTTACAAGAAGGCACAACAAAATTCAGACTAGAATTCCTTGTACTATAATAGTGTTGGTCACAAACTTTTGTAAATCTGGACAAAAAGTAACTAGGACATGTTCCATGGAATACATTGTACATATGATTGAGACATAATTGTTTTGCTCTATTTTCCACGTTTAAGATATTTAACTGTGATAACACATTTTTATTTATACTATCTCTAGGACTAAGGTTACAAATAAAACACACACACCTATTTTGTGCAACTTGTAGCTGTTGTTTCATTTTTTGGCTCAGACCGTGGTACCAGGCTGTACAACAATAATTAAAGTGACACAGAACAAGAGAATTACAAAGTGTTTTCCTAATACCCAATGGGAGATCTTTACATTGCCTATTAAGGAAGTGGAGTCTAGAATTAACTTTCTTTATTATGTTATCAACAATATGTTCACCTGTTAAGCACTTATCTATATCGATACCGAGATAGCGCACTCGATCTGATGTTTGAATAGGTTGGTCATTAATAGTTACTTCAAAAGAGTCTATTTTGCTAAGTTTTTGCTTTGTACCAAAAAGAATGACTTCTGTTTTTCCAAGGTGCAAAGACAATTTATTATTTACTAGCCAAGTGTGACAATTAGATAACTTCTCCGATAGTTTTGCCTTGATTTCATTAGGATTTTTGCTTGAAAATAGAATCGCGCTATCATCTGCGTATAAAAGTAATTTAGAATCTTTACTAATTGAAAGCTCCATGTCATTTACATAACAGAGAAACAGAAGGGGGCCAAGAATGCTCCCCTGGGGTACCCCACATGTTACTTTTTGAAATGAAGACATCGCATCGCAGAGTAGAAGCTATTGGAGATTGAGATGCTTCCTTGGAGATATTGAACAGGGGTTGTGGGTATATTTAGGGGCCAAGGCCTTATCAGCCATGCTTAGTTGGAAATTTCTTTTGAGTCAAGCAGTAAGGAGTCTGTATGGTGTCTGTATTTCATTACATCTTCCTATTAGATCGTATTCAAGCACAGTAAGTTTTCCCATTTCAAAATGTACTGTTTAATGCATTGTTATACAATAAGTATACAATTGATGCTGCATGCTGTCCTGTACAATGCTTTGTCCCACTGTACTTTTGATGATACATGCATATGTGAATAGATAGATTTTTTGAGATGTATGGTACCTAATCATAAGATTCATTATTCTCTTCATCTGCAGGAGGAGTATTATGGGAGAGAAGTTATCCTAGCAGATAGGGAGATGGTGGAATCTATGTCAGGTGAAAAAGGCTATGGTTATATGTTGGCAAATTGTTTTTATGTAAAAGCGGTTTTAATTTAATGGCATGTCAGCATTTTATTAAGATATTGAATGTGTTTGTGAAAAATATGTAAACCTGTTTACAAAAATATTTGGTTAACAGATACGTGGATTTTACATAGAAACACAAATTCATTTTTCTAACAATGATTGCAAAGTCAAATAAGTTATTAAATCAAATTGTAAGAATTTTTCAGTTATGGTAATAATTTTCATGTGATATTTTATATCATCTGTTTGATAATGAGATTTAACATCTTGGACAATTCTTTTGTGATTTGATTACAAATTTCAGAAACCAAATAATTGGCAAATTAAAATAAGTTGTATTTTGAAAAATGTTTTTATATTTGTTCATGTGTAGTTGATTTCTCTTAATGCAGATGAGTTACTGAATGAATCTGACAAGGAAGACATAGCATTTCTAGTTGTGGGTGATCCTTTAGGGTTTGTATAATCTTTGTTTTCCTTTCACCTGGCTTGAGGGGTCATGTTAGCTTATGCTGTGGCGCAGCATCCATCATCCGTCAGTTGTAAACCAGCAGACCAAATGTTATTGTATTTGGCTAGTGCATTGCTGAGATGAAGCCTGACAAAAATTACAAAAAAGAAATGACATTGACCTATAATTAAGGTCACTGGGGCCAAATTTGTTAAAACCGTTAAAAAATTGCCTCTGACTAACCAAAGGATACAGAGACACAGCATTTGGCTGATAGTTTAGGAGGATGATGTCTGACAAATTTGCGTAAAGTAATGACCTTTACCCAAATTGAAGGTCACAAGGATAAAATTTATTGAAACCTGTAGAAGACTTTGTCTTTAAACCAAAAGTCTGAAATGCAGGATATTTGGTGGAAAGGTGATTTTATGTCAAAGACCAAATAATTTTGAGAAAGAAAGAAATAACATTTTTCCATAATCCAGGTCATAAATGTCACTGTTTAGAGATGAGTATTATAAGCACCTTGTTGTGAAAATTGGTTAAAATTAATTGGATATGCCCACTTTGAGTGCCAATGGTATACATGTCAGTATATTTTTGATATTAGCACTGGTTTTTTTTTGGTGACCATTGAATACCAGGTAGGTAATGCAGGCCAATCAGGCCTCTTTTAATTTTAGATCATCTGAACCGAAGGGTCAGGATGACCTATAGTCATTGTGTTTTGTTGGTCGTTTTGCCATTTTGTAACATGATTGTGCAATCATGGTTTTCATGTGCAACACCTATTTAAAACAACTTCTCAAGTTTCACTTGTGGGATTGAGCTCCAGCTTGTCTGAAATGATCCTGAGATGGTCCTTACTTGTGCCCTTTTTATATTTCCTGTTACCATGGAAACTTATCCTAAAACCACAAAATTAGCGTTAACATTCCTTTCCAGGCTATAACGTCAAAACCGTTCAATTCAACATCACAAAACTTGCGGTATATATTAAGTTAGGGCCGTTGTTTTGCCTTTCACTATTGACAACATTTTATTTTTTGTTTTTTTCCCTGTTACCATGGAAACAGCCAAAATACAGAAATTTATATAAACCTTCTTTTGCGGGCTACAATTTCGAAACCATTCCACTTAACTCCACAAAACTTTCTGTATATATTAGGTTAGTGTCCTAGTTATGTCTTTTCTTCTTGAGGACATTTTCTTTTTCTTTTTTTCTGTAACCATCAAATTTTTTTGATTTCTTGTGACTTATTGTATTACTCCAGAGCTTATAGAGTGTTGCATAAATTTGTTCATGGACAATACCAAGCTGTATTCAAATATCAACAGTCAAATACACAGGATCTACATCAAGTTATAAACACTTACTATAAGGTTGATATATAAGATATGTATGTATATATATATAAAATGTTACAGTTGTGGAGATGCAAGTAAATTTAATTGATAATTGACAAAAGAAGATGTTAACCTTTGCACTTAGGCTTTCACTGCTTTAGATCTTCAGTTGATAGTAGCGGTACATAATTGAGTGATGTCACAAATTGTTGTTCCAGTATATATGTATCATATTTTGGTTTTACACCAACAACTGGGTAGGGATACTGCCATGCTTTGTGGCTGCATGTTTTCAATATTGAAATCCAAACACTACCACTTGGATTTGTTACAGAGTGGAATATTTCTTGATCCAGGAAAGAACCTAAATATTTGGCTAGTTTGATGAGGTCTCATTTGCTTCTCATACATATCTTGTTAATCAATTTTGCATATAAATATGTTGTAAATAATTTTTCATGGTTATGATTACAGGGCAACAACTCATACTGATTTGATTTTAAGAGCAAAAGAACGAGGCATTGAGTTTCGAGTTGTACACAATGCCTCTATCATGAACGCTATAGGTTGCTGTGGATTACAGGTAAATTGAATTATGTTTTTTAGTCAATTGGTTTCTTTTTCTCATTCATTCAATATCATCTGTCAAAATTGACTTTAGTTCTTTAATTGACCAGGATTGTGCCTTACATGTATGTTCATCATAGTTATAATACTTTACATATAGATAGTTTCCCATACTATTATGAAATGGATTATGAATAAATTTTTGGTGCATATCAATATCAAGTATAGCAACCATTTTGGGCTCAGGCTATCTATAGACAATTTCATAAACATAAACAACCTAAGCTACACCACTTGATTCAAATGTTCCATTTTTTTTTTGTCTTGATGTATTTTTATTAGCCCACCATCATTTTGTAGTCGACTGTTCAATACGGCCTTTGTTCGTGGTCTGACATCCTTCCATTAACAATCATTGTCATCACTATTTCTTACAGCAATATTTATTATACTTCATGTGTAAGTTCTCCTCTGTCCCTAGCTGTGCCTATTTTATTTTGAGCCCCATCAATGAAACAGAAAGACTGGCAGGCAGCCATCTTGTATTTCAACAGATAAAGGATTTACTGGAAAAAATGTTTTTTCACATTTTATGCATAGGTTCCATTTGGTACAAATTTGTGCCCATACAATTACTGACCAGAAGCTGTATTGGATTTAGATGGCAGAAGTTTGTTATTGATATTTCTTAGTAGGTTCTTGTTAGCTCATTTAAAAGTAGGATTTTCTTGTTTCAAATCATTGAGAGAAAAAGAGAAAGAGAAGGGAAAGTAAAAAAAAATATCAACCTTGTCTAGAACCAATAAAATTGTTTCATGTTGGTTGCCTAGATCCCTCTTGGATCTCTTGTAATTATTAGGGTCAAGGAGAAATTCCATGTCTTTGTAATCTTAAGATTGTTTTAATTAAAAAATGAAAATGATACTGATAAAAAAACAAAATGACTGACAGGTGGCCAACTTGGATTTCACCTGGTAAAGATAGTTATTCCTATTTCTTAAGAAGCACTGAATGGATCTATCAGAATTTCATACGTAGGTTCCCTTTGGTCTCTGGTTTGCCCGTTTGATTTTGGGATCAGACAAAATTGAATGGCTTCTGTGGGACTATCTTGGATTTGGCAGTAAAAGGTTATCATAGCTATTTCTGCAACGGAATGTTCAAATTTCAAATAATTAAGAGCAAAACAGAGGAGAAGAGAAAAGAATGGAAAAATCCAACTTTCAAAGAGCAAATAAAGATCAAACAATGGTGGGCACCAAGATCCCTCTGGGATATCTTTTTTTATTTGAAAAATAACTACTGTAAACTTGTGAAGATGCCTGTATAATGTTTCAAGTTTTGGCAGCCCTAACCCATTTTGTAGATACAAGAAAAAAAATTTCAGACATTGATAAGGTAAAATCAGAGATATTAGACCAAATAACCTGTACAGTATTACCTGTTTGTATCTACAATGGATCATTATTTATCAGAAAATAAACCTATGCTACATGTCTACTGATCATTCTTTACAGTTATACAACTATGGTGAGACAGTTTCCATAGTATTTTGGACAGACACATGGAAACCTGAAAGTTTCTTCGATAAAATACAGAAAAACAGAGATGTAGGAATGCATACATTATGTTTACTAGGTAAGACAGATATGACTTAATGATATTCAGAAACATTTTTTGAAATACAGTGTATTTCAGCCTTGAAATAGAAAAAAATATTTTAATATGTAACCCTGGTAAAATACTAGCCGCAATATACCACTTGGCTAGAGAGAACTTCTCTTTAGCTTTGGTTGAGCGTCAGACTAGTAAGCAGGGGTCCCGGGTTCGATTCCTAGCGGAGGCATTGAGATGAAAAATGACCTCTGTTACATTGGCGCCCATGTAGGGACCCTGGAATAGTACTTAGCCATGCCCCACTGGCGTCGCTGTAACCCCTAGAAACTCGAGGACGAGTTATTTCCTGGAGGGGGAGTATGTAACCCTGGTAAAATACTAGCCACAATATACCTCTCGGCTAGAGAGAACTTCTCTTTAGCTCGATTGGTTGAGCGTCAGACTAGTAAGCCAGGGGTCCCGGGTTCGATTCCTAGTGGAGGCATTGAGATGAAAAATAACCTCTGTTACAAATAAAATAATAAACAAGTTGATAGGGGTATTCTCTCAATGCCAACATTTTTTTAAACAATAGGAAGGTGTTGTTTTAGGAAACAATGTCAAGTCCTTTGTATAGAGTTTCATATAAGCTATCTTTTTCACCTGGATTTTTAGCCCACCATCTATTCAAATAGATGGTGGGTTATTCAAATCGCCCTGCGTCCGTGGTCCGTCCGTCCGTCCGTAAACAATTCTTGTTACCGCTATTTCTGGAAAAGTACTTAATGGATCTTTCTCAAATTTCATAAGCAGGTTTCCCTTGGTCCCTAGTTGTGCATTGTACCTTTTTTGAACTGATTGTTCAAGATGGCCGACAGGTGGCCATCTTGGATTTTGGAAGTAAAAGTTTGTTACCGCTATTTCTGAGAAAGTACTGGACGGATCTTCCTCAAATTTCATATGCAGTTTCCCCTTAGTCCCTAGTTGTGCATTGTACCTTTTTTGGACTGATTCGAATTCAAGATGGCCGACAGGTGGCCATCTTGGATTTTGGATGTAAAACTTTGTTACCGCTATTTCTGAGAAAGTACTGGACGGATCTTCCTCAAATTTCATATGCAGTTTCCCCTTAGTCCCTAGTTGTGCATTGTACCTTTTTTGGACTGATTCGAATTCAAGATGGCCGACAGGTGGCCATCTTGGATTTTGGATGTAAAAATTTGTTACCGCTATTTCTTGGAAAGTACTGGATGGATCTTTCTCAAATTTTATATGCAGGTTCCCCTTGGTCCCTAGTTGTACATTGTACCTTTTTTTGACTGATTCGAATTCAAGATGGCAGACAGGTGGCCATCTTGGATTTTGAATGTAAAAGTTTGTTACTGCTATTTCTTGGAAAGTACTGGATGGATCTTTCTCAAATTTCATATGCAGGTTCCCTTTGGTTCCAAGTTGTGCATTATACCTTTTTGGACTGATCCGAAATCAAGATGGCTGACAGGCAGCCATCTTGGATTTTGAGAGTAAAATCTTGTTACTGCTATATCTGAGGAAGTACTGGATGGATCCTTCTGATATTTCATAGATATTGGTTTCCCTTGGTCCCTAGTTGTGCATTGTACCTTTTTTGGACTGATTTGAAATCAAGGTGGCCCACAGGCAGCCATCTTGGATGTTGACAGTAATACAGCACAAGCATATTGTCCATTATCCACCTGTAACTGACTGCTATCTAATAATACTTTGGGATCTTTTTCAAATGATATTTGCTAATAGGTGCTTAATAAAAATATCTTGTGCCATCATTGAGTACATTCAATGAAGACCAGTTCATGAACATTTACAACACCTGCAACACACAAAAAAAAAATAAACAAATCATCAAGAACTGAAAACAGATCCTCAAATGGTGGGCGCCAAGATCCCTCTGGGATCTCTTGTTTTTCCTTGTGATTTACCTGTGTTTCACACAATACATTGTTTCATATTTGATGATTGATAATTTTGAAAACATTAAAATATTGTTATTTAAAGATGTGTGTTGGAGGGGGGGGAGGGGTGGATTTAAATAGAAAAAAGTGAATAATTGATTTGAAAAATAAGCACTTGTATTGAAAAACAGCAAATTATATTGGATGATTTAGCACTTTACAACACAAAGAAAGACCATAATCTGAAGTTATTATCATTATTATTTTTTTTCTTTTTAAAAAAGAGACTTCAGTAATTAAAACAAAGAGAAAAGCACCTAATAATTTTGTAGGCTACAAACACTTATTTGAGTAATACAAGACTTGTATGTATTGTAATATCCATCAAAAAAGGGATGAATTACATTGTTTCATTATTATCTAAATTTTTGCAAGTTATTATTGGGTATTTTTAGAAAAGCAAGTCAAGGTACATGTTTTTTGTGAACAAGGCTCTAGCGAGTCCAATTTTAATTGATAAGAAAACAAGAATGATAGATTATTGGTAAAGAATATTACAGTCTAAGGAAAGATGACATAATTTTGTAATTGTACGGTAATGTATAATAAATTATTGTTGCATCATTTAATGAAAATAGAGTACTTCCATACTTAAGTTTCATACAAAATTATTCAAATGAGTGTAGTTTTATGTATGTAGGATTCTCAATTTTAAGAAAATTTCAATCCACAATTGATAAAATTTCTGAAACAGATATTTCACTGTCAATTCTGATATGAATGGATAAGTGATATTTTAACTCTTTGTAAAACAAATGACGTACCCCTGGTAGATATCCCCCATAGACCAAGTTAAAAGTTAAAAACAGTCAACAGCTGAACATAAGAAAAATATCACTACATCAGTCCAAGTACAATTCATTTTAAAGAACTTATCATTTCTAGTCGCATTAGAATCTGAAAATCAATATCAATTATCAGAATAAATTTTAGTTATATTTGTCCTTTAGGCGATGATGTGAAGTTAAGTATGTCATGAAAATTATTTCAACAACATATGATATGATAGAACATGATAATATGAAAGAGTTTAATAGGTTTCTCTGTATTTCATATAGCTTAAAAGAATAGGAAGGTAATATTTCATTAATTTTACACACATCTGAGTACTTTTGTTAGGTAACTTCTGACACATATCTGAGATACTTATATTAAGTAACTAAAGCATGATTTAAACTGGAAAATTATTAACAACAAACACTTTGAAATACAAAAAACTAATCACATGATATTTCCAAAAACAAAATATATTTCTGACTTTTTCAAAAAGTATCATCAATTTTCAAAACAGAAAATGAAAATTGCAAGTAATATCAGTTGCTGAGTACCAACAAGTACCTTTACCTGTTGGAACTGACACACGGAAAAATACTATAATCCCAATCAAAACAAGCTGACTAGTAGGGAAATTAAACATTCAGAGATACACCCAGTGCATTTACCAAAAAATAGTAAATGATATGTAAGTGATGCCATGCAGGACCAAGTTTGTTCAGATAGTTAATAAATGATTTGATTCACGTTTAGTATCTCAATACTAAAATATTAAGACATTTACATGACTTCTTCTTTTGAACTGTGAGTCTTTTACTCTCAAGTTTCTGATATTTGAGGAAGTATGAGATAAATATTAATGTTATATGTAGCTTTCGGGAATGAACGTCCAATATTTTTGCTTGAATGAATTAGCTCAGCCAACTAGGAATAATTTAAGTTGAAATATCAAAAAAAAATTCTTCAAATGTATTATGAGACCTAGAGTCATTCTAGTCATCCCTTCCTTTTACTTTGCTGATCTCACATAATAATTGTGAACATTTTGCTAAATTCTGAGTCTGTCAGACATTAGTCATAATAATGTAACTGTAAAAAGAGAAACACAAGAGATAACATTATCTATATGATTCTGTTAGGGAATCAGATACTAGTAAAATTTCTTGTTCTGTTTCAGATATTAAAGTGAAAGAGCAGAGCATTGAAAACATGATGAGGTGTGTAAGTTATTTGTAAAAGAAGATATTCCATGTAAAGTAGTTTTACCAAAAATAGTAAATGATATGTAAGTGATGCCATGCAGGACAAAGTTTGTTCAGATAGTTAATAAATGATTTGATCCACATTTAGTATCTCAATACTAAAATATTAAGATATTTACATGACTTCTTCTTTTGAACTGTGAGTCTTTTACCCTCAATTGAAAACATGATGAGGTGTGTAAGTTATTTGTAAAAGAAGATATTCCATGTAAAGTAGTTCCAGTTGATAAATCAACACAAATAGTTTCTGTAGAAATATATATATATTTGCAGTTGGCATAAATGCAAATAGAAATTTTTATCTTAAATTTTTTTAGGAGAGCAATAAATCTGTTACATATCTCTAGCTATGGCGACAGTCTGGAATCACCCATTAGATCAATCTACATGTGGACAAACTCCATCTGGGTTATATATCATTACTAAAATTCTTTTAACTAAAATTACAGATACATTTATCACAACTCTTCAAGCTGAATTACACCAAACAACATGGATGGAGTCAGTTATGGTCCAGTATGTCAAACCAACATATGCTCAAGATGATTTCAGATTTCTTCCATTATTTTGATATGAAAAGACAATCATGTTGAAAAGTTCTGTTTCAGGGGTAGGAAGGTATTTGAACCTCCAAGATATATGAGTGTGAACCAGGCAGCCGAACAGATCCTAGAAGTTGTGCAGAACAGACAGGCCTCTGGGGACACACTATCTAGTGAAACAGGTATATCGTTACTTACTACCGATGAAGGGAAGGTGTGAACGACACACTTACTATAGTATTGAACAAAGTATTGATACTATTGTATTGAAGTATTCAAATAATCGAGTCAAGTATACAACGAATAGACAACCTGAATAGTTGATCTGACACCCAATTTTTCCGGTAGGCGGAGTTAATGTACACATCAGTTACATAACAATTACTAAGTAATCGCTGGAAAAATCCGACGACGGCAACAGTACGCAAAATTTTCTTCGACGAAATTATGTCCGATACGAACGATATGGGGAATCATGTTTTTGTACAAGGCGATGTGGTTGTGATGGATAATTGTGGATTCCATCACCATAGACAGGGAGAGCGCATTTTAAGAAATATGCTGAAAGAATATGGCGTGTCCCTGGTTTTTCAGCCGCCTTATTCCCCGGTATACAACGTAACTGAATATGTATTCAATGTCATGAGACAGAGGCTTCGGGCAAATACCCGACTTGTGTCAGAATTTCTGGAACTTGCAGTAGTAAATCACTAGATATTCCGCCCAACCAACTTCAAAGTTTTTTCACATGTTGCGGATATGTATAATTTTCGATGGAAAGATAAAAAATAAAATAAAAAATATATGGGACCACAGAATTCCTTTACTTTTTAATGCAGTATGAATTATCGGCATATATCAGGAGGTCCCAGGTAAATCGTAATTCTTTGTTACATTAATAGAGCTTGGGCTTAAACCGAAATATTTTGAGCCAACCCTCCCCCCCCCCCTTTCAAAAAAAAAATAAATAAATAAAACTAGTACAGAATGACTATATGACTATATTCACTGTTAAGATGTTATGAATTCTCCGGTCCCAGTGATCTAACCTGTTGATATATATTTTGTACGTAAATTAGTTTAGTACTGAGTAACTTTCGTTTTCTCGTTGTACCATCGATGGAAAAGCAAGGTATCATTGGGTGTAGAACGAAACAAATGGGACAACCCAATTAGGACTGATCTGAAGCCACCTGTGACTTGGACTCTTCCAATTAACCTCTCGCGACAGTCGAGTGTTTGTAAAATGCCGATGTCTGCACAGTATTTTTTCACCTGGCTCCACCCACAATCGATCTAGACTTGGCTCTGCCAATCAGAGAGCTTGTTGCATAAATTTAAGGAATTCGATTGGTGAAGTACTTCAGTACAATACTATCAATACTTTGTTCAGTAATACAGTACTTGAAACGTTCACACCTTCCCTTCATCGGTCTCAACCTACTGTCATAGTGAGATTGTTTGCAGTACCTGTGACAGAATATCACTTAATGCTCATGCTAAATTAAAATTTTGTTTTGTTTCATCCAAGTTTACAATGAAATAAAATGGCAACATGGAATATTGAGGATGATATTTCTTTCACTTGAGTTAGATATTTTTGAAAAGTTTTTTTTGTAATTTTTGGAAAATGACAAAAGTGATATGAATATTATCTATAAAACCAGGTGTTTGTGTAACCTGTTTCTACCACAACAAAACGCAACTCCCATGTTCTGTACCAATGTGTGTTTTGTATCCTCATCAGTTTGGGTGTAATAATTTTAACACTTAACACTTAATAAAATGCCGCTAATTAATCTGCAAAATTGTCAATTTTGGAAAAACAGGGATATTATGACTCATTACAAACTGTAACTAAAAATAGATTGGTTTGTTATTTTCAAAACAAAACCAGATAGAAATTCAAATAAGAATAAAAATAATACAAAAAAAATCCGAACTACATATTGCAAGTTCTGGTTTCGTTGAGTGCATGAAGCACCCTTTTGGTGATAGTTCATCCTGTTATCCAATTACAGCATACCTGATTGTTTTACAGCTGTGGTATGACATGTATATGTTTACATCAGTTGGAGTTATTAATTGATGCCTTAGAAGTTGAATAACACCAATCTATTGTGGTAGAAATGTATTTAAAGTTGAAATTATTCTATAATTATAAACAATTAAATAAGTTAAATAAAGACTTTTAAATGCTTTATGTTTGTAGACTGTTGAATAACTGGTTTAGTAGTAAACTGTTGAATAAAAGACATTTTCATAAACAGAAGAAAATTTGGCAGAATTTATTGCTGACATGTCACTAAAGGCATATCAATATATTTCAGCATTATCTGGTCTTTTTAACCCACCATCTGATGATGGTGGGCTATTCAAATTGCTCTGTGTCTGTTGTCTGTCATCCATGGTCCGTCCGTAAACAATTTTTGTTATTGCTATTTCTTGAAAAGCACTGGATCTTTCTCAAACTGCATATGTAGGTTCCCCTTGGTCACTAGTTTTTCCGGTTTGATTTTGGGACTGATCAAATAACAAAATGGCCAGTAGGTTGCCATCTTGGATTTTTTCAACAAAATTTGTAATCACTCTTTCTTTAAAAGTACTGGATTGATTTTTCTTAAATTCATATATAGGTTCCTTTTGGTCCCTTGTTATGCCCTTTTGATTTTGGGTTTGATTGGAGAAACAAAATGCAGACAGATGGCCATCTTGGATTTGGACTATGAAGGTTTGTTATCGCTATTTCTTGAGAACCAATGTATAGATCTTTCTCAAATTTCTTGTATAGATTCCTCTTGGTCTTTAGTTGTGCCTGTTTGAATCTGGGACTGATCAGAAAAACAAAATGGCCAACAGACAGCCATCTTGAATTTCGCCTAGTAAAGATTGTTATCCTTATTTCATAAGAAGTACTGAATTGATATCTCTCAAATTTCATACATATGCAGGGCTCTCGATCTGCCAGATTTGGGGCCGAATACCCAATGCAAAATAGTATCTTTTTTCCCCAATGTTGACCCCAAGTTTTCCCAATTCTATGGAAAACGCCGCTATTTTTCCCAAATTCTAAGGGCCCCGGGCCCCAGTCCCAAAATGGGGTGTGAGAGCCCTGATATGTATCCTTTGGTCTCTCCATGTGCCCCTTGGATTTTGGCACTGGTCAGAAGAAACAAATGGCTTCCAGGCAGCTACTTTGGATTTGGCAGGTAAAGATCATCAATTGCAAGGAAATGTCTTATCATAAAGAGCACAAATAGAGAAGGGAAATGATCTAACTCTCAAAGAAAATAGACTAAACAATGGTGGGCGCCAAGATCCTTATAGGATCTCATGTTGATGAATTATTTCTAACATATTTGTGTCAATTCTTTTCAGCAATAACTAAGGAAACACTGTGTGTTGGTTTATCAAGAGTAGGATCCGATTCCCAACAGATTGTAACTACAACTTTACAGGAAATGACCTCTGTTGATATAGGTGGTCCTCTGCATTCATTGGTTGTTCCAGGTCACATGCACCCTCTGGAAATTGACATGCTTTCATTGTATGCATCAAGTATAAAAGTGAAGGAAATCTTACAGTCCTTGCAACCAACAAAATAAATTGAAATATACAGTACGATTTTTGTTCTCTTTTTAAGGTTAAGACTTCAGGGCTGCTAATACTTACATCTATGTGGCTACAAATCAATATAAAAACAACAAACAACAATTGGTGGTTTTAAGCGCACTGTAATTAACAAAAATGATACTTTTACACACAATTTTTGTATTCAGCTTGGATGTATGTGTACTGTTCTCAATGATACATGTACTTGCACTCTAGCCCGACAAGATACACCTAAATTGTGGACCTAGTGAATTCTAATGTAACAAAAAATTAATTAAGAGGATTGGCAACTTTGAGAAGAAACTTAAAAAAATATATATAAAAAGCCAAAAGAAATATCGCAGATGAAAATTGAATCTGGAAAGGAAGTTCTTGAAAACACCACCCCAGCAAGGGTAAGCTCATCATAAGGAAGACATTGTGAATGTATAGACTCCTGATGAGCACAAGTCTGATGCCTTAGGAACAGTTAAATGTACTGGGGAGCCCATACTTGTCTTAAGAAGATGAACACATGAGTCAGAGTTCATACCTGTCTGATGAGGGTGAACACATGAGTCAGAGTTCATACCTGTCTGATGAGGGTTAACACACGAGTCTAACTTCTAATGTGTTAATCCATACAAATCCACTGTTCTCATCACCAACAGACACAAATTTCCTGTTGAAGTTATTATTGAAAAAACTAAGATTGTTTATGGGTTTGTGCTTGTTTTTATATCAGAAATATCTCTCGCAGAACATGTTGGTATTTTCAAAATGCCATAATTCTATTTTTGTAAACAAAGTTTTGTTTCGAGACTCCAGCATTGACCAGGAGTACTTTCCATTAATTTTTCATGGGTAGTCAAAATGAATTGATATGGAAGATATAAGAATAAGAACACTCTTGAATTAAGTGACCATTGACCTTAATGACTTTTGACCTGTAAACTCTAAAAATATTACCATTCATGGGATTTATTTACATTACTGTTTTGTATTCCTAGTATAAATAGTTGTTCTGAACCCTCCATTAAGGACAACAGAGCTGCTTCAAGAAGAATAGAATCTGAGATCCCTGCATCTAACAACTAAGGGCCCAAACAAATGCCTTTTTCTCTTACCTTGCTGGTTTTGGAATGAATCAACATACTGCTGACATTATGTCAAGCATGACGTGGTGATGTGATGTTTTTAGAAACAGTGGAAGCAACGTCACAGAATTGTCAATGTGACATCATTTTGCACTAAAGGTTCCTAGTATGTTATGGCTGGGGATATTTCACCCTCTCTTAACCCTACACTAGGATGAGAAAGATGTTGTATACATTTTTACACCTGTCATGAGTAAGGGAGTACATGCATGTCACCCTATCTGTAATACCTAGTACATGTACCTTGTACACAATTGTTTTGCTGGTTTTTCAAATTAATGTTTTTTTAGCAAACTGCAGAAAACACAAAAGACTTGCAAATACAAGCACAGAAAATCAAGATTAATTTTTAACATTTTGAAGTAGACACCAAACACTAACGAATCATATACAATATTAAGGAAATTTTCACAATAGCAAGCTTGCATTCCATTTCAAATTCTTGCATTAAATTCTGGATTTTTTTTTTTAGTTTATTGACATGTATTTGTTATTACAATGGATACAGTACCCATAAATACATATACAAAAATAAAGTTTGTCATAGAGATAAGAATGATTTACAGATGATAGCCCAACTCACATGACAACCAATGAACCCCTGTATGATCAATAATGAATATGGAGATATAAATAAATGACTTTTTCAACACACGGCTTCCACACATGACGATGAATAATCATCTTTTATTACTTTTCAGGACCCTGTGATCACTGACAATCACTTATATTTCGTAAACTACTTTATGTTTCAATAACATAAAATTTGCGTTGAATGCCATCTTAATCTTCTTTCAGCTTTCTACTATAAAATCAGATATTTTAAGTGGGGCTCCAGTTTTACGATTTTCAAAAAAATCCACATATATATATATATCATCCCTTTAACAGTTTTTCTGTTTGTGGACATTTCTATGTGGATTAAGGGTACTCAAGAAAGCATACAAAATATATACCCCTCAAAAGATAAATGACTTCATGGTACCTACATATACTTTTCAGGACATGTAGGTGTTTCACAAAATGAAACCTTGAAAGTATTTTGTTGAAGGAAAATAAGTACCTCGAAAATTAAGTGATTGACAGTAAAAAATGATGGAATGATGTTTTATCATCTACTGGCACTGTTACTGAACAATACAAAAATGTAAATATAAAACTGACAAGGTGAAAAAGTGATGTTAATTATATGTACTTAAAGTGATAGTGAATTACTGATGGCTTGAATTCATTAGTGAAAATAATTACAAAAATATCTAAATAATCACAGAAAATTTGACAGATGAGTGTTATATTCAGTCAAGGATTAAAAGATAAGGCCATTGCTCTGTTATCTCAAAATTTAAACCAGAAATGATATTGCTATGTTCACTATTTCTAAAATCATTCCAGGTGTAATGAATTATAAAAAAGAAGAAAAAAAGCTTCAGACAACTAAAGTACAGAAGTAGAAATATACTGTAAATGTACAAGTTTCAGTGATTGACTTTTTCAGCACTTTGGCACTGGGATTGTTCATTTCAGCTTATGTGTACAATGTAGTTACATATATTGTGTTTGAACTAATCAATGTGCCAATTTATTGAAATATAAAAAAAATGCTAAAATTAAGCACCCCAAATTCTGCATGCTTTACAGTATCTTTTTTTAGATTATCTATCACCATTATAATAGTATATTGTCTCAATATAGTTGTCAGCTGTTGTACAGGATATACAAGTCAGTTCCAACAACTTTAACCAACTCATGTCCTATTTGTTACAGTGTATCTGTATATATTGTTTCTATAATAAATATATCTTTCTACATATTTTCAGCTCAATCATTACTCCATACTCAAGAAAACCTTTTAACAAATGATGTTCACAAACTTTCTCCCTATGAGGAGAGAGAGGAAAAAATAAAGCCGTTGGACAGTGACTGAATATTTAATTCCATTTAATTTTAAAAAAAAGTAAACTGCAGAAAACCACTTAAATTATATTTAAAGACATTACGAAAAGATACAAGGAAGATTTAAAAGTATACCATTTGTTACACATCTATACAAATCACAGCATATAAAAACACTTAGCCTGTAACATACATGCAGTGTGTTTAACTATCACCTTTAGAAAGTCAAATCAATCTGAACACCCAACAAACAGACTTCCACAAGTCTCATCCAATGAGCAGACTCCCACAAGGACATGCAATTATCTATCATAAGGCTCCTTATCTTTGCTGGCCAAAGAAGCTTCTTTAATATTGTATGGACATTGGTGTGGTTAGCCATATTGTTTGGGGAGATGAGTGTGACAAACATCTGTCTACTTAAAACAAAAAGTATATCTAGGAATTTCAGATTTATTGGAGCAATTACTGGCCAGCAAGGAAAGGTCTAGAATTTGTACAAAGAGCACTCTCACCCCTCATCAATTCATCATACTGTATAATATTTATTGTCTAGATATATATATATGTATCTAAATATCAAATGATGAGAGATCATTCAGACTTTACAACACAGTATCAACTGATGTGGTTTTAACTTAATGCTTATGTACATGGGCTAACGACAACAGAAAAAATTAGATAAATAATAACTGCAAGAAATTAAATGTGTACCATAATATGATTACTCAAATCAAGAATTAAAACCGTCAACATGCACTTGACACATCTATACAGTATACACAAGGAATAAAAAAAATGGACAATTTAATGTCTATTATGATGGCCCAAAAGTTTTCTCCCTTCTCTAACCAAGCACTTCATTGGCCCATTTCTGTAACAAATGCAGTGATTTAATCCTGTTTGTTGTTGAACAGTTATCTCATTTCACCGCACTAACTCTAACTCTCCAACTGAAGTTCTAATCCCCAATCCTCGCAACCCTTACACCAATTTATTTGAAGTTCCAATCCCTAATCCCTCATACCCCTCCCATCCAAAATATTATATTACCACTTAAATTTCCTATATCTCTAGTTCCAGTATCACCTACATTACTTCTGACACAAATTGTTGGAGGAAGCACTCCCATGAACATTTTGGATGTATACATATAGACTGGTACACTATGTACTTTGACTTCAGCACTAATCATATAGGAGACAATTAAATTCCCAATAAACATTCACACACCTGTACAATACCAACATTATGAACAAATCCTCCATTTGTAACTATAAATGTTAAAATTCATAATTATTTTTAAGCTTTGAATGTCATACAAATGTTTATGAATTAAAATATTCTAGACCATAAATTTTTCTGTACAACTATGAAAAAATTCTTGACATTTAACAATTAAGGGAACAAAGTAGAACAGCGGTGTTAATGAAGAGGCACAACATTGGTATGATCTTCAAAAAAATGCTGTTTTCGGGCCTGCTTCATGATTTCGGTTTGGCTAGCATGTTAAAGAATCATTCCAAGATTCTTTGGATTCATAAAAACATCTGGGCCCAAAACCTCACCGGTATGTTCAAATGCTGTCAGGCATACATAAGTTTTATAAGTATTAATCCCCCAACAAGTGTTGATAAATACAGCGCTCCCTTACTAACATCCTGTGAACCATACAGAAACTTTAAAATTTTTACAGGCTAAAAATCTAAAAAAAAAAAACAAAACAAAAACAAAAACAAAAAACAAAAAAAAACCCCGAAAACCCAATCTTTTGAAAGGTATCTCCTAAAAGTGATGGTAAATACCTAGGATTTCACTTTACAACTTTCATATGCTCTGGCCAGTTAACGGAAAGTTTTACTGTTAGAATTCAACAAAAATTACAAAATTTTATTCACACAATGTACAATTATGAATAAAACATTCAGTTTTGATAATTATTAAAACAATACTATGCAAATACATTAAAAGAAAAAAATGTGAAAAAATTCAGTAAAAATGTTTCAAAAATCATCAAAGTACAAAATGTGAAATCAGTGAGGTTAGTTTTATCAATGTAAATGGGAAAAAGTATCTCAAAATACATGTTGGAATTATTTCAAGACTGGTATTGCATGGGTGCTGCTTTAAAATCAAAAGTAAGCATTAGAGTCGATTTGACTTTAAATGATATGTCAACTGTATTTCATTCTAAAATAACATCAATGAACAAATCACAATGCCGAGTCAATTTATTCATAACCTTGTTAACTTGTCTTCACTTATCAATATTTTAAATGAAAAATCTCCCTTTCTCTAATTTTTGAAAATCATTATGACCATTCTGAATCAATGACACTGTCTATCAGATTCTGACATAGTTTTTACTCTTAAACATATTTCAATATCAATTTCAAATTTGCACCATATTCTTTTTTCACATCTTTTACCAGATAAATTTTTAGTGGCAAGCCTGATGAAAATATAATATGTACTGAAAAGCAGCTACATTACAAACCAAAAAAACTCACACGAAATTCTTCCTTATTCTCAGATTTTCTATTTTCGGCCATATGTTTCTCATTTTCCTCGACCCAAATATGATTTAGATAACACTTAGTTTCTTAAATCCCCCGACTTTCCACTTTGCTGATTTTTATTTTTGAATGTCCTCACCAGCACCAGTACTACAATAACTCACGCTGATATTTAAGAGATTCCTTATAAATTTTAAATATTACCTTCCATGTTTCTCATACATGTATTATTCATTCTCTTAAATCCTTTCAAATCCAATTCACATTTTCCTACTACATGCATTCGATAGATTTTCCATCCATTTGCAGATACACAGAATCATCATGTATTGTAAGAATTAAGTAATCTTTCTATGTTTTTCCTTGAATATTGGCACTACAAATATAACTTTGCACAAGTTTTTAAATTGCTAAACTTTGCTCACGCAGGCACACCTGTAGTGTTTAATTTTGAGCAATCTATAACCGTTTCCCTTGATCATCACCACGAACATATTCTATCTCTCCTGTTATATGTATATCCCCAAATTTCAGTCATCCATATCTCATTGCACTGTTCTACCATCACTAACTTATTTCACACCAATTCAATTACTCTTAATAGCAATAATGCTTCAAATCATTAAAATAATAAATAACAGAAATATTTTACCCTTTAAATAATTAATTTCTACAACTTTAATCTCGTTTTCAGTTACCATACAGAAAAAAAACCTTTTTTATAGTGTAACTCTTTACAATATTTTTTTCTCTAAATAATCATGACCAAATTTTGAATGGCGACAAAAGGAACATTTAGCAATAAATTTGATCCTGATCTTAAATAAAGTTTATATATTGAACTCGATCTCAATCTAATAAGCACACCTGTCCCTAGAAGCTAAATCCTCCTAATCTTCCTCGATGATATGAGGATAGGTGTTTGACCAAAGTCCATAAAATGGTTGGTAACCCTGGTGCTTCACTGATATTTTCAATTGCATTTTCTGCTACCACAATTTCATAACGTGGTATGTTTAAAATGAAAACTTTTTCCTGTGAATACATAGTTCAATTAAGTGCACCCTTGTGTAAGCTTAGAGTGTAACTATTTGGATCGAATGCAGTTTGACAATACACCAATGTCAAATTAAATATATTAAATCATCTTTTGTTATTGCATTGAAATAATACATACCATCTGAATTTGGACTCAAGCTTATGTTTTGTGACCCTGAGGGCAGTTAAGCCAAATGTAGTCTATAGCTTTGATGATAAACTGCTATAAGAGTGCTCATCAAACCTTTGTCAGCAGCATAAACTTGGTAACAACCAACGGTTAATTTAACATGAATTTGGAAAACACTGCTGAAGTGTCTGTGTTTGTCCATGAGATCAGTAGTGGAAATAAAATTGAAATATATGTAGCAAGTTGTGCGTAAGATGATCTCCCTTAAACTTTGCCATTTTCAGTCCTTCCAATAATGCTGACCTTTGGCCAGGTAAAGGTCATCACAAACAGAGTCAAGGCCACAAGTATTCCATTCTTTTGGTCACATCTGCCAATCTGCAAAAAGATATGTACATTATAAGTTAATCTTTTCATATTGTAAGGTTTTTTATTTTAATCTCCAATGGAAATTGTGAACTTATTCTACTGCTTTTAAAAATTCTGTTGAATAAACATTTGAAATACAGCATTTAAATTATCTTGAAAACCCTTACATTTTTCCTTCCCTATCCATCAGATCTATGTCTGATGAAAATTTTTTCTAAATTTCAACATCATGATAATTGGTCTAATATGTCTGATCTGCTTATGCATACCTGGTAGCTAAATGCATACATTACTAAGTCTGCAACCTCAAATGCACATACAAATATCTGAAAAAAAAATTACTTTTCACACTCACTTTGCTGTCCTCCTCCAGTAAACTGCTGCCTCGGTCCGCCCTGGTTAGCAAACAGTCCCAATCTTATGTTGTTAGCCTGTTGGGTTGGCTGTAGAGCGGTATAGCCTTGGAACCTTGTGGCCGAGGCATCTAACCTAGGACCAGTTTGGTTAGATATGGCTGGACGGATTTGTATGGGCCCGCGGAAATTGGCAGGTTGGTTCTGTTGTGGCCTAGGTCCCTGCTGTGGGTGTGGAACTTTAGCAGGTGAGGGCAGTCTTGGCTGTAAGTTCACTGGAGGCCGAGTAAAATCAGGTATATTGCCAACATTACCTGGTGTGAAAGGCCTTTCATTGAATGTGGTCATTGGCCTAGGAGGTAGATCAGATCGTGGCCTAATTGGGGTGGGGGTGATGGAAGGTGGACGGTGGTTAATGGTGAAGACTGGTGTGGCAGGTTGTCCTGCCCCACCAGCACACATCTGTAGTTGACCTGTTGGATTAGTCACTACAGTTCCTCCCCCACCACCTGGAAGACTCGAGTTGGGTGGCTTCAGAGCCATGTTAGGGGGTGGTCTACTGAGATCAGGCAAACTGAAGTTTGGAGCAGTGGAAACAAACACTGGTCCAGCATTTGTGTAGTGAATATTTTGTGTTGCTGGCTGTAAGGTCAATCCCTTCTGAGTATTGTCGTTGTTGGGTGGGGGTGGAGGGGGCTGTTTAGCACATTGCTTTAACTGTTCAGACAAATTAGGCATCTGAGCCTGGGGAACAGGTTGTTGGTTCATGGTACTAGTCTGAAGGGTGGATGTAGGACCTCCAATTATCTGATTATTCATGCCATTGTTCTGAGGGGTGAATGACAACACGACTAAATTACTAGGTATGGATGAAGGAATTATTGGCATTTGATTGGTCATTGGTTGCTGTGGAATACCAGTTGTGGTGGTACCAGTGTGAAGCTGATTGTTTGTCATCAACATCATCCCTCCCCCAAAGGAGGTACCATTGTTTAAAACACAATAATTAGTACTGTTCATCACTGTGCCAGTTACAGCATTGCTAGCTAGAGATGCAGGCTGCTTTGGCATATTTGTACTATTGTTTCCTGAGTATTGCTGGGTTACTGGTTTCATACTGGAGTTCATCACTGTACGAGATACCACTGGTTTATTTATGGTTTCACTAGCCTTCTTCACATTAACTTTAGTGTTCCTGTGGCGCCCACTACCGGAACTCCGGCTGGAGGATGAGCTCCGAGATCGACTCCTGCTCCGACTACTGGAGTAACTACTACTGCGGGAGCTGCTCCTGCTGCTCCGTGTGTGACTAGAAGTTCTGGAAAGACTACAACTTCGGCTTCGACTTGAACTGTAACTATTATTTCTGCGACCATTGATCCCTGTTTTCTGTGTGTGTGGAGATCCTGGGGGAGTTCTTGGACCTCGTTTAGTTCGAGGGGGAGAACCAGGCGGAGTTTTAGGACCCCGTCTTTTATCAGCATCTCTCCTCATTGAGTCTCGTAGAGACACATGTTGCTTGGATGATACCATTTGAGTTTTTCTTGGACTAGGACTTTGCCCTTCTAAACTTTTTCTACGAATTTCACGATTTTTATCTAGTTCCGAGGAAGCCAGAGCAACGAGGGCATCAAAACCACTGCTGATCTGAGCTTGCCAGTTCTTGCTTGGCGAATCTTTAGCACTGGCATTTTGGAGGTTGAAATGACCTGCAGAGAAAGACAATCCAATTGACTGTCAAACCATATGATCTGCAAATGTACGCCATATAATAAGATTACTTCCTTTTCATGATTTCAACGACAAAAAATAAATGTCAAATCAGTACAACACAGACATGAACAAATTTGGGGTGAGAGCTTGCTTGCAAAAGAAAGTTCATTTATAGTTAAGCTTCTACACTATTGTTCAAATTTATTGAAAGTAATTGAGTGTTTACTTTTATCCAACATTAACAGGTCAATACAGCATATAAAATCTAATAAAAAAACTATATCATGTCTCAATCAGAAAATGTCACTGTTGTCTTGTCATAATATTTAAATGGTTATTTAACATTTTCTTCAGAATTACACCACTTACAATGACATTTTCAAACACAAGAGGGTATACTGTAGTCAACTTGGCTACACTTTGGTTGATGAAGGTGACTGTGTAGTGATTGAAACATAACATTCAAATCTTTTACTGGTTGTTTCAAGAGAATTCCTATTCAAATAATAATGCTATGTATTCACATTTGAATGCTACCTTCATACAAGACAAATAATAATAACTATATCCATCATAAAACTAGAGTTTCAGGACATCTTGTTATACTTACTTTTGTGTTTTGGTCTGGCCGTTGGAAACAATGGGCTCTGCACAAGTGGAGTTGATTTTCCAGAATCAGGAGATGAGAATGAACTCATCCCTGAGGTGTGACCCAACATGCCATCTAATACTCCATGAGAAGAGGTGAAGTTTCCAACATTAGAGGACAAGGCCATCTTTTTACTCTCATTTTCAAGGACTTCTACCTTCTTTCGTTTCAGTCGTTTTCTGTCAGCAGCCTGGTAGCTCTCAAGGCTGTACCTCATTTTGGGCGATTTAGAACTGTCCACACCTTTTGACGGCATACTTTGGGTTGTGGAAGGCTGTCGAGGGGACACTGGTTTGTTAACATTTCTAACCTCTGACATTTGAAGCAAAGCCTCTGCTAGGTTGAATTTCTGTTGATCTGTGTGTACCCTAGAACTTTTTCCATGTGGTGAACTGTTTGACTTGGCTTGGCTGGCTGTGTTATCTACAAACGTATTAATTACAGACATGTGACCTGATGACTTGTTTTTTAAATCAGCCCTGTGTCTGGATGAGCTGTACCCAGGGCCTCGGGGACTGTTTGAAGCTGTGGCAGGACTGTATGAGTGTGATGTGGTTATGTCGCATCCAGGCTCGTCAGCTGACTCTGTAGTGCTACCACGGCTACTGGGTCGACTGATGGGGGAATAAAACCCAGCATCGTGATCCGATTTGCTCAACTGCTTTGACAACTGACTTGCAACATCACCAGTCTCATGTTTGCTTGGTCCAGTTCGATTGAGGATTTTCTGTCGTAGCTGCTCCTTCTGTTGCTGGTCAAGTGGTATGCTGACTGGAAGAGTGGGTCGGTTTGACTCTAGAGCTACACCTTTAGCAGACGCTTTGACCCCATTTGGTAATTTGACTTTTTTATTGTGTGTCACTAACACATTACCCTGACTACTATTTGCTGGTAGTGAAGACTGGGATATGTGAGCTGTTGGGTCAATCACATGACCAGACTTTGACTCTTTCTTTGCCCGCCCACTCTCTAACTTTACAGTTGAGTCATGATTCAAGTCTTTCACCACACCTGACTTATAACCAGCCAATCTTGAAGCTATCTCGCCCCTGTTTCGTTGGCGTGCCTGTTCCCCACTAGCTTCCAGAAGGATTCTTATAGAGAGGGCTCCAGGATTATACCCATCACTGGATTTACATGATGGTGACGACAATAATGATGATGATGATGACATATATGACGATGATTTTACACTGGAATGGTTTTCATGAGAACTAGCACTAACTCCTATAGTACCTGAGTCTTTCACACTAGGTTTGTGATCGAGATGATTGTTACATGATGACATCAATCGGACGCCACCTTTAGCACCAGTAACAATCTTTGTTTGCTTGGTGTCCACTGATGAAACGCTGGTTTGGTCCTGAGATTTGTCAGCTGTAGATTGAAAATATGAGCCTAAAGTTTTCCCTGACAAATGATCAGTAGTAGCTGCCTCGTCGGGTGACTGGGGAGGTGGAACGGTTGGTGTAAGGCTGATGCCAGAGTCCTGAGATGGGCTGTCATCACCTTTAATGTCATCTTCCTCTCTAGCCAGCTTATGCTGTTGTACATCATTTAAGTTCACTTCCAGCTCCTGGACTTTGTGAATCATATTCTTCTTTTGAGAAGAGGAGACGTTGATTTCCTTCAATATGTTCTCTTGAGCTGTTGGTTTGTGGAATCCATTCTATGCAACAAACAGAGGATATACACCATTAACATTTGATACAAAATCATACACATTCCATTTTCTAGAGGTCTGACAAATCTTCATACATCTTTATGGAAAGCTTCACCAACTTTTGTTTGGATACAACTACTTAATACAGAGTACCACCAATTCCAAGGGTGAATTTTTTTACCTGTCCCTGCTTAACACTTTTTAATATTTACAAAGAAATGAAATATCTTTAAATTTCCAAAATTTTAAAATGCATTACATGAAAACTGTATCTTACTTTCTTGCCATTTATCCCTCCAGTCTTTTCCAGCAGAACTTGCTGTTGAATTTCCACCTATAAACAGAATGCCACCATAAAAATTGTAAACTATAACATATTATCCATAGAGGAACAATACACTGAATGAAATTGTTACGCTTTATACAGTCTACTATATGTATCTAAAAGCATTAGCAATATAAATTTCCTTACTGGTTAGTGAATGGAGTTGGCTGTTATTAAATACTTACATCTTAAAAAACAATTGTCCCACTATAAGGGATCTCAGTGTGGTTATTGGCCATTTAGCTTGCCAGCATTTCCTGACAGTCATGAAGTATAGTTCCATTCGAACTTCAACTTCCAGGTAAGACTCATTTCATTTATCAATTAAACTGCATCATACAGCTGTTATGTCCTTACTCATCAAGTGATTCTAAGGGCCTAATTTTGAAAGTTTTTGAATTGACGGAGGAAAATCAAAATTGGCTGGAAAAATGTCAAAATAACAATGGGAAGATGAACTAACTAAAAATTTCAATAAATTTCATGATTTTTAATATTTCGTAATTTCAAAAGGACATATTTATTCTGAAATGTGCTATTTAAATGAATTACAAGAGGCCCAGTGGCCTTGATGGTGACCTGAGATAAACAATATTGAATATAAAGGTTAAAGGATAGTTATCAAGTGTTAACAGAAATTGTGACACTGAAAATAGTAAGACAGTGTCAATACATGCATACCATCAAAACTGTTATCCTATAATAATAATTCATACAAAATTATTTCCACTTGGAAATATCAAACCTTATGCTCAAAAATACATTTTTTCTATGAAAATTACAGTAAAGTCAAAAAAATAATTTCTCCCCAGAAAGAAATGTGAGACTAATTCTAGTAATTAAAGTACCTTAAGATGCTTCCATCAATGAAGAGCATTTGATTCTACCATATCTGGGTCTTGAGAAGAAATTTGTGAAATTTAGGTCAATTTGACTACTTTTGTCCCTGCCCATCAGCCCCTGGGGGTCAGTCAGGATCAAAATGGGCACACCATCAAGCCATCATCCTTCATTGATAATTCTAACCACGTTTAAAATATTTCCAATAAAAATTAAACAATTATGCTAATAAACCTATTTTATCCTATATAAACTATAGTAAACTCTACTCCCTTCCCAACAGGTGATACAAGACTCTGGGGCCATGAAATTCACAATTTTAGTAAAACTCCATTCATGAAGAGCATTTGATTCTACCATATCTTGGTCTTTAGCAGGAGATTTTTAAAATTCAAGTCAATTTGGTCAATTTGACCCCTTTTGGCCTTGCCCCTCAGGCCCCTGTAGGGTGGGGACTGTATAATTCACAATTTTGGTTCATCTTAGGCCAGGGAAGGTTTCTGTAAAATTCCATTGAAACTGAATCAGGGTTTTTTTGAGAAGCAGTCGAAAATTGTTTACAGATGCATGATGCAGGATGAAGGTGATTGCAATAAGTTACCATCAAACCTAAAAATGTAACATGCATGTTGCAACAAATCTTCTGGACTATAATTTGCCAGCAGAGATTGTACAAAAGACATACTTGATGGACACCTTTCAATACCAATTTAGAGTAAGAAGATTGCCAATAATGAATCAATCACATCCTACTGCTGTTTTGTACTCCCAGTTCTCGTCAATGATGGAGCTTCTCTTACCAGTCATGCATTTTTAATTTAAATTTGACTACCAGTTACAATAAAGTTATCTAAACAGGCTTCACATTTAGGAGCAACTTCACTTCATACCACTTTGCTGGGATCAGTCATACTTACCAGTTTACGTTGTTCTGCTTCCAATGATGCAACCTGGCCTTTCAGTGTTCCCATCTGACCCTCCAGTTCCTTGTGTTCCTGGACTATTGACTTAGCCTTGGTGAGGAAATCAGAGGGACAATCTGTATCAATGCCAAGCTGGGAAACAAAGTCAATCTATTAGTCGAGACCAACTTTAGAACTGTTGGAATCGGATGTATAAAAACAAAAATCAGGTACATTAGGCTATGGATTTGAGACTTTTCTTTAGCTTTACCAGTAATCATTAGAAATGCATTAAATATTACTAGAATTAAAAACAAGTATATTTTAATCAATCATTCCTGATATTTTTTATTCTTAAACAACAAAGAAGTCCAAATGGCCTCCTTATAAAATGGTTGTTATGCCAAAGACAACAATTAACCTTGATGTTTGCATTGTGTCTATTGACAATAATTATCAACCATGTCTTTAACTTGTGGAGACAAAAAGAGAGAAGTTATACATAAGAACAAAATCATATAAGGTTTGCATTTTTTTTCAAGAAACTTTAAAAATGCTCAAAATATAATGTACTATCTTCGTGATTACCATATTGGTAATTTATGACATTTAAAGATTTAAGAAACATACTTCACTCATCCTAGCCTTCAACTGTCCAACACTGTCCTTCTGTAAGCCATAAATCTGCTTTTCTAGATACGCCACTCTTGACTTTAAACAGGACTGCTTTTCCTGTTCGATGAAAAAAGAAAATCTCACTATAAAATAACAAGAATATGGTATGTTTGCCCTGAAGTTTTGTGTCATTCATAAAAGCATAATGTAATATAAAGACAATTTAGTTGTCATATTGACCTTCTTCCTAAACTTTATGCTGTTTATTGTACACATATTTTTCTTCAAAAATAAAATAAAAACATGACATATCTAATAGATACTTCCTCTAGATAACCAATATCTACCGACTTTCTGACTCCTAATCCTGGACTGACAGTCACACAACAAAGTGCCCCTCATATCTCGGACAGTGTGCTGGTATTGGACCCTGATCTAAAGTGTACTTTTATCACACGCCAACGACTCAATCACCCTCCACGTACAACAAACAAAGTTGCTGAATAATACAATACTTGGCCTGTTCAACAGTACAGTCATACGAAAGCCCCAAGGGTGAATCTAGGGAGTGTGTTAGCAACCAGGATTAACAGTAGGAACTTGTTAGAACAGCAGTGTATACAGCAGAGACTATTTAGTATAGTAGCTCCTGTTTCTGTTTAAAGTGGAGATCTCTAACAGAAGAAACTGATCAAGACCTTTTTGGGTTGATAAGAACTTCTGTAATGCATATGTAAGTTTCAACCAAGACCTTACCCTTTCTTGGTCAATCTGAAGTAACAGGTTGGACTTGTAGTCTGGTGTCTGCATGAATGCCAAGAACTTGTTGTACTGGTGTCTAAACATATCTACAAATAAAACAACTAAATTTTATCAACAATGCATACATTTCTTTTTAAAAATCAAGTTTAAACAATGAAGACTTTCGAAACAGCGATAATTCTTGTTTTCTGTGAATCTTTAAGTACTCTCCCCCACAACACAGGAGTAAAAATGACCTTACTTTAGTATTCATCCTGGGATAAGCCAAGAAGCCAAACCTTCACCTCTGATTAAAAATCAGAGGGTGGCATATTACTGGACAACAACAGAATATGTTTGTAATTCTATACAGCATCAAAAGAGATGTAGAAAGGTGTATTACCCGTCATGGGTATTGCAGATGAAACACCAAGAAACTTGCTGCAGAGTGAAGATTTCTGGACTAACTTACCCAGCAGACGTTGAAGGGCCGGTTCAGTCTCTAGCGAGGAAACAGTCTGGGCCTGAGTGCTTGGCTTGAAGAATGCATTTGACATGGAGACCATACTTCGGTCATTCCACTTATCATTGCTCTCTGGTGATGCAGCTGTCAGAGAAAAAGTATTGATTGATCAATTTCAACGTACACCTCTAAAACTTATGTTCAAAAATATGTTTAAAAATAAAAGCATTGTTGAAACAACATTAGGCAATGCAATGTATTTTCCACCATCCTTAAAAGTTACAGCCTCCATAGCACCCACTGATTTAAGAGTAAAAAGTATTTTAAAAAAATTCAGAAGTCTGATGATATCTAGTCACAGTCCTTCACAAAGAAAGAACTTAATGGCAGTAACCAATCTGATATGTCTTCAAGTATTTCTAGACTCAACTATTTTCTGTCTCATCAAAATATTATTTTTCCAAATCCTGAACTTTGATAGAAAGTCAGATCATCTCTCCTTGCTTAGGATAAGATACTTAATCATTAATTAGCAATACTAACCTGTCGACATGAGTGTGTGCGTGTGTAGCAGATTGAGGCTGTCCAGTCCGAGAACTTTCTCCTTTTCCTTGTTTTTGTTGGCTCTTGTCCGGCTTCCCAGACTAGATTTCTTTCTCCCTGTAGGAGACAAATATCTATCAGTACTAACATCAACTGAAATTCTTGTTATACAGTCAGCCACCAGTCTGCTAGACAGACCTTTACCTCTCTAAGTGCCACTTGATTCCCTCAGGTTCAGTTGCTCATAATGATGTCCATTTGAGTTAATATTGTTTGGGTCCTTGAAATAAAGTTATTGTCTTCAGAAAATTGGCTTTAAGGAAAGAAGACTCAGATATGGATTTTTCAAGTGAAGTTTCAACTGTTGTTTGAAAAAAAAAAGTCAAATAGCCAAAAAGCATTCTCTCTGATATGTGAATGTACAGAAAATCCCAATGAATGGGTGAAAAATCTGTTGAACTGTTCAAGGACATTTTGAAAACAGCTGACCCTCGGTATTACAAATGATGATGAGCACTTCAAGTTGAGGATATTGAATGTAAGATTTTTTGCTGTAAATATACTTATTTTCATTTCATTAAAGCATTTACATGTTTAATTTCAATCTCTGCTGCTTCGCAAGCAAGATTTTGTTAAGGATATCATTTGCACTAATGTTTCTTTAGTTATTATATTTTAAACTTAAGTAATTTTTACATTTTCATATTCAAGATTTACAAAGTAAGGGGATGGCTTTAGCCCTCTGTAAAGTACCCCATAGTTACCTGTTACTGGAGGGGTACTGCTTGCTTCACCAACTGGAATGGGCGGAAAATAATGCTTTTGTGTTAGGAAACTTAAGGAAACCCCTGTATAGCTAACAGTCTTTAATTTTCATATCTTTTTTATTGCATAGTCAAATTTACATTCTCTTCTATTTTTTTTTTATTTCTGCTCTTCTTTCAGTTCATTGGATATAAAAAAAGAAACAGTATAAAGCATAAATATTCCAAGACATTTCTTCAGATTTCTTGACTTCATTTGACAAAGCACGGTAGAACCGAGTACAAAGCAATTAATTCTGAGAATATACTATAAAAGAAAGCAAAGTTTACATGACATTGTAACTTGAGAGAGAATGTTGCATATGTAATAATACCTGTGCGAGGTTCTTTCCTCAACTGTCCATTCCTCAAACGCTTAGATGCAGTCTTCGCTGCTCTTGTCCTTGTCACTTTCTTCGGTATGTCAACCACCACAGCCTGCTTATAATATGATTTTCATTCAAATATTGTTTGAAATGAAAGTTCAAAATGAAGATAAATTTCATTTTTCTTCTATTTATATTTTCAAACTTATTATGATCTTGACATGCGTTTATTATTAATTTCTAAATAATGAAAATTGAAAGCAAATTTTTATTTCCCTTTCTCTTTACACAACAAATCAAGCTTGTGATTTGAAACCCAATATTGGTTCAGGATGTAGGTTTTCATGTCCCAACCCTGAAAATGTCACACAAAACAACAAATCTATATTGTGTGGCAGACTTACATTCTCATCACTTTCTTCCCGGAAGCTGGGAGGGTGTTCGGGTGAAACTATTTCCGGAGCTGGTTTGTTGAGACACTCAGACCACTGTCGCCGAGTTGTGGGGCCACCGAGAACCTGAGATATTTCCTCTGTCGTGCCACTCACACTTGTTCCAGTGCTTGCATTACTGGCACTGTCAAAGTCAAGGTTACGAGCGGCCTGATACGAGTGGTCCTTGATAACGTTCAGAGCTGGTATTTCATTCTTGTTGATCTCTAAAGCTCGAATCTTTTTCTTCAAAGCACCATTTTTCAGCTCTTCATGAGGCTATGGAAAACAGACATTATTTTCTTCACAGAAGGTAGATAATAGATTTAAGATTCAACAATATCTTTTTCCGTTTAAATTAAGATTATACAGTATAAAATTCATGATTTATCATATTCTGTTTAAACAACTTTTTAAAGTCCGAACTGACATGTTCATAATGTACTTCACAATTTATGCTTTAATAAAATCCACACTTATTCAACTTGTCACTATCTCTATCAAATATGAAATCTTAAACTTGTTTTTTGCATAAATCTTACTGACTGGGAAAGATGGTACTCTCACCTTGGAGTCTCCATGACCAGCACAACAGGTATGTTTCTCGCGTAGATGGATTGGCCTCCCTCTGCGATCCCTACGTACATCTTCTTCATCCTGACAAAGAATAAAATTAATAATTCATTACAATGTCAGATGCATATGCTTCATTCAGAATTTTGAGTTTCACATGCCACCTATATTTCGCATATTTTATAGGTATTGTAGTAGCCCCCTACTTAATACCAAGTCCTGTCCCTGTTTATTATCTGTTTTGTGAGGTAATATCTAGCTGGACTACCAGTGGAGCATTGGCACACATCCAGTTATTAGAAATGCTATTTACAAATGGTTCCAATTATCTAATTACACTTCTTCATTTTAATCAAATGTTCCCTAAATATTTTTGTTGCATTGTGTCCGACTGTTAGGTTTAATTTTCAATCTTTGAAAGCCGTTCTTTGATACTGTAATACATTTTATATTGACTATATTATAAAAAAATATTTGCCTCATTCAGAAAAAAGCTGCTGTGTTTGTATCATCTATCATCAACAATCAAACTGTAATTCCATGTTTTCATCAAAAAGGCAGACCTGAACACTGCTTTTAATAATAACACTCTCAAATTGCATCAGAGCTCTACTTATCATGTTTAAAGCCCAACAACATTTATCAAAGAATTGTATGTACTAACAAATTTCATTCTGCAAGAACTTACTTTCAGTTTTGGATTTTTCATTCGAAGGAAGTATTTCTCCAACTGTAACAAAAATAAGGAAACAGGATAATGACATTGCCTAGTAGTTCTATAATATTAAGATTTTTCTGCGTCACACTGCCTCCCCCCTCCCCATCTAATTATAATAACTAAGCAAAACACTGCAATGTTTTTATAGGAAACAAATATTACCGGGTATATCATTATTTCATTGTTTGACATTAAATATATTGTAATGCCAATCTGTGAAGGATCAACATAACTTTGCCTTTCGCATCAAAATAAATCACAGGAACTTCTATTACATTTAAAAACCATAACTTAAGCTTCAACAGAGTTTGGTCTCAATAGATTGTCTACTTCCAATGACAATACCAAAATGTACTTGTTTACGAAATGTGCTTATAATGTGTGAAAGCATAAAAAATTATGCTCTGGACTAACTTTTTGAACAGGATTATAGGAGACAATGCAAACCAATTTGATAAGTAACCTCCTTCACGGTAGCACAACGGAGATGTAGAACTCCTGGAGGATTAACAAAGTATCCATATTTTTGGCAGAAATTGGGAGACTTTTGGAACAAAATGACATTTTAAGGTTCTTTCTAAGAATTTGTCACAACTCAAACCTATATTTTCACTATTAGAACTGAATTTGGCTTCAGGAAATATTACCGTTTTAAAAATTGGTCCAGGCATGATGTGATGAGATATCTATGTTTTAATTAAACATATCAAAAACATGCAAATTTATCAATATGGGTAACATCATGCACAACTCTAATAACTTATGTTACATTCTAATCACTTATTTCAAGGAATTCATCTGCAAGTAAAAACAGTGGCCATCAAATATAGTCAAAACTCGTTATCTCAAATTTCAAGGGACTGTGGAAAATATTTTGACTTATCTGAAGTTTGACTCAAACGAACTGTATTAAGAAGGATGACATTATCAGTTTCCTGATGTTGATTTCGGCTAAATGAAGATGCACGTAACTAAGCTTAATGCTTTCATGATTTTGTGTGAACGCAATTCTTTTTTACGTACAGGTAAGCCACTGCTACAAGATGGTGACATTAAGAAGCCAAACTTTAACTGGATAATTAAACTGGTAATTAATTGCCAGAGATCAAGTGCTGTATGTACCATGGACCAGTGATACGACGTTATTAGCCATGTGTTAAACACAAGCAACTTTTTACTTTATGTATGTATTGGCCGATTTTGTCAGAAGACGTGTTGACAAAAATTGACAAAAAAATTAATTTCGAGACAACGAATGACTTTTCCCTTGCTTTCCAATTGTAGAGACTGAAAAATTGTTTCGACTCAATGAAATTCGAGCCATCCAAACTAAAATTACAAAGATATAGAAGGAAAAAAATCATGACTTAAATATTATTTTGACTCAAACGAAATTGCTACTAAAGTGATTTCGAGATGAGTTTCAACTGTATCAACATGCAAATTAAATAGACATCTCAGACAATTACAAAACAAAGAGGAACAAGACAGTGTTGTAACTAATAATCCATGGCAGCTATAGAGGACAACTTTCAGCATTAGATTGTAGGGTTACAGAAAATATCAAACCTTTCCTGGACTAGGATTAATTTTTGATGTCATATTTTGTACTATGTACATGTATTACATCATACATGTCACAAGATCAGTAAGGTTTAAACTTTTAAAGTTAGCAATTTTTACAAGGTTCTTATATAGGACAAGGACTCCTATATATTTGTCAGCATTCCTACAAAGAACCAGATTCTTAACCTATTGGCAAAAAAAAAAAAAAAAAAGGATATACTTGGCAAGGTTTCTAAAATCCTTATTGGACAGCATAATACCAAACCATTAGTATGATAAAGATATATTCAACAAAAGAAAAATCAAATAAAAAATAACAGCAATGAAAACATTAAAATCTTTATGGTGTAATTAAGCATTCAAAACATTAAAACTTGGTGGAAGTGTGGACAAACTCATTACTACTTCACAAAACTGCTTTTTTGTCATTGCATTTTCATAGCACATCTATCTACATAAGCACTGATCATGCTAACTAAATCTACCTAAAAGGTGTGGAGCATCACATGCAGAAAATGCCAAAATTACAATCACAGCAACGCAAGAAACAATGTTCTATTTTCTAGTAAAATTCAAGATCTATCCAGTTTTGGAGGGTGCACTTGTTATGTACTAGAGTTTCATGTACTTTAATGATAAGCATATACTGATAGTATATAACCCCAAGAGCTATGTTAACTTATTCATCCACTACACATCTAGCAGTTTCTTTTTACTTAGAGATTCACCCATAACCCTTTATTTATTTTTTGACTTTGTCATCCCTTTTTCTAGTAGCATGTCAGTTCAAGATATGTTCCCTGACAGAGCAGTACTAAGTTGGCCCGAGCTATGTTCCTTGTCAAAGTCCTACTATCAGCTTAATCTATGTTCCTTGTCACAGTTCTACTGCATCAGCTTGAGCTATGTTCCTTGTCACAGTTCTACTGTATCAGCTTGAGCTATGTTCCTTGTCACAGTTCTACTGTATCAGCTTGAGCTATGTTCCTTGTCACAGTTCTACTGTATCAGCTTAACCTATGTTCCTTGTCACAGTTCTACTGTATCAGCTTGAGCTATGTTCCTTGTCACAGTTCTACTGTATCAGCTTAACCTATGTTCCTTGTCACAGTTCTACTGTATCATCTTGAGCTATGTTCCTTGTCACAGTAAAGCTGTGTCAGCTGGAGCTATAATCCCTTTCAGATTTCTTCTTTGTCAGATTGAGCTGTATTCCCTGTCACACCTGTCTCTGTGTCAGTCAGAACTATACTTCCTGTCACATTTCTACTTTGCTAAAGCTATATTTCCAGACAACTTTTTACTTTGATAAAGCAATGTTTCCTGTCACATTTCATCTGCCTCAGCATTTATATATCTATATATATATTTGTGTCTTGGCCTCTCTGCCTTCTACCTCACCAGTGAGCTATATGTCATTACCAAATCAACCGTAAACACTACACAAGCTGTAACCACTTTCTTCCACTTGAAAGTATTTTCTCTGTTCTTCATGTTCAGCAAACTTTTCTGATTAACATCAGCATGGACTCCTTTGGTGTGCCCTTCCCCCCTTCTAAATGCTCTCTACATCAGACCTCCGTCAACCAAGCCCTTGTCTTTTTTTCAGGTCAACTATCATTTCTACCTGTGACATCCAAGCCTAATCCTCAATCTTAGCCTATGCTTACCAAGCCCATATTTTTTCTGCTTTTCAGAACCACCTCAAACACTACATCTTTGGTCACACCCATGATCCTAATCTCCACTCCATATCACTTTCTTTTTTGTCCTACATTCAACCCTGTTTGACAAAATTGATGCTTCTCTGTATCGCTGTACCATACATAACCTTAACACCAGCATTTCCTGTGTTTGACCATTATGCCCTACCCTGCCCTCTGTAATACTGTATAGCATTCACCCCTGTACTCCATCTTTAACCAACTGAACTTAACTTCACTGACCTACCAGCACAGTGACCTTGAATTCTGTGTGCTATATATTTGACCCCCAAGCACTGTTAAGCCCTGTCCTTAACTATTTGCCCTGTCTTTGACCCTTGTGCCACATCCTTAACCTCTGTGCAACACTTCCTTCCTGAAAACACCATGCCCTGAGTCCAGGCCACATACTCACCAGAGTCCTATCTATTGTGTGCACAAAGTAGGTGAAAGCTTTCCCCGTCCAGGAGACGGCACCACTTAGCGGTGACAGTTCTGCAACGTGCATGATAGTACCAATATCTGAAAATTGCAGAATGCAATCAAATCATCATCTCGTTCACCAGCTGGATGACAACTCTATGAAAGCAGCTGGTTAACCTAGTTAGTGGTGCTTCTCTTGGTCTGGCAGCCATGTAAAGATACACACAGTTGCACCCACAACAGCCATGTGACCTCACCTGCATTAATGGAATCTAGTTACCAGCTCCAACAACAAATACACTTGATAATTCTTGACCATCAAGATGGTCTACCATTTCATTTCACTATTTGAAGACAACAATGACAAAATGCATTGATTTTTGCTTAAAGACTTACGACACTGTTTAACAAAATAATTATTTTTAATTACTTTACATAAATTCAAGTGATAGTGTTGGAGCTAATTACGAAATTTTGGTTAGAGAGAGAACCCAATCTGTGGAGTTCATGGGAGACAACTCTTGTGACACAACTCACCATAGCCCGATCTATTGTATGTAGGAAATATGTGACTGGTTTTCCTGTCCAAGAGACTGCACCGCGTAAAGGGGACAACTCTGTGATATGCATTATTGCTCCGATATCTGGAAAAAACATGCGAGCATGGAAGGGGATGATTACAGGTTTTTTGGACCCTGGATTGGTCTGTACACTAAACGCCTTGTTCTACCATGCGATGTTTCATTAGATGATGTACATCACTTTCATTTTTTGAAGGCAAATCACGTTCATTCAATGCTATTAATCATCATATCTATGAAGACTACTGAAGGTTTTGGTAGCATTTAACAAAAATTTGAACCAAAATACAATGAAAGCAAATGATTTATTTGCCAACTAGGCTTCAATAATTAATACGATATGTTCACCGAAGTGTGAATACTATAAATTATTACAGTACTGATTAATTGATGTTGTTAAGAGTTTCTGGGATTACATTTTTCTTTTCAAGTCATGACATCAGAGAACAGATATACTAAGGGTGCTGACTAAATACAGTTTACAGGGAGATGTATATGGTGAAGTCTGACAAGACTTGAAAACAACTTTTTTTTTTTCAAACAATATAAACCATTATGGAGTATTAAAATTTGAAAGTGAGTCTCACATAAATACTTGTTGTAGAGAAAGGAGTTTTAGTTATATCAATTTTATTATTATTTAAAAACAAGAGGCCCAATGAACCTGCATCGCCAACCTGGTATCCAATGTTCATAAAAAAACATCAATTTTCATCACAAATATATTAACACATGCACCATTGGCATTCAAAGTGGGCACATCAATTTTAAGCAATTTCTGCAATAAACATTAGCTTCTAACACTTGGCACTGAACAGAGGCAGTTATGGCCTGGATTAAATGTAAATAATTGAATGGAGCAAATGTCACTACTTTTTTCCCCTCAAAATTGGCTAAACTTTGACCTAGAAACACCTTTAAAGAAGATTCTGCTTCTCTGAATTTTGGTTTACCAGAAGTCGTTTACAAGTTTTGACAAATTAGGTTCCTGTGACCTTGAATATGGTTCAAGGTAATTTCTTTTAGCAAACTTTGTCAGGCTTCTTCCTAGAGACCTACCTACCAAAAACCATACTTCTATATTTTTTGGTTAATCAGAAGAAATTATTTGAAGTTTAAATAAATTCTACACCTGCTAGATTGATATGAGTCAAGGCCATGGCTTTATGCAAATGTTATCAGGCTTTATTGGGGTGACTTACTGGCCTAATATCATGTTTCTAGGCCTTTAGGTTAATCAAAAGGAAATTGTTTATAGGTTCAACCAACAGTCAACCTCTGTGACCTTGAGTATGAGTCACAGTTATTTCTTTTTGCAGTATTCGTCGCTCTTTATTCTAGAAACCTACCAGCAAAATATCATGATCCTCTGAGTATTGGTTTACTTAAAGATGTCTTTATTAGATTTTGATTAATTTAATAGCTGTGACCTTGAATACAGTTCAAGGTAATTTCTTTTACAAACTTTGTCCAGCTTCAATCCAGAATACACCAGCAGAATATCGTGCTTCTAGGCCTTTTGGTTAATCAGAAAGTTTGAAAGTTTTAACAAATTTGTTCCCTGTGGCCTTGACTTTATCTTTATTGTTAAAAGATTCTCAATCAGTAGGAAGTGTCCATGTTGGTTACAGATGGTAAACATTTACAAAATACTTGCTAAATCATTTCACAAATTGTCTATCAGTCACACCAGAATCAAGTTCACCTACCAAATTTTTATGCAAATTTTCAACATGCATCGAGAAAAAGAACAAGATAATTTTATTTTACCTAAGAACTCTTAATAATGTCGTTGGAAATCAATTTAGTGTTTCTTTATTTAGACTCCAAGAACATTTTTATCTCACAGTTGTGGAGGAAATATTAAAATGTCCAGAAAAGCTAGGCTCCTTTGTATAATATAGGTGTCCAGACAAGCAAGGTCCTTTGTTTAATATAGGGCAGGTGGTGTTAAAAAGCAGTTATGTTGTAGCTTGGTTACAATATGTTGGATTATAGCTAATACATCAAATAACATAGATGTACTTTTGATGTAGATCTATTTTGTGGTCTTGTTTGTACCTACATTCTACCCTTCTCAGAATTCCAGCACAGCATAAATCACAAACCTCCAAATACAGGTTTGTTCTTTGGAGTTGAATGATCAAACTTAAATTCTGTATCCCAAATTCTTTATTTTCTAATCTGCTTGTTTTTCCCTGAAGTTGATGAAGCTGACTTTTCTGAAGACAAATTTATGGAGATTTCTATAGGCGACAGGGAAGTCGAAATAAACCACCCCAAACCAGATCTGTGAATCAGGAGTGTTTGAATCAAAATTCAATTTTTTATCCCAAAGTCTTTACTTTCTAGTCACCTACTTGTTTTCCCCTCAGTCAATGAAACAGGTGTTTCTACAGACAAACTGTTGAAGCTCATTTTTCTGAAGACAAACTTACCGCTGAGATTTCTGTCAGTGATACGGAAGTTTAGTGGACAGAAGGCCTTGGAAGATACAATTTTGGCTCCTTCTTTCATATTGGCAAATCGTAGTTTTAACTGAAAATATACAAATGATTTTCACATCATACTTATTATTCCACAAATGTACTACTCTTATCAGAATGCTTGATTGTTAGAAAAGTACAGAGATATGAAAGAAGTTTGAAATATCAGTCAATGAACAAATATCAAGTAATGCTACACATCATGATTTTATTAGACATCTGAAGTTTCAGTTAATGACAGAATGTATTGTCTCATGAAACACTATTTCAATTGATATCAGGGAAACTAAAGGCAGTGGATTGTTTGTTGGCCCTGCAAAAACCATGGTTCTTGATCTGACCAACTTTTAGAAAATGTGTCTTTATTTCCTCAATTCATACTGACACAGGCTGTTGTTAAGTTCAGCCAGGAAAGGAAGATTGTGTGATCTCTATGTACTCCAGATTTATACTTTTAGACTGACTTACCTGATGGTCTACCTGAGGTCCAAATGCAAAGTTGTTCACAAATATCACACTGTAAAAATGAGGATAACATGTTAATCATCAGAAAATATGAACAGAAATAAAACACATCAGACCTGTTTAATTTCTTGGAAGTCTTCCATACAAATAAAGCATTATACCAATTTTCCAATTAATTTAGACAGGTTCCTTCTCTAAGGTAAATTTAGTGATTTTGAGCTGTTCATCACTATTCAAAATCAAGGTGCTGCAAAGCAAGGCATTATCCAACACATCCAGTTGTTGGTACAAAACCCAAATATGAAATATTTACCAGTATAACAATTTATGATGTCACTCAATCATGTACTGCTACTATCACCTGAAGATCTAATACAGTGAAAGCGCTAGTGAAAAATGTAACATCTTCTCTTGTCAATTATCAAGTAAATTTCTTTCCATCTCCTCAACTTCAACATTTTATATAAGATCCTGTATGTTTTACTCTTGACATTATACAGCTTGGTATTGTGCATAAGAAAAGGAACAACCAGGGCACTAACCTAATACACACAGAAAGCTTTGTTGATTTCAGTTGAACAGTTTTGGAAGTTATAGCCCAGAAACGAAAGTTAACACTAATTGTGTGTTTTTTGGCTACCTTTCCAAGGTAACAGAAAAACATGAAATGTTGTTGATAGCAAAAGGCTCAACTAGGACACTAACCTAATATATGAAGTTCTGTTTAGTTGGGTGAATGGTTGTGAAGTTGTAGCCTGGAGAAGCCAGAGTTTAGTTTCTTTGAACAAACCAAAATTCTCATCTACTTACGTGGCATTGTTTATTTTTTCAACCATTTCATCACACAAGAAGTCACCTTTGTCTAGTTGGTAATTGCTGTTCTTTTTTCCATACCATTTCATCCATCGCTTGAACTGTGTTTCCATATCCTAGAATGATTTTTTAATTTCCTATATATAGTCATTGAAACTCAATTTCTTTCACCTATAAAATGTATCCTAGACTAAACCTAGTGGGCTAAAATATCACTTTTTACACAAAAGAATGGCCTCATTACCATAAATGAATACGGTACATGTGATAACAGGGTACAAATTTTAGGACTATCATGTCAGAATTAACTAATAGTGTATGCTTAGTTCAACACAATGCTTTCCAGTCAAATGTGTAAAGGTAAAAATTTAAAAAAAAAACAGAACAACAAAACAGCCAAAAATACAAAAATTTACAGTATAGACGACCACAAACATATTGTTACATATAGAGAAATTAATTATAGGGAAAAACTCTGACATACATTCTAACAGTGTTGTCCTGACAGTCAATTATTATTGAAAACTAATCAGTTACACAACCAATTCCATTTGATTTGTTACTAGACTGCTGGAAAGTGTATATATATAAGCTGGTGTGGAGTATCAGATGGGCAAACCCTTCACACAGTGTAACCTATACAATACTGACCTCAGCATATTTAGCTGGATATTCTGCTTTTTCAATACCGTAGCACATTTTACAGGATGTTGCTGCTGCCACCTGTAGGACAACTTGGCCAACTCCTGTAGAGAGGTAACCCAAGATCAATATTGAAATGGTTTTCCAAATAAAACTTGTAAATCAAAATGAGAAAATTTGAATGACGATTTGTAAGTGATTTGATAAAAAATTAACAAAACTCTGAATTCAAAGTGCAATGATGTATCAGTCCCAATTTCAAAATTTGTAATCATGGAAAAATACTGAATTAGCTGGATCATATCAAGGATTTATTGTATTTGATAAAAGTATGTTTCTGCAGCAACTGGACTTACCACTCCCAAGGTCTATGAAGTAGTCAGTTTCTGAGAAGTTGATGGATTTTATCATTTGGTCCACCAGATCAAATGATGTTTCTCCATAAACCTAGATAAAAAGCAAATTAATGTTCAGATATCATTTCTGATTTTGTAAGAAAGATAAAAACTCTTTTATTTTGAGATATTGTAAAAGATCATCTCTCATGTAACTTGAAAATTCCATGTGGTGCCTTAAAGAGACAATGTGAACAGTTAACAAAACATATATGCATACCTCAGGGGAGAAGGGCTCGTACTGGTTGAGTCTTTCTGGATCTTTGACAGCATGGTCGTAACACTGTTGGAGAATATGCTTAAGCAAGCCAGTCGATGGACGCTCCTTAATTTTCTGTGGACGTGATGTCCCTTTCCACTGAAAAAGTTACAAATGACACATACATTCAAATGTGCTACAAAGCATAACTGAAATACAGTTTGTTTTCTTAACTAAAATGAAGAATTCAAAGAAAATTGTTGAAAGGAATACATTAAATGGTTTATATCAGCAGTAACACCATAGCAAAGTTGTAGAATCACTTTTTGGTAATAATATCTCATATCTCTTTACTTATTGACCTTGTATGGATATTTATCGCAACTGATGTTACAGTTAAATGGTTCCTTTAACCAAGTTAATCTATTTCTTAAATTCTATTAGAACAACTCAATATGAAAACTTTTGGCTTCTACTCAGGTATACAGTGATAGCAAACTGTCCATTACAAAAGAAACTTTTCACAGAAGGCACACTAACAACAGTGTCTGTGTACTGTTTAGAAAGAAGGCACAAACCTATGGGTGGGCAAAGAGAAGATACAGATCAGTGGATGTTGTTTTCAGAGAGGACACAGACCGATGGGTGTGGTTTTAGAGAAAACACAGACCACAGAGTAAAGGTTTCGTTTTAGAGGAGACACATCAAGTACAAAGAGAACATCATTTTAGAGAAATTACAATGATATTTCACAGAGAACACATCAAATACAGGATATTATTTTAGAAAGAAAGGTTGTCACTTCTGGAGAAAAAAAGTGTCAAAAAAGGTCATTACTTTAATGGGAACACATTAACCACAGGTTGACATTGTATTAGTGACAGAGAGCTAATGCAGCCCTCTTGGTATAGAGAGGATGTGAACGAATCAACAGAGATTACATACCAACTGGAGGATGCTGTCAATGGTCCTGTTATACTTGTCACACAGTTGTTTCATACTTTCATAGCTGTAAGTACACAAATATGATCAGATGTAACACAGTCTTTACATTCAACAACTTCCACTGGCAAATACAGGTAGCTCAGTTGTATGACATAACATAATATAATAACACCTTCATATACTCTGACTAGTGTACAGTGTGATAACACCTTCATATACTCAGACTGTTGTACTGTGTGATAACACCTTCATATACTCAGACTGTTGTACTGTGTGATAACACCTTCATATACTCAGACTGTTGTACTGTGTAATAACACCTTCATATACTCAGACTGTTGTACAGTGTGATAACACCTTCATATACTCAGACTGTTGTACTGTGTAATAACACCTTCATATACTCAGACTGTTGTACAGTGTAATAACACCTTCATATACTCAAGACTGGTATACAGTGTGATAACACCATCATATACGCAGACTGGTGTACAGTGTGATAACACCTTCATATACTCAGACTGGTGTACAGTGTGATAACACCATATATAAATATTCATGCTACATTGCAGTGTAATAATGCCTTATTTACTTCAGGTACACATTGAAAAAGGCACTGCTCTTATCATCCTATTTAAAATCTACTAACAGACTATGTTTTTTTTTGCTTTAGAATATGTAAAATACAATCATACAGCTGATCATTTACTGTACAGAATTTTAAATTAACAAAATTTGAAAAAAAAAAACCCATGAGAAATTTCAAATTACAAGTGAAGGACAATCCACAAAGTAAATTGTAATGCTGATGTTAATTGCCTACAGAAAGTTAACTATAACAGCTGTGGCCACCAGTACTCTCACCTCTTGACATCATAGTCCTGTAAGATATTGTTATCCAATGCCGTCTCCAGCTCCGGGATATCTTCCGACACCCATCTACAACAAATGTACACAGATCACAATCTAGTTGAGATAACTTTAAAACTAAATGCACAGGTACATTTTTTTACCTTCAGTACCAGACAGTACAGTATATCCATGTCTAAATTTAAACAAATCATAATACAAAGAGGTACCTGGGGATAAATCTAGTATATGTCTATTGTCAAAGTAAAAAAAGCATTGTTCTCCTGTGACTGTGTGTATACATTACACCAATAAATGCACATTGATTTCACAACAAACTCTAAGCTAACAGGTGGGAGATGCTGTGACATCAAGGCTGAAACAAAAGCATGGGTTTATATATTTATATATGATTCATGTAGATAGAACATTTGAAAAGTGTTTTTCCCACTTTTACACCCCCTCCTAAAAAAAGAAAAAAAAAAGATATAAGAGACATTTTACAATGCACCCCTCAGTTGAGGAAAATTACAGTTATCTCTAACCACTTTCTAATTTAATATTAGCTAAATATATATAGCTATAAAAAACACTTATTTTTCAAAACGAACAAGTTGCAACAACAGGAATATCATACTCTTATTACTGTAGTTTAAATATGGCAAAACAAGTTTTAACAGGAAACTCCATCATTTCGTCATGTATTTTGCTATTTATTTCTTAAAGTATACACATGTATGCAGTTAGTAGGTCATAATTAATGGTCAGTTGTGGCCATCACTGGCCACAAAAGTTAGACAAGTATACATCTTGAAAAGGCAACTACCAGTCGCTTGTGTGTTAACTAATTATTACCGGTTTACAAGTGTGTTCTGTTTATCAGTGCAAACACATGTAAACAGCTGACAAACATCATTGCCTGCTTCCTCTCAGTGCAATAGGTATACAACAGTACATGTACTTTGATATGTAGCATGCAGCTGCATGTTAATCAAGTCTGGGTATTTATAACTATTAAACAAACATGTTTATCAAAACTTTTAATGAGACTAAAAAATATCGCATGATCACAAACATGGGTTAGTTATTACATCATGAATGATAAAATATCTTTAATCATTAATAATGTATCAGTATTAAAAATTACGAAATTGATATCACTATGAGTTAACAACCAAGTATATATACACATAAATATATGCTATAGGTCCTATGTTGTCTGTTGCAAAGAGTTGGATTAGAATGATATACAGTATTTTTACATTTTCATTTCTATATATATCATTCTATGTTAAGCGCTAGTCTCTAGGCAGATAAATATACATAATGAAAAAATTTGCAAGTCCTATCCATTCTTTCTCATTATTCCAATTTTGGCACTTACAAGTGTACTCTTGAGATACTTGTCAATGACCATGACTGATATATAATTATTTATATATATAAAATGTTGGTGTTTTTATGTTGTGTGAAATAATTTTATACTTCTTTATATATAGAATACATCTATTCCAGTAATACACATCCAATAAAAATATATTTGTTAGGATCTAGTACTAGTATTGGATCTGTAATAATGTACCATATCATAGATATTACTACATTCTATATCTTTATGTTGATCTGTTTATGATCAAAGGCAGTCAATTTCAAACCTTTCTGAATTTTTTCACATACCATATCAAAATATTATTGAAGTGTGTGTATACAAAAGCTACACAAATAGCTTTAAAAAAACCTATATGTTTATATTGATATCTAGACAATCTAGAAACACCTGAGCAGGCAAAAGACAAACAAGAATGTGACCCCAGACTCTATTGGCTGACAGCTGAGCTACTCCCAGGCCGAGGTCAGCTGGGGAGGACATTTATAGCTCAGACAGGTTATAAGTAGGGAAATCCAGGTCATTGATATTATCACACAGCACTGGTTTCTTTAGCAGTAAATTCTCTCTATAGTTTCATCACTGCTACTGAGGATGTGTGCATATCCAGCACAGTGTAGAGGCCCTGGTCAATATACAACCATGTTATTGTCCATTTATCGGCTTCCCTGTGGTGGAGCCCAGCTCATTGCTGTACTGGAGGAGACCATGCCAATAAAATGTATATTCTGTAAAAGCCAGCAACCTCAGATCAATAGAGCTGCAAGTTACAGATATATATCTATGTCACCCTGGTCAATGGCAGTGGTCAGTGTTGGTCAATGTCCTCTAATTGATGTTACTCGTGTGTCTCCCTGTCTTAACTATAGTATCTGTACTAGGACAATGCAGCCGGTTGAAATCCTTTAACCTCTATATCAATATGGTAATCAGTCTACATGATGATAGGTCTTAATTATCTGTTGGAAATTTTACCCCACAATGCAAGTTAAAATAATCTGTACATCACAATTTATAGGTTTCACCAGGTATCTGGTATGTGTATACTGTAGAAATGAGTTACATTACATACCTGGTGTATATACATGTTCAGTTAAATCAGATATTTTTCTATGATTTACAGAGCTGATATTTACAGATCTGCTGAAATTTGTTGATCAGCTTGATATCATTAAAACGTATTTGACTTTACATTGGGTGTATTTACATTGCATGTATAGTTGACATATGAATTGACAAGCTGTTATCCTGAAACTATCAAGATATATTGAACCTCATAAGTCATCACTTATACCTGCGTGCACCTTTTCCATATCACTAAGAAATGAACATCTCCCTTCCCCCTACCTCACTATTAAATGAAGCCTATGAAATATTTAAGTGTAGTGAAATTTAGTTCTGAACTTATCTTCCTCAATATACCATTACTATAAAATATTAACTTCAACTTCTTTGATCAGCAGACAGTGGCAAGTATACTATAGTAAGTAGTCTACTTGCCTGTCGTCCTATTGCAACTGAAGTATGGTGTAAACAAAGTACATACACATACAAAACTTGCACTCGGTGACATCAAACAGTATAGGCCGCTAGGGATGTATCTATGGACCAAGCGCACAGCTTCATCAGCAAGTCTATTGAGGTATACTGATGCAATCTAATTTCTACATTTTACTGGTCGTCAGTCTAAGCTACACCTGGTAGATATCTGCTGACTGTGCACAGCTGGATGCAAGTCATTGTTATCCAGCTGCATGTGTACCAGGTATACCTGGTCTGAAAATATGCTCCTTTGTAAGCTTATTAGCTATAGAATGTTTGATGGTATTTATCAAACCAGTCTAATTTATAGTCCAGTCATGTAAGATTAGTGCATGTACATTTTGAGTGATATATCTTGTCTCAGAACTTCAATGTAAATCTACCTTTTTATACTAGGATGTACTGATGCAACAAATGCAGTTTCTGTCCTGACTTTCAAAAGACAGAGGGAAATATATCACTCTAAATTGTAAAACATCAAATGGAAAACTTTATTTGTTTTTCCTTATAAACAGATTCTGGTCATAAATTTTACAGAAAGAAATCAAATATTGATGGGAAGTGAGGAAATGGATATATTTTCAAACACATGTGTAAATGTATCTGGTCAGGAAAATACAATATAAATGTATGAATTGTAAATATATACAGTACAACAATACTAAACATTACTAGTTTAAGTGGTAGACCTGAAGGTTGGTAGAGATAAGATGGGTATTAAGTTGAATGCAGGAAGTTAACTAGAATAAAGCTTTGTCTTTGTTTAAATAAGCAGAAAGAAATACAAACTGAGACAATCATTCACAAGTTCCAAAATGTGTAAATATCAAGTCTTATTATCAGTCAATTTTACTGATAATAACATACTAACATCTCGATCTTCGAAACCAAAGTCAACCTCAAGCTCTGACGGAGCAGAGAAAGGGGTATAATTATGTTACTAAATGTAAGACGGGGTGTAATTGTGCAAGTGAATGAAGGTAGGGTGTAACAGTGTCGTTATCTGGAGGAAAGGTTTTTACATTGATACTGAGCTGGGTAGAGGGGGCGTTATTGTAATGCCATATTGGTGAGAGCTCTATCCACTGCCAGTAGGAGTGTAACAGTGTTAATGAGCAGAGGAGGGAAAGTACTTCTAGAAATTTGATCTTGATAAATGTTATATTAAATGATTGATTAACAGGTTTTCCGTCTCTGTGACTCCTCCTGTGTCTGGGTATCACCTAATCGAAGAACGTCATTGTTCTGGAGATGTGTTTATATAAAAATAATTGTGATGTTAGTAATTTAACAAACACACCTGTCACTAATAAATAAGCTGATTGAACAATTACAATTGTCTTCAGATGAGAATCAGTTATAATTCTGAAGACTTCTGACAATTTTTTGTGATTATATTTTGTCTTAAGCACAGGAATTTGAAAAATGTTTAACCATCCATGGTTGTCTTATGATAAACCTGAATTTATTGAACAACATTACTCATCAATATATGAAAATAAGGATAAAATCAAAACTATTTCTAGAATCATGCATCGACTTGTAATATCTGATATTCTAGGAAGCATATTATGACGTGTACTTTTCACAATTCAGGTACATAATCCTATTTTTAGTATCTAGGCCAAATAACGACCTCTCTCGTGAAAAAGGAATGTACATTAGCATTGTACTACATATTGTGTATAGACAAGTCAAATTATCATATCTACCTTTCCACTGATACACAGTGTAGTTGCAAAGGTGAATGTTATTGTTTTGGGAAAACATAAATTTCAGAAACTGACAGCTCAGCTATTTGATGCAAATTGTATTCTCGTGGTCCACTTCACGTGTTTTCAAACCACAAACTACCGTTTGACAGTTTGTATACACAGCATACATGAACGACCAATTTTAAAAATTGTAATCAGTAAATATCACATTAAACAAAATAATAGTCTAATGTGATGGCAATGACGTTCGGCCAACTGACCTACATTTTTACATGGTCATGGGGTCAAAAAACCTTCTCTTTGCCTACTACTTTACATGTCTGAATATGGCGTCGTCCTCGTGCTCCACATATTTTTCGATATTGAATCAAATCACCAATTAAATGAATGAAAACTACATACCTTATGGTTTCAATGATTTCATTAGCTCCTTCTTTCCCATCCTGAAATTAAGAAGAAAATGAACGTTACTGAATGATCTGTCAAAATCATGAAACAAATCGGATTACTTTGTGTATTCTCTCCAAGTTGAACACGCCTTACCGAATTCGACAGAGGCCACGTGTAACTGACAGCTTCGGCTCCTGCCGGACTATGAAGCTTTAATTCCATTTCAATTCTCTCTGACTGACGTCCCCTTTCGCCATCTGATGTTCAAACAGCGTGTGGAATCGTCATATTCTGACCATTTCTTTCTTAGAAGTGGTGACCTATATCAGGCGTCAGTCCCACTCACAGGGGGAAGCCTCGTTGATCATGTGGGTGGTGGTTCTACCTTTTGATTGGCTGCCTCTATCTGAATTGGAAATCACCTCCAAAATGGCGGTCTGCTTTGAAACCGCATAATGTTTACACTTGGGAGCACGATGAAAGAGAATTACATTGGAATCATGGAACTACAATGGTAACTCAAAAAAATTTCCGTAGATATAAGACTTCCATAATGAACATCCGACGTACAGTTATAAAAAAGATACATACATTAAGTGGTCTTCTCGGATTGGTTATTACGCCCACGTAACAAAACCAACAAATCCCGAATCAATGGCTGTTCGTGACATCATCAGAGAGGCTTCATACTTATCATACTTGTTGCGTAATGACACACCTACACAAAATTCAACCAACAGTTGTCACGTAGGAAAACCTCCAGTATAGTTTATGTAATTATGGGAATCCCCTTTTACAACAATCTTTCAGTAACGTTCGCCAACTTCCCCATCTAAATAATGTAATTTTAGAGAGTCATATCATTAAGATATTAATTTGATAAATGTTTAAGGACAAATGTTGATATAGGAGTGTGACTTAATACATGTCATTTAAATAAAACAAAGTAATCACTCGAATTCATTTTTATCTGTTATACCTATATTACAATTAATAGAGTCGATATGAGGGCCCAAATGCTGTAATACATCATCTTATTTATCAAATTTTCTAATTAAATATAAAAATATGACACAAATGTATAAAATTCCATACATCACATAGCTTTATATATGTACTTCAAAAAATATGAAATACAAGTTTAAATAAAGAATTGAATGAGGCTTTTTATTTTTACAGAGACAACAGTGAAGAAATCACCATATTATTAACACATGTGTTTCTTATACTGATGACTCGGATGTTACATGGAATTTTTCTACACATTTTTTTATTATGAAAAGAAAGATTATAAGAAATCAAGTTTCTATTGATTTATGATATACAAATCATTACCTTTAGGTACTTGTATATAAGTGTTGAGTGAAATTTAAACATGATATGAAATCTAGAATCCTGGAATAACATTTACCAAGAATAAATATTTTAAGTTAAAATACTAAAATTTCCATGTATATTGATTTATTTCTGAACCATGCTGTTGTTACAGCTCAAATTTATACTGATATGGTTTGATCCCTTTAAAATATAGGTAATACCTTCATACTTTGTAAGTATATAGCAACACTGATGTAGTTAGAAGTTGTTAATTCAAGAATGTATTATATTTTTTATAGGAAGTGGGAGGGAAGGGTGAAATAATTACATTATGATGATGTGAATGTAGTATATTACCAGCAAGGTGTGTTAAGGTTAAAGATACATCAGAGTTCATTCAGATTATTAGAACAGGCTAATACATTGATTATGACATCTGTTAACAGAGACGTAGTCAAGCCCCTAGTCAGAGAGGGGCAATTGTCTGTGCAACACAGAGGACTGATCATGACAGTTTCCGTCAGGTATATATCAAAATGTATATTTCCTATTAGTTCAAAGCTAAAAGGACATACAATAATTTTAAAGTTGTATGTTTCCTGAATATTTAATCAAACTCAATTAAGTTCACTATACTTTTTATCTATTATTTAATGCCTATTTTATACAAGAAATTCACAGCTTTAAAAAAAAATGGTGAAAAAAATATGTTTAATTATTTATACATTAATATACAATTTTATTTGGATTTCTGAATTGCGTTATGTGACAGGTAAAGAGACTCAAGACACTTCATGACAATGCAAGAGATGATGAAGTGGTCCATCGTCAGCCCTTGTCTAGTATCACCAATACACCACATTGTCCTGACGCCTTTTCTCATGTATGTTAAAATAAATGTTCAATTTGTATCAACAACTTAGCTACTTTCTTTCAATAAACAAGGACCTATGTAGCTAGCATCCCAAGTTATTTGTAATTTTTTCTTTCTATTCATATCTGATTTTCTGATTACTTTCCAAGCAGATGTCACTTAATTCTGAGAATGATTATCCATTAGGTTGTCTATTAAGCTTTTTTACAAATTTGGATTTCCTGGTGCAGGCATTACATGACAAGTAGATATGGAAATACCTTCTAAGTACTCCCTGTGGTAAAAATTATATTATGCTATTTAAATCTTCATTTTTTATTTTTGCAGGAAGCTTTTATCAAGAAAATTCTTTCGAAACCATTCAAGGTTCCCATCCCTAATTACAAAGGTAACTTATGTACTGGTATATATTGTGTATAAATAATATCTCAAAACTTTTATCTGTGAAAGAAATAAAAAGCAAATGTTTAATATCTGGTAATGAATGTTCTGTGAGTTACATAAAATAGACAGATATTATATGTAATGATCTGACATGTAACTTTGATTTTTGGCAGTTTAAGGCAGAGTTTGGGAGGGGGCACAATAGCTCAGTCACTTAGAGAGTTGTTCTGTGTAACCTCTTGTGAAGATCCGAGGTGCATGGTTCAATGCTCACTATCCATGGTGGTTTGTGTTTCTCAGGGAGCTGAGAAGGTGTGTTCCCATTTCGCCTTAGTTACATGTTTTGGTATAAAACAGGTGGAAATGTGCTAAGGCGAAATAGGAATTGGGCTAAGGCAAAGTGGGAATTTAGGAAAAGTGTAGAAAGATAAACAAACCAATTACCTGCAGCAGTTGTTGTTTTTACAATAACTCATTCTACAGTTAAATCTTAATTATAATTGACCAAAGGCCTCATAGATTTAAGATATATATAATATATAAAATATATATGAAGAAATGAAAATAACTACATTTTGTATTGGAACATGCACATTTTTCACATTGAAAGAAATAAAGATAACTACATTTTGTATTGGAACTTGTATATTTTGATACTAAATCAATTAAATATATTTAAATAAATATTGGTTTTATTTCTCTTTTTTTTTATAATTCAAAGAAGGAACAAATCTTATTTTAAAAACCTAGTTTTTCAATGAAATGTATGTTTATAAGCAACTTATATTTTTAGTTATAGTTTTAGATAGTTTTTCTTGGGGATATATGCATACAAAAATATTCATAGTAGATTTTTACAGACTGAATGATCTGTTCACCCTAGAAGTAACAGCATGGACTAACTCCTCATCTCAGCTTACGTATAAGAATCCTGTTCACCCTAGCAGTAACAGCTTGGAAAAACACTAGACTTACAGAGATTCAGCTTGGAATAACTCCTCATCTCAGCTTACATGTTATCTATAAAAGACCTTTGACAGTATGCTAAAGTATCAGTTTCACAATCAACATGGCAGGAGTTATGCTACATGTAGACTTTCTAGAGACTAACAGGGGTGGTAGACATCTTGTATGGAATGGCTTTATATATCGCCATAACAACAAGAGGGACACATGGATATCATGGAAGTGTACCGAGAAAAACTGCAAAGCTACATTATGCACCCGAGATGACGTTCACAATCATCTTCCAGACCGAGCAGCAGTAGAATGCAAGAAGATTATGAACAACATACGAACGAGAGTTAAAACCAAACTTCATCCACTACCAGCCATCTATGATGAAGAAATATCCAAACTCCGAACTACTCCATGGGATGCCCAGAGTATAGAGATTGCCTCTAAACTTCCAACGTTTGATGCCAAGAAGTCGTCATTCTATCGTAGCAGAAAGAAGACACTACTGCCAATTCCGAACACCAGACCAACTTGAAGGTAAATTTACCCAGACCACCAGTGGAGAACAGTTTCTACAAGCAAATGATGGAAACAACGACAAAATACTGATATTCACAACTGACGAGAACCTAGTACATCTATGCTCTGCCGAGCTCGTCTACTGCGATGGAACCTTTTATACAGCCCCACAGATGTTTGACAGTATCTTCACCATCCATGCTTTTGTTGGTACTGTTATGTTTCCACTTGTGTATTCATTACTGCTGAAGAGAGATACTAACACCTACAATAGATTATTCACGTTTCTGAAAGACATTGCCGTTCGACACAACCTGAACTTCTCACCGAGCACAGTTAGCCTTGATTTCGAATGTGCTTCCCGTAATGCCGTCACTCCGACATATATCTGTAATGTTAATTATGTTTGTATTGATGACATTGCAAAAAGAATACTAGTATATAGCTAAATAAACATTATTAAATTAATTACTTGGCTTCCTTATTTTGTTTATACAAGGTTCCATTTCGCCTTAGCTGACTCCTTCCTACCTGGTTTTGGCACTAAGGCGAAATGGGAATAATTTTTTACCATGAAATTGACAGCTAAGGCGAAATGAGAGTAAGCCGCTGAGAAATGGACAGATCTGTGCTGATGTGGTTGTGTTAAGTCCATGGGCCAGACACTAACTCTAATAAATCTGGAAGGCATGCAACTTTCCTCCTTTTCATCAGTAGTAAAGCCACTAGTCACCAGCTACCAGCTGATTTTTTTTTACAAGGAGAATCAGTTTCAAATGACCCTGGATCAGTGCTGTTCACGGAGTGATAAATCCAACAAACAAACAAATAATCTTTAGCAGTTTCATGTATAACAAATGCCTACAATGTCACAGGAATTTTTTCTTTATCTCCAAGCAGATTTATATTTTACATCTACCTGTCTTTTTAGTTAGTATGTTTTGTTCTGTGGTTATTGGCTGTAGTAGAAGTATGTTGCACTATGACATTTTTGTGTAAGTACATGGTACATGTCTGCTTAGTGTTTAGCAGTAAGGTAAGAAAAGGACTTACATGATACTGTCACTTGTCAGTCTCTATTGCCTGTATCTCAGATGTTATTGACACACGTTTTATTGGTTTTGCTTGTAAGGTTCCTCTCTGGGTAGAGCCCTAGGGGTGAGAAGACACGGAGTCAGACAGCCTCTCCATGATCCTTACGAAGAAGGAGCTCTCATTCTTTACACACCACCAGAGCTGAGTGCACATGAACAGCTCAAAGTTGACATGTAAGTCTTTTCAGCTTATGATTTTAAATGATGCTTGTAGATCTAAAGAGCTTTCACTGTTTTAATCAATTTCTTTGAAACTTGATAGGCTTTGTAACCAAGGCAGGTAGCTGCACTTTTAAGCATCATTTAGGTTGGACAATCTTTAATAAAAAGCTATTTCCTTTTTTCAGCATTTGATCTTGTTTTCGAGTTTTCCACCTTTCTCTTGACATTTGCTGGGTTTTAACATCTTGAAATTCAGTTGGGCTTTCTAATGTAGTATTTTTATTAACTCTTTGCATGGCATTTCTATGTATTTATATATTCTGATATAAGTATGTCACATTGACTATGTTCAAGGTCATAAAATGTTAAACAAATTTGTTTCTGTAGAATTTTGATGAAGAGAAGAAAACTGATTAAGATGGCAGGGGTATTATTTCCTGTTTCTGTGTTGTGAAATCGATAGATGAATATGACATGTATGTCTATGAGTATCCTTCTTTGTGACGTACAGAGAGAAAGTTCCTGTTCATGTAGTGGTGGATCCCAAACTGTCTGCAGTGTTGCGACCTCATCAAAGGGAGGTAAGTTGGATGTAAAACATCTTTTGTTTATATTTGTATTATAATGGCCCTTATTTATAAATGTTCAGATTTGTTGTTATGTTATTGTTATTTTGATTGATATCTTCATTAAGAGAATATTTATGTGTTTTCAGGGTGTGAAGTTCATGTATGACTGTGTGACAGGTGTACAGATACCAGACAGCTATGGGTGTATCATGGCAGATGAAATGGTTAGTTACAATTCTATCAATCTTAAAAGTACTTTTGTTAAATCTATTTCAATAATTGACAGAATGCTTGATTGATAATGATAGTTACCAATTCAGATTCTAATGTAAGATATGACTCAAGTAGAACCCACTGCAGAATTCGAAATTTTCTTCAGATTCTTCCGTATGGAAAACATGAGCCATAATGATCTGCCATATCTGTGTGATTCTTTGGCCCTTTATTTTTAAATGCACACTTTGAAAAACTTAAATCTTCATTATTATTCTATGTACATGTGTTCCTGCACGCATACATTGTTTTCAGAGCATATCTCTTATTATTTTGTGTAGTTTTAATATTTGTGAGTAGCTACATCTTTGAGAAGAGGGTTCATCACACACCAAAATTAGGTTACTGCAGCCTTTCTCTTGATACTTTCATAAGTAAAAATCAGTTTTCTTATATATCTGGTTTGTGATCACTTCAAGAATTTTCCAGTGATTGTGTTTAACAGACCCGAATTTAGTCAGTGTGATTCTTTAGGTAAAAGAGTTACAAGAGCATATCTGTTTTTCTATTTGATGCAGAATCTTTAAAACCTATGTGTGATTAGATTTTATGGAAAATGGCATGTCACGTACTAATACTAGGTCACCATGACCTTCACATGGATCTCTTGGGAATGGTCAAAATGGAATGGAAGTGAAGATTTCTTTTCGAATTATGTTCAAAGCAATTCGTAATCATTGACGAAGTTCAGGTTTTTCATATACCAATTTTTCTCATTTCTAAATTTCTTTTCAGGGCCTTGGAAAGACACTACAGTGTATAACTCTGATGTGGACTTTACTGGTATGTTGTTTGCTTGAAAATGTACAAGTTTAGGGGGAAACCATTACATTCAACTTAATTATGCATTCTTACCAAATCATTTTCAGAATAAAAGAAATTCTGTTTATTTTACTTTAAATTTTCTTTTACTTTTGATATACTGGTAAGGTAAAAGCTAGAATATGTACCTTTAATAGTAAAATTCTTGTGAATTTCAGAGACAGAGTCCTGACTGTAGACCGTTTATTGACAAGGTTGCCATTGTTGCTCCAAGTAGTCTTGTCAAGGTCAGTAGGTCAAAGTCGAAGTTGTATGGCATGTTAAGTTTTTCTACGACAGCAAGAAAATATGAACTTTTGGACACATCAGTACATCACTGAACATGCATCTGCTGTCACTGATCATATATCATATTCAAACATATTTTGGAAGGAGGAGAGTGGCTGAACTATGAGGGTTGATTGATAAACTGTAAGCCTCGTATTGAATAAGTTAAGCAGGGATGTCCTTTTTCAGCTCTATTATCCCCGGACTATTTAAGGCTGTGTTCTTGAAGATATGATAGCGACACTATATGCTAGAGTGAAAAAGTGGGTAGGGAATTTAAGCGTGGCAGGCATAGTCTTGGGGATGAAATGGTCAATAAAGTCCATGATATTGTTATGGCTGACAGGCAAGTTACTGAGAGATACATAGCCAGCACAGTTGGGATTTTTAAGCAAAAAGTTCATTCCATTCTGCTAACTTACTGCAGTGGTTTGTGACTTTGGATAAAACATGGGTCATCATTCCACCCCAGAGGCCAAACAACAGTCTTGACAACGGAAGTACCCTGGTTCACCCTGCCAAAGAAGACAAAGACTGTTCCATCAGCTGGAAAAATTATGGTCTCGGTTTTATAGAATGCTGATGGTATTCTGAAGATAGATTATTTGCAAAAGGGACTAACAATCAATGACACATATTATGTGACACTTCTTAGGCAGTTAAGAGAAAATATTAAACTTAAATGCTGCAGAAAACTCAGTAAAGGTGTGTTGTTCCCCCAGGAGAATGCCCTTGTTAAAAATCTGTCATTGCCATAGTTGTCATTAACGACTGTGGCTTTGAATTGATTGAGCATCCGTCTTATTGGCCTTGATTTTGCTCCATCAGGCTTTTGTCTATTTCCAAAATTTAAAAAGGCCATTTCTGGTCATGATGATGTCATCTTACATGCAGTGGAGGACTTTCTGAACAGTCAAGAAAAGGACTTCTTTAAAAGTGGCACTGAGGCCCTTAACAGCCACTGGCAAAAGTGTTTAGGTACTTAAGGGGATTATAGTGAAAAGTAATACAATATGTCCGCCAAAAGTCAGACACTTAAATATGAGGCTCACAACTTATCAATCTCAGCCCTTGTAATTAAATAATGTGACTTTCAAAAAAATTAAAAGATAAAAAGTAGTTTTTACTTTTGAATGGCTTTTTTTTTTAAATCAAATATTGGTTTAAGTATTGCATAAATATATATCTAAATATGCAATGAAAACTGGTTACTTTCAGAACTGGGCAAATGAAATTCAGAAATGGTTAGGCACTGTTATCAACAGTCTGGTGATCGATTCTGGCTCTAAGGACGACATCGACCGCAACTTAGGTCAGTTGGTTGAATGAAGAATGTTCTGAGGTAACGGTATCATGGTTTGAATACTCTTGTGACATGCCATCAGTCATCAAATGTTCCTTCAAAATGCTGGCAGTCCAGAGTTGGTTTGATCCTTTCCAGGTTAGGGAAATGAAATCTGTTTGGAGAAATAATGGCAAATCTTTAAAAAAACAAAATCTGACTTTTAAGCTCACTTAGCTCAAAGGGCCAAGTGAGCTTATGTTGCATTGGTACATCCACCCGTCATCTGGCAAATTTATAAAATCCTACTTTCTCCAGCTTGGAAAAGAAATAAAAGTTAATTCTGACATTCTGGCACAGTACAATACTGTGAAAACCATATTCTGAAATAACTTTTACAGTTACAGGTTATAAATTTTTTTCTCACACCTACTACTTTGAAAACTATTCAGTATTTCATCAGAGTTTGGCGTATCCTGTGGGAGCCTCAAACTACCCACACAGCCTCTTCACTTTTTGAACATTTGAATAGTTGTGCATAAACAATGTAGGCCACACAACATGTTTTAAAGTGAAGATTTTCTATTTCATTTTAAATAAGATTAATTACATAGAATGTTGTTGAAATATTAACTATGACCTAACCTACCTTTTTGATGAAATACATGTGTGTAGGTGCCACTTATGCCTACACGTGGATGAATATACCGTTGCATGAAAAAGTATGTAAAGTTACTAGACAGATCGGGTGAGATAGAAAAATCTAGAATAGGGTATTGCATGGGATATCCCTGTCTGAGGTGTCAGAAAAGTGGTTCATTTCCAGTGTCAGGACCAGCATTTCAGGAAAAGCTCAAAGAAATTTACTTAGATTCACTACATATGATCCTGTAACATCCTAACCTCGGCTAACACCACGGTTTGCTACAGGATCTTAGCCCGAGACTGAGATACTCCGATCTTGCTCGGTAACAGGTAACAGATTTTATGAGTCATGTTGTGGATTTTGTCCTTGGTCAGGGCACTTCAACCTTATTTGCTTTGGATGGCATAAGACTGGCCTCCTATGTTATTGAGTAAGGAAGTCATCAGCTGCTGAACGTATATCCAGCTTTAAAATGGCTTGACTATTCACAGTGATATTAACTGAACAAAATAAACAAATAGGTGGTTGCTAGGTCAAACATGTCTTTAATCAAATGAGATTTCTATTGAATCAAATTACTTACTGTGTTTGTTGGGAATTCTGTAGTAAACACCAGGAAATTTATAGTTTTGTTGATTTTGTTATTTGCAGACCACTTCATGCAGCAAAAAGGCCGACGTGTCCTCAACCCAGTCCTTATCATTTCTTACGAAACACTGCGACTGCATGCCAAAGTCATGTTGAAGGGCACCATTGGTCTTGTGATTTGTGATGAGGTACTCAAGCATTTAGCAATCATCTTTTCCTTATTTGCATTATCTTCTAAATAGAGCAGACAAAAAAATCTTTGAATTACCGGGTAGCTGTTCTCTCCTCAAGACATCGATGGAATTAACAAGTATTTGCAGTGTAATGTGATTTACCATATCACAGGAGTTGCTATTTTCTTTATGATTACATATCAGCCTGATTGATATAAATCTTCAGATTACAAAATTTTTCTTCTGATGTAGTTAGGATATTTGAGACACTTTGACATTTTTTCAGGGCCATCGTCTGAAGAATTGTGAGAACCAAACATATCAAGCTCTGAACAGCCTGAAGGCTCAGCGTCGCATTCTGCTGTCTGGGACCCCCATTCAGAATGATCTCCTTGAGTACTTCAGTCTCATCCATTTTGTTAATGGAGGAATACTTGGTAAGGCTTAAAAATCATAGTTGACACAACAATAAAGAAACTTGTTCAAGATTATGTGAAAACTATTTTATATTTACTATATTGTTCGGAATTTTAAATTAAACAATGCTATGGGTATGATACAAGAACATGGAGATGGAAAAAAAGCAGTTTTGAGGATCTAGTATAAAAGTATAACTGTTAACTGCTGTATGAGCTGTACTTTCTAAGAGGACAACTTCATGTTATAAAGATATTGATACTAGAGCTAATGGATAGTTTTCTTTTGTCTCCCAAGTTGAAGTTTAGTTTGTCTTCCCCTTAACTTTGGTCAATAGGTACTGCCCTCGAATTCAAGCGTAAATTTGAGACTCCAATCCTTCGTGGCCGAGATGCTGCGGCTTCTGACCTGGAGCACAAGAAGGGTGAAGAGAAACTTGCAGAGGTGAGAACTAAATTACTTTATTTGCAGACTGTATGAATATCTTTATACTAACATCTTTTTTCCCATTCCTGGAGTCATTAGCATGGTTTCTGATCCATTTCTAAACCACTTTAATTTTCATCATCACCCAAACAAACAAACAAAAATTTACATAAAATTTTTATTTCATCAATTCGCTGAACTTGTATATAGATTAATCACCACAGTATTAGAGCTTTGTATAAATTCCATAATTACATGAGATTAATTTCATACGTCTAATACTTCTAGGGGTCACCACAACTTACAATGGATGGAAAGTCTATGTATAGCAAATACATGACCACATAGACTACACTGCACAAAGGGAGACAATTCTAGAAGAACTAATTTCCATTGAGTTTTATTTAGCTATATCATTTCATTGATTTATAGTTGCACAACTTTTATAGAGAAATACTTTATACGGATACCAGACATGAATTTCTCGGATCTACTAGGTTACAGAAATAATCATTTAGATTCCAATAAAACTCCTATGGTTTGTAAAAGTTAAGTTTTGTATTAACATAAATTTGTTTCCTCTTAGGTCCTTTTTAGTAGTCAAAATGCCAACCACTATTGTTATGACTTTGCAAAATTTTTTGCTGTTGTCAACTCTTCCTTGTATATGGTTTAAAATTAATGTTACAGTGTTTCATCATTTACATTATATAACCAGCTTAATCTGGACATATGAAAAACCAGTTGCATCCATTATTTTTATGCCCGTGAATCAAAAGATCAGTGGCATGTTGGGGTTTTTCTTGTGCTGTCTGTTTGTCTGTTGTCAACTTTAACCTTGCCTGTAACTTTTGAACTGTAAGAGGTAGGGCTTTCATATTTGGCAAGTCTTTTCCTTGTGACAAGACTTTTCTGGTAGTAGAGCTGGGTACCACGAAAAATAAAGTACCACAGTATACCACGGTATTTAGTCCAGTACTGTGGTATGTATCACGGTATACCACAGATATACAATGTATCACAAATTGAAGAAATTATTAACACTTACCCTGTTCATACTTCATCAAATGTTTTAAACACATTGAAACAAGACTCTGACAAGCCAGATCAAATTAGTTATTTAATATAAGTAATAAACAAATTAATATCAGACTAGAATCGCCATCTTGTCTCTATTCTCTGTGAGACTGCAGAGCTCGTTTCCATAGTGACTAGACTTGAAGTCTACCGGTCGCCAACCTGTGATTTTGATCACGCTCATTTCATGTCGAATTTTTATGTACCGGAATGACCAGTAAAACCAATCACTGTGTGATCGCATTTATTGACAAGCATCTTCGACTTGGACTTGTATCTATACTAGTTACATGTCATGACATAAGCGACGACTCAGACTGAGAAGATCTATCCTAGAGGGTAGATCTTTGTCTTGTCCATCAGCAAAACTGATGTTATCTCAAATCAGAAGAGACTTCAATTAATTGTGTCACACACGCATCCCATTGATTATCTAGGTCTATGGAGTGTATTACAGAACCCTTAATTACTAGAAATAGATCGATGACATTGTTACTATTTTGAGAATACCGGTATCGACCTCCTGTACTGCAGTATGTACCGTCAAAATTTTTTACTGCAATATACTGTATATCGGTAATACCGCTCACCTCTATTTGGTAGTACCAATTTTTTACCTTAACAGTGACCTTTGACCAGCATTTGTTAACATTGGTGGTAACGTTGGCCATAACTATTGCACGGTTAGAGGTAGGGATTTTTATATTTGGCATGTACGTTCCTTGTGACATGACCATTCTGATGGTATCAACATTTTGGACCATGTTACCTTGACCATGACAAAGTCATTACCATAATGAACACATTGTAATTAGCACATGCCTTACACAGTAGAGTTCAATGTCTCTCTGAAGATCTTTGTTGCAACTGGGGGCATAGTATTTCATAAACACATCTTGTTAAACTTATGAAAACTAGGAAAACTAAAATCTTGAATGATACGTGTATGATAACAAATAAATGATATTTGTTCTTACTTTAATGTGATTTGACTTCTGTTTTTTGTGTATTGTTAAAGAAAAATCTCTAATTACTAGGAATAGCAATCTATTCAAACATCCAATATAATTGACAATGTTACATTTGCACTGTTTGAAAATAACTATTTGAATTTTGTTTTTGGCTCTGGAATGACTATGGGTAAAGGTAATTTTACTTAAGTGACTTAATTATTTGTGTGCTGACTTCAGTGATATAATGACGTGTGTGCTGACTTCAGTGATATAATGACGTGTGTGCTGACTTCAGTGATATAATGACGTGTGTGCTGACTTCAGTGATATAATGACATGTATGCTGACTTCAGTGATATAATGACGTGTGTGCTGACTTCAGTGATATAATGACGTATGTGCTGACTTCAGTGATATAATGACGTGTATGCTGACTTCAGTGACATAATGACATGTATGCTGACTTCAGTGACATAATGAGGTGTGTGCTGACTTCAGTGACATAATGACGTGTATGCTGACTTCAGTGACATAATGACATGTATGCTGACTTCAGTGACTTAATGATGTGTATGCTGACTTCAGTGACATAATGACATGTATGCTGACTTCAGTGACATAATGATTTGTGTGCTGACTTCAGTGACATAATGACGTGTGTGCTGACTTCAGTGACATAATGACGTGTATGCTGACTTCAGTGACATAATGACATGTATGCTGACTTCAGTGACTTAATGATGTGTATGCTGACTTCAGTGACATAATGACATGTATGCTAAGTATGCAAGCATTCCATCTACCCTAACCAATCTTGTATGCTGTCAACAAAGAAAAAAATTGTCCATTAATTAATAAGGTTGTAATTATTTTGCTTTGTAATTTGTGATATTGTTCTATACTTTCTGTCAATGAAGATTGAAAACATTATGGTCTTTGTCAGCAGACAATGTACAGATTTATGTCCCTTACAAGGGAAACGGCAAACTTACCTGTCATGATCATTTCAAACAACCGACTGAAAATGGGGTTGTTACGGGGTAAAAATAAAGACAATTCACACAGATTTTAAAGATGCCATTACAGAATTTAATAATGACAGGTTATATCAAAAGTCAGTGCGTCACAATCAAATGGTTATAGTATACCTCCGTAGAATGATAGGCCATGATGAAACTGACTTGTTGATGCAAAATTTTATAGATTAAACTGACTTTCATTGATTTATTATACTATAATCAAGATATGGAAGTTTTCTAATAAATTGGAATAATTGGATCACATTCTTTAATGGATATGCTTGTTGTAGTTGGCTGCTATCGTAAACAAGTGTATCATCAGAAGGACCCAGGCCCTGCTGACCAGATATCTACCTGTGAAAAGTAATTTTTCAGTCACTCATTTAATACATGTTCAGATCCTAAATTCTGGGAACAAATTCTTTAACTTTCCTGAGAGATTCCCAAATTCAACTTTAATAATGCTAGTTATAAAGGTTTCAATACCTTCATTTGTTTTATTTGGAAATCCTGTCAATGGCTACCAATATCAATCTTGATTATATATTTAGTAAAGAGTAGTGTAAAGGCAGTAACCATAGACAAAATGTGTTCTGAAGGTTGTAATGAAGAAATTACTTCAATTTTAGTTGAGCAGGTGGTGTGTTGCCGCCTGACTCCTTTGCAGACTGCCCTCTATCAGCTGCTTGTGAAATCAAAGGCTGGGGATCCTGACATGGAGTTTGATGGTCGGCCCACAGGCACAAGCCTTTCTTTCATAACTCAGCTAAAGAAACTTTGTAACCGTAAGTTCTCTTTTAAAGAAAATACTTTTTTTTTCATTAATTAATATTGATAACTTCCCCCTTAATGAAGGGGCAGGTACTTGCATGCTGATTTGTAGTGTTGTTGATAAAGAGAGTTGTTGACCAGTAGTTGAATTGGGTGGTCGGATGGCGCAGTGGTAACGCACTTGCCTTTCACCTAGCAGACCGGGGTTCGATTCCCGGAACGGATGTGAAAAGGTAAGGGGTACTCCGGTTTCCTCCCACAAGAAGACCCCTCGCGTGCTTACATCCGGGCCAACAAGAGTGATTAGTATAAGTTGACATAACTTGTTTTGCAATTGTTGTAAAATAAATGAAGTTTATATTTATAGTTGAATTGAATTAAAGAGACAATTCATCAGGAGTGCAATTTTACCCATTATTTCCAATATATTTTGTTTTCCATTTAATAGATCCTGATTTGATATATGATAAATGTGTTGGAGATGCTGATGGTTTTGAAGGATCACTTGATCTTTTCCCTACTGGATATAACCTTAAAGTCGTGCGGCCAGAACTGTCAGGTATGATATAACTGTCAGATATGATATAACTGTCGGGTAGGATATAACTGTCAGGTATGATATAACTGTCAGGTACGATATAACTGTCAGGTATGATATAACTGTCGGATATGATATAATTGTCGGGTAGGATATAACTGTCGGGTATGATATAACTGTCAGGTATGATATAACTGTCGGATATGATATAACTGTTGGGTAGGATATAACTGTCAGGTATAACTGTCAGGTATGATATAACTGTGTATGATATAACTGTCAGGTATGATATAACTGTCGGATATGATATAACTGTCGGGTAGGATATAACTGTCAGGTATGATATAACTGTGTATGATATAACTGTGTATTATATAACTGTCGGGTAGGATATAACTGTCAGGTATGATATAACAGTCAGGTAGGATATAACTTTCAGGTATAACTGTCAGGTATGATATAACTGTCGGGTATGATATAGAGTCTAAATGATGATAGAGGTACTAACACACTGAATTTTCAGGGATTTGGTATTAATGACATAAAGCCTGAAGACAATTTTCCTGTGATAAGCCCATGAGTATAGTGCTACTCTGAACAAAGGGTTGATCTAATTATAGGAGAATAAAATAACAACAGTTTTTAATTTGACTGAATAGCAGTAGCTGTGGCATATAACTACCTGTCCCATATGGAATGTTATCAGTGTGGGTTATCTATACCATACGGCTACCACAATCAGATGACAACCTCACCTTACAAAATCAAAGCTCATCCAAATGTTGCTTGGCTGCTGATTGTCACCTTACAATGAACTAGAAATAATACAATGTATATGTATTATGTATATTTAGTGTTGCTTGTACCTCTTTCAGCTGGCTGGTGTCAAATTTGTTTAAAAAATCTCAGCAAAACCCCTGTCGTTGAAATTATGCATCCTTTGGTGGAAGTTCAGGTTCAGGGCCTGTACAATGCTATACCAGAGGGTAAAATGCAAATGTACCTGTATTGTACGTATCTATAAGTTTTACTCTTGTGTTGTGACAAGGAATATCCCAGTTTAGGTGTGGTTAAGTCTGAATTAAATTGACCTGCTGTTATATGAATCATTGGTCATGTGATTACAGGGAAGGTGTTGGTACTAGATTGTCTCCTGGCCATGATTAAGTCGACCACCAGTGATAAGATGGTGTTAGTGTCCAACTACACACAGACGCTTGACCTGTTTGAGAAACTCTGTCGACTGAGAGGGTACCAATAAAATTTGATTTGATCCTTCCATCATTTTTGCCAGCATGCAATGATCATTTTCCTAATAACTTAACTTTAATGAATTTCTTTGATAGATAAATAAGCTTAGTAACATTTCAAGCAACATTTGTAATATTCAATATCTCCTTCAACCTTTATGTTATGCAGTCAAATGGGGAAGAATTATTATTTCATATTTCTAATTTTTTTTTTAACAAATGTACATTTTCATGTTTTAGTTACACTTCAACTTTTTTCCCACATGTTGTACAAATCACAAGCATTCTTTTGTGTAAGTTACTGGTGTTTTGTTTTTTCACAGGTTTCACAGGGTTCTTAAGTCCAAACTAATGCCTAGATTTGTTTCTTGTTTACAGGTACATCTTTGTAAGACTGGATGGTTCTATGTCTATTAAAAAGAGAGCGAAAATAGTAGAGAATTTTAATGATCCTAAAGTAAGTTTATTGTTACTTTCCCAGTACACAATCTGATCAGCATATTTTGAAGACTTTGTGATACAGAGATTTACTTGATATTACCTGTATATACTTATATGTTCATCCAACAAGAGATCAAACTATTTTCCTCAAATTGCAATATTTATTTTACAACTCAACTCAATAACCCCTCACACTGCTTAACAATACTGAGGGTTGACATGGCTTCTAATAAAATGAACTTGAAACACATAGCTTTTTTGTATTTCATGTTTTGTCTGAATTATCTTTGAAAATGACTGCATAATAACACCAAACAACAGACAATGATTCCTTGTATGCTATTAAAAAAACTGAGATTAAATCCTTTCTATCTACAAGAGTCCAGTATTCATTTTCATGCTGAGTAGTAAGGCCGGAGGATGTGGATTAAATCTGATTGGCGCAAACCGACTAGTGATGTTTGATCCGGACTGGAACCCAGCTAATGATGATCAGGCCATGGCTCGTTGTTGGAGAGACGGTCAAAAGAAACAATGTTTTATATACAGACTTATAGCAGTAAGGAAATTACATTTAGTCAGTGCGAAAAATCCAGAAACTTCCTGAAATTTCATATTAATCCCAGTCAAAGGTCAATGATTTGAGTTTGTCTTTCACTAAGTTGTTAATTCAAAAGTTATAGCCCACACTGCACTTGTGTTCTTAGAGATAATTTTTACCTCGTTAGAGTTTAATAAACTTTTTAAGTTGTTCAGTTAAAAAGAACCTAATTTTTTTTATCAGTTTATAATTAAATATTGTAAATGAACTACAGGGAAGATAAAGCAAAGGCATTAGAGAGCAATGTTGTAATCTTTGCTTATTCAAGTGAAATATATAAAGAGTTGTGAAATTAGTTTAGGGTCAACTTCCACAGTTAATACATGTTTGGCATTGTTGTCTCCCCTCACCCACTGTTTTACACAAACACATCATTCTTCTGTCTGACAGACTGGTACCATTGAAGAGAAGATCTTTCAGCGCCAGGCCCACAAAAAGGCTCTCAGTTCCTGTGTTATTGACAAAGAGGAGGATGTGGAGCGACACTTTAGCCTTGGTGAACTCAAGGAACTCTTCAAACTGAATGAGAATACCATCAGTGACACACATGAAAAGTGAGAGGATTTTTGATAATACAGTCAAACTTGTCATCTCGAAATTCAAGGGACTATGGAAAATATTTTGACTTATCTCAATTTTGACTCAAACAAAGTGTATAAATAAGGTTGATGATATCAGATTCCTGACGTTGAGTTATGGTTGAACTAGGTAGGGCTATATAGCATGTAAACAGCATAGTTTAATCAAATAAATTTATTTTTACTTTCTCCTTTTATTGTTTAAAACAACAAAATGTGTAATAACAACTACAATCAACTACATTTGTACTCATGTTGTTCCGTCCCGCACACGTGTACAATACCCTTATTTACCAAGCACATATACATTATATATTTTACAGAATGACAATAAAACGAAATTAAAATTTGCTTTTGATATTCTACAAGAAACAATGTATGAAGTTACAGATCACATTAATATGACTATTATGAAATAATAAACATGAGAAATGAGGCACTAGAAAGTTTTTACCTGTTACAGAAAACACTGTACAAGCTCTAGACTTGACAAATCATGCAGATATAGACTCTGTCAATGAAAAATACTTCCAGCACTTCATTCTCCAAACACTAAATCTGATAAAGTGCCCAATAACAGTCTATTAGTAAACAAGCTCAAGATCAGCTTCTCCCGAGAATATGGGGATCAGATTTCACCAAAAAGTTCATACTGGTTTGATGGTTTTGTTTTTATCCTTTCTGAAGATGCATGCAACCAAGCTAAATGTTTTTATGTTTTGAAAAAAGCGTTACTTTTTTAACATTCAGGTATGTCACTGTCACAGGATAGTGACACTTATTATGAAGTCAACCTTTAATTGGATAGTTAAACTGGTAATTAATCACTAGAGACTAAGTGTTGTGTGCATGATGGACCGATACGCCACAATTAGCTATGTGTTACGCACTTGTGACTTTCTACTCTGTGTATGTATTGACTGATTTCATCAGAAGATGTGCCTGTGTTTTGACAAAAATTAATTTCGAGACAACGAATGACTTTTTCCTTGGTTTACAATTGAAGGGGCTGAAAAATCACTTTAACTTAACCGAAATTTTCGACTCAATGAAATTCGAGTCATCTAAACTAAAATTACAAGGATAAAAAAGGAAAAAAATTGGGACTTCGGGAAAAAAAAGTATTTTTACTCGAAAGGAATTTCAACTCAAGCAATGTCGAGATGAGTTTCGACTGTATTACTGTTTTAGCTAGCCACAGGGTGGAAGTGTATTCTCCTTTATGACTAGATTCACCCTTCATCTTTCCGCGGATGTAATTATTCAGCCAATGACAAGTGTAGTATGACAATTTTTTGCATACCCCAGTAAATTCTTTGAACATTCCATTTTATATCATAAATCTCACATATATTTGAGTACGAAAGTTCAGAGTATCTTGTGTTTCTGATCTTGATTCATACAAACAGTAATCACATAGTGAAGTATGAATATAAATGTATTAGAGCGGGGCAAAATGGGGAAATCTTTTATCAAATTTAAATGTGAATGTGACACTTTTTGGGTGATGTTACAAGTCATTAATTTTATTCCTAAGAATCATATGATATATTGTGTAAAAGAGTACTTAGAGTTTTGACAGAACAATTACCTCATTTGTTTATGTATAATGATTGTGTTGACGGTTCTATGGCCTGATTTGTTTATGTATACTGGGTACATACAAAACTGAACTGATATTATGGAAAGATTCAGAGAAGAATGATATTTTTGAGTATTCCTTCATATTCTTTCTCTATACCTCTTATGTTACATCATGAAAGGTTTAGGCTATTTGAATAAATATCATCATCCTGATAGATCTAAGGTTGTTTGCACAAATTAACATGGTTTTTTTTTCTACATTATCATGTTCATCTTCCAGACAGGAATTAACTTGTACAATATACTATGAATCTTCTGGAAATAAAACATTTCATTTAGAAAGGAACCATGAAATATAATACTTATTTCTTTGTTTTACAGATACAAGTGTAAGAGATGTGTGAATAATATTGAAGTGAAACCCCCTCCTGAGGGCTCGGACTGTAACTCGGACATGTCACAGTGGCATCATTCCACAGACAAAAAAGGGCTTAATGATCTTGTCCTTAAGGGGTCATGGAACCCAGCCATCTCATTTGTCTTTCATCATAAGTCTCATGAGGAACAACGCAAAACTGCATAATGCTGATGGATATCAAATACGAAGATTGTGTCCAAGTGTGAAGCTTATTGTCTCATTGAATTTGGTGTGTCAACTATGAATTGTAAAGCTTCTTTCTGATTATTAACTTAAATAAGATAAAGTAAAACCCAAACCTGAATTTCTACTTCCAGGGAAAATAACAAATAGGTGAATCAGATTTCAAGAGGGAAAGAATTGTTTATGAATCTGTACTAATAAGTAATGTTTATGTGGATTTGGAAGCTTTAGAACTTATGCAATACGATGAGGATGAATTCATTGTATAATATCACAGTGCTTGATTTATTCTGTATGAAAATCACATTTTTTCTTGAAATAAAGAACAATAGATACAAGTACAAGTGGTATATTTTGGTTGAAAGAATTTACGTAATTCTTTTCATTTATTTGTATGCACTGTTTTGGTGTGTGTGGAAACATGGATATGCTTAGTGTCTGTGAATGACAGTTTATCAGTCTTTCTCGGTTAAATACTGGAAACACTTAGTTTTTGTGAATACTTTATTTTGCACGCTTACCTCATCAGACATATTCGCAAATACATCATTTCGTAAACGCTGATCTTACCTCATCAGACATATTCGCAAATACATCATTTCGTAAACGCTGATCTTACCTCATCAGACATATTCACAAATACATCATTTCGTAAACGCTGATCTTACCTCATCAGACATATTCACAAATACATCATTTCGTAAACGCTGATCTTGAAATGACTTTTAATTCGTGAATGATGAACTACTACTAGAGACATGGACTCTACAAGGCTCCAACATCAGTAACAAAGTCAAAATGGATGCCATCCAGACTTATTTTTGTACATATAATTGCGAGGGATTTGAAATTGCGATTTGCTCTACTCGCATATTAACACAAAAATAAGTCCCTCATGAAATATATGTGGTTTATGATAAACCAGTTTATTATTCGCCAAGTAATCTGATGGCAGGAAAGAAATATATGGTATGTTGAAGGAAGTACTAGCATTCTTTTAGCATTTTAAAGGTGGATGTTTAGGCACCATTTTTGTTTTTATTGATATGGCAAAGATACTGCTTGTCCTCGTCAGTGAATGTATGATAGTGTAAAAAGCCTTGTAACAGATTCTTTATGGATATAAACTATTACCTGAACATACTGTTTTATTTTAGTGATTTACTTTGTGTCCAATCATCTATCATCCAGATTTGAGCTAAACTTCAAATCTAAATCTTTGTTCCTTTTTGTTAGTAAAAGAAATTCTTCATTTATAAGGTTAGTGTTTATAAAAGAAGAAAATTGCTTAATATCTTGTTATTAGTTTCAGCTAACCTTGGTCAGATCTTGTCTGTTTGATCTGCTATTGCTGATTAATATGTTTCAAATAATTTCAGTACCAAATACATGTACTTAATGGACTGAAATATGATTTATACTATATATAGCGCTTCCAACTTTTGAGCCCCAGTGGACACTCTATGAGGTATTTGGATTTACATTTCTTTTTAGAAGATGCAATTTATTTTGTGGATTTGAGTATTCATTTATCATCATGGACTTTCATATTGTTACTCTCATTTGGTACCAAAATGACTTAAGTTGTAGTTTCATTTGAAGTTTTTCACAGACTTGATAGGAAACTATACATCGTGGCCAAGCTATTTGAGTTAGAAATGTGTGTATATCTATTCATGCTGAAGCGTTAAATGATGTGTGTATTGAAGTTGATTGAGAATGAATGCAATTAAGAAAAATAAATTATTATAAAATTGACATTCTGTTTTGTTTTTTACCATAAATAAAATGTATAAAATATGTCAGAAAATACCAGTTTATAGCAGGCAAGGACAGTACAAAGCAGAAATAAATACAGTAGTGAGCAAAAATCAGTGGAGAATTAATATATGCCATTAACAGTTTGTATCAGGCTCTGTAATAAATATATTTTTGCTGTTTCCAGTTAATATTTAATGCTTACAGTTAGCTGTCCATCGTTTGATGTTTATAGCTCACTTTGTACTGCCTAAATGTCACTGATAACATTATATGTGGTCCCATCCTGAACCAATATTGTACACTGTTCCTATATTTAGACGGATTGGTTTTATTCAACAGAGGAGCCTTTGGGAAAAGGTCCCTTCCACTTATTTTTTAAAGTTGTTTTGAAATCAAAAGTGGATGCCCGTCAGTAAACCAGAATCTGATAGGATAATTAAAGGATAGTAGCTTGATAATCAAAACAGCAGCCTACAAATAAATCAGTACCGGTCACAAAATCAAACATATTCACAATGCAGCTAGATAACAGTAGATAGCACTGTCATATGGCCTTTACACATCAGTTATTTTATTAGTATTATTTTCTTAAATATTTGACGAGACCCTAATACTTTTCACTTTGGGGGTAATATTATATCACTGAAGTTTAGTTACTTTCTTATTAGGAAAGATTCAGTTTTGTGATGTGATTAAATAGGACGCATGATTATGGCAGGGACGTATATATAGGTCCCTGATTATGGCAAATCAACATTTATTCATAGAACAATGTCAATCCGATATCAGACCAAATTGCAAGATACCTCATATATCATAAGATTAGTTCATCCTTTTTAAGGTATTTTATCTATTTTGAGATAGGTTTCAAACCTTTTTATGAGACATCTTGCATATACCAGGGACGTATATATAGGTCCCTGCATATACCTAATGAAAGAGAGCACAGAGGAAACATAATGCCATTATTGTTTACTCATTTAAAATTACACAGGGAAATCTTACCAATTGAATCTTTTCTTTTTTAACAAAGTATCGTTAAATTTCAGATGTAGTATCTACATTTTTTGGAATTGTCACGGGATGAAAGGTTTTGCTGTCTATTACATAGTTCAAATATCAGGCAAAACGTGCACTTTTCATTTAAAGCTTTCATATGACGAAGACGGTTTACAGCAATTTTATTGGCTGTGTAAAATCTGTGTCTCTTCGGCGCATTTCCGCAATAAGATAGCCCAGCGATGAGAACTTGACAGGCTGTTTGTGGAGTGACGGCATATTCTCTGTGGTCAAAACAGCTGTTCAAGAAAGTTATTCTGAAACTTTAAGCTACCCTGCGATGTCTTTGAAGGTAAAGTTAATCTTTCAGTCGCATGAGAATATTGCTTGGTCTAATGCGTAAGTTATCGTGGTCTTAAATTAAAAATACGCTGAGCCACACCTGACACCGGCGTACAATGTAACGTGTTAAATGTAATTTAGAAAAAAAACTGTGTCCTTACGTATTAATTTTTCGTTCATTGATGGATTAACAGTTATTAACTATATTTTCATTCTTTATGATTTTCGCCGGACATTTGAAGCAGTACAATAAGATCAAAACGTAGTTGACAGGTACTGGCCTTGTTTATCAATACATTTATATATCTGATAGGTATATGAATGTATTGACAGACAAGGACAATACCTATGATTGATCTGTCAGCGTATTGACAGGTCAACTAGATAGTTCGGACTTTTGATTTGAAAGGCTATGTATCCCGAGTACATGCTATATGATCAATGAAGTAATAATAGTACTGGCAAGTAAAATGTCAATTTTTCCATACAGCCTCCCCTTAATCAAGACACGACATATTGTGTAAATTACATCACATACATATAGCATAAAACAACTTACTGGTACTAACTAAAATTGAGAATAAAAATTTTAAATGTTCTCTTAATCCCTTCAGCCTGCTGGACACTGAAGGCCCTTTACAATGAGTGAAATTAAAACATCTGAAGGTGACGTTTAGAAGATGAAAAGCCAAATATTAATTCTGTATATGTGTGATTGTATAACAAAAATTTTTCAGTGTCAAACTTTGAGAAAAGTGGTTGTCGGTACATTTTAATCCAACTCTAAAAAAGAAATTGGTGGTAACACAATCAGAAATTTTATGTTAAAAAGCTGAATGAATGTTCATGTCTGTTGGTATATTTTCTATATAAAAATCATCAGTTAAATGCACAAAAAATATATCAAATATATATTGAGTATGGTTGAGTCAAAATTGAAAAGACTTTAGAACTGCAGTAAAATTTGTAATTTGCAAGATGTAAGGGCAAGATAAAAAAATACAAAATGTATCAAATTGGAGAAAAATAAACAGCTGGAGGGTTTGGGTGCTGGTTGTTCCTTTGTCATTTCTGAATAAATAGTTGCCTTCAACCCAACTCTTGCAGTGGTCAATGGAGACCTCCTGCATAATATGTCATATATGTTTTGGTATGTTGAAATGTCTTGCTGCAGGCAGGTCTAGGCATTTCTGTTTGATGGAACACCAGTGATTGTTGATCCCAAGATTAAGTGATTTGTTGTTGTCGATCTGCGATAAGCTAGAATTGGTGATTCCTTGAAAATACTCTTGAATTTATTGGATGATAATAGGATATGCTATTGCTACTTGAAGGAAGCTGACAATAGTAACATGCTATTACTAAAGATTACCACACAGGGTACTGTCCTAGGTTTTGGTCATACTTTTTATTCCAGTGTACCTAATGTACAGTATGTACTACATGTATTGTCTATAAAGTATATTGAACTTTTGGTATTTTATGTAATCAACAAACTACTATTATTATAACAAAATCAATAATAAGTTAAAACGTAATAATTATCTGCCAGAGCCAGATCTATAGGAATATCTTATAAAACTAGCATTGAAAAAAAATGAGAAAAAAAATCATAGACAGTAGAGATCTAAGCAAAACTTTTGCTACATGGGTTTGATTACAATAGTTGATAATGTTGTATGTGCTTTCCACATATTCAGTTGTGAGTGTAGATATCCTCCTGTTTGTATAACAGAAAAAGGAAGTATGCATCAGGTGTAAACTAGAGTGGAATTAAAACTCAAGACAACCAACATTTTAACATACACTCCAGATGAATAACAAACCTCCCAGACCCACTACATGCATGACATTCAGAGGAGGCACCCTCTTTGAAGTCTTTAATCATTTATCAGATTCACTCCGACCCAGATAATCTATGAAACTGCTTATATGTTCATTAACAGTCACTCAGTCCAGTCTGGCAGTACATCCTTTCCTTGTTCTTATTCAAAATCCGAAGATTTGTGTTCTTTGTGGTATTAGATGTCACATGTACTAATGATTGACAGTGTAAAGGGAGCAGATCATTGTAACATATTTGATATGGTCTTTGACATCAAGTGGATGGAGCATGCTTCTGTTTCTCTTTTGGTAGTAGAAACTGGTATTCTAATTATCATGCCAGAGAACCTGGTTTGGTTCTAGTCAGAGTGTCCAGCAGGAATGCGGCCATCTTCTTTTGTTACA